GGATTTAATCCGACATTTAAGGTTTTTTTTGTTTGTATTACATAGAATATAGTTAAAGAATAACTTACTTTATCTTAGATACAAGGGCAGATTCACCATCGAATTGGATCATTATTACCTTTCGAAGATAGACAAAAAAATTTTTACAAATATATTTCATGGGCAACATGGAAGAACAACTTGATCGACGTCTAGCGATCAATGAAGGGATGAAGCGAGCAATTCTTCAAGACATGCAGTGTCTGCTTCATGAACATCATGCGATGGTCAGGTTGTTTAAGAGTGCTTTAGAGCGCATGCCAAATGATGACTATAAAGTTGTCATAAAAGCAGATAAACGACCATCTGGAACACACGAAAGGACATTTAATGCTCCAACAATAGACGAAGTCGCACATCCTGATTGTGAACAATTTGATGAATGAGGAGATACATTATCGGGTTTTACTCTTGATCGAAGATAATATATGTGTTACCTCATGTGCGGTAATATATTAATCAGGTTAGAATGCCAGCGCCAAATCGTGAAATGAATGAGGCATTTAATCGAGAATTAGAACGGGAACGTGAATATGATCACCAGGAATTAAATTTATTAGTTCAAGCGAATGTACCCCTGTTGAATTCCCAACAGAAGAAAGTTTATAATACTTTAATGAAGGCAATCGATGAAGAAAATGGTGGTTTATATTTCCTAGATGCCCCTGGTGGTACTGACAAGACATTCCTCATGTCATTAGCTTTAGCAACTGTTCGGGCGAGATCCAACATAGCTGTTGCAGTTGCTTCTTTGGGAATAGCAGCCATATTGTTAGAAGGATGCCAAACGGCTCATTCAGCATTAAAATTACCGTTAAATCTTCAAATTATTGAGGAACCAACGTGTAATATTGCAAAACACTCGGAAATGGCCAAAGTTTTAATGGTATCGAAATAAAATTTTTCCTTTTCATATATAAAACAAAAAAAAATTTTCTTTATCTTTTAAACACCAAACGAAGTTTTACCTAAAACTATCGCCATCTGGTGGCGGAACGGAGTTCGCTGGGTTTACTAGTATACATATAAATATAAAGTAATAAGGAAACCCAAGAGGTGTAACGTGAATATTAAAGTTTTAAACTCAACTTATCCATTTTTCACTGCGGGGTTTTTAATAACTATTAGGGAATACATTTGTTCTTGAAGCCATAATACGAAATATGTAAAACACGATTCCTTCTGTGCAGTGTAATTAAAGCGAGTGCTCAACGCGTGAGATCATCCATGAATAAGGCAGGAGCCGTGGCCATCGCCATAGTTATAGCCACCGTCATCGCCATCGCCAGTGCTTTTGCTTTTGCCACTGCCATAGTCATAACCCATCAGCGTGGCAGCAACAGCAACAGCCACATCTACAGCCACCTGGGCGCACAAAATAATGCAAATTATCAGCTAGAAATTGCACGAGTGGTCAGGTGCATAATGAAGCGGCAGCTGGGGAAGATGCAGATGAGCCAGAAGCCGCCGCTCGCCCATAATTGAGTTGCCAATGTGCTCGATGGTTACTGGGGTTACTGGGCTCTCAGCTCTCCACTCTTGGCTCTTAGCTCTTTTCGGCCTTTGGTTCCCAGGCCAGCGGAAAGCGTTTTAAACACTCCGTTTCATAGATAATCATCATAATTATCTGGCGAACAATAAATATAATATCTAGGCAAATTACAACAATTAGGCGGCTCCCGGCAGCTCGCTGTTGGAAAACACCCAAAACTTGGGCCCAAAAACCCAAAAAAAATAGTAGAAATGAAAAAACAAAACCAAGCCAGGGGAAAGCAAATGATTGCTGGCTGACTGCATTAATGTGTCCCTCCTCTTGGCACATTGTACATTGTATGTGGAACACAATGGCTGGGTGGCCGCACAATAAACATGGTTTTCACACGCGTTTCATTTTCGGCGAGAGCACCCCACTCGCTCACAAATTAGGCAGAAAAACACTGGGCCCGAAAAATGATAAAATGCCAGCAATGGTTTTAGCCACAGCAGGCAGTGGGGGTTGGGGGAAAAACACTTCAAAAGTTAAAACCTATTTTGTAACTTCGTTTCGATTAGAAAGTAGTGTGAAGAATAAACTAGATAGTCGGCTCATTAGTTGAAAGTACACAAAATTAGGTAAACTTGTATATTTAAACCTTTAAAAGGTCTCTCTTAAAACGTTTCATAAATTTATTGTGCAACTTTTTTAAGGTTATCTTTTAATAATAATATGTATTTATAAAAAGTTAGATTTTCAATTTATAATGATAAACATCAATGCTTTTTTGAATGTTTCATAAGTCTATAATAGTAATTATTACTCTCATAAATATAAGCAAATCTAATACTTTTCCTAATGGAAATGGAATAATTTTAAAATTTTCATCTTGCGGCATAAATATTTTCTACACTTCACAATTTTATTGAGCGCTTTGTTGGATTTTAAAATTGACTTCTTAAAGATTTTTTTGACATCTTTTTACATTAATTGTTAATAAATATATCAAATAATTCCGTATAAATCTTACCACTCCCATTCATAAACAAAAGCGGCACTGTTAAATTATATTTTTACCATCTGTTTTCTGGGCATCGCATGGTATTACCAACATCGGATAGCAACAACTAAGCCCAATGCCTCCAAAAGCGGAAACTCATTGGCAACGCTTCGTTGCGTAAATTTCTCGACGCGACTTTTCGGCCAACAGGTTGGCAAAAAAAAGTAAACAACAAAAAAAACATCAAATAAAACAAGAAGAAAGAAAACAAAAATCTGACGCCAAACCGAACTAAAACCGCCAGCAAAATGGCCGACAATAACAAAAGTCAAAACAACAACAAAACGCAAAAAAAAAAAAAAAAAAAAAAAAAAATTTGTTTTAATATTTCAGTTACGCTTCGGCAAGCGACAACATCGCGATAGAGCTCCGAGTTAGACTTCTTGAAAAGTACCATACTATATGGTATAGGATATGGTATAGTACACACATATGTGGCGGGGGATGATAAACTGGAAAAGGGTAAATCACAGAGGAGCCCCACCGACTTGCCGATGGAGATCTCGTGCCAACCCAAACCACAGCCATCGAAGAATCCGCCAGGCCGAACCAACCATCCAACTGGCCAAACTGGGGAACGAACACCTGAGCATTTCTTTATGGATCTTGAGCAGAAAACCTATCGCGGCGTAACGCCATTAAAATTAGTGCCGAGCTCAGCTGAACCGAACTTGGAAGCCCCGGAGAAAGAACTATATAGTTGGTTAGGAGTTGGGTAAATAAAAGATAGGGGTACACTCTTGAAAACCCTTTCAACATTATAATACCAACGAAGCTTTAAATGAATGAATTTTTAGCAGTTTAGACTAATAATTATAAAATATTAACTTTAGCTGGTGCTGGTGAAAATTTTTTCAAAAAAAAAAATAATAATATTTTTTAAATACTAATTTTTTATATAAAAAAAAATTAAAAAATTAAAAAAAAATCACATATATTCTGTAGCACTCATTATCAAACATTTGAGTCAAGAATTGTCAATTTTGTCTTAAATAAAAAAATAAGTTGTTGTTTAAATTAGAATTTAATGTAACAAATTTATTTTAATATTGAGTATTGTTAATCATAAAATAAATGGCTATTCAATGATTATTTTAAACAAGTTCTTCAGAAAAAGCCAAGAATATTATTATTTAAAAATTGTTTATCTAAATACACATATTTTTTAATTTTTTACGAACAACAAATAAATTAAATTACTTTTACTTTGATGTAAATTACTTATAGTGTAATAATACAAGTATGTACTTTGGGGTAACAGAGCCGTCAAATGGAGTTCCAGTCACGAACGCATATCGGTTATAGCCAGTCGGTTCTTAGCCTGGTTACGCTTCGTTGTCGGATAGCAAGATGGCGTTGAATATTTCGGATATGTGGGATTGGGTGGGTGGAGGCAGATCCAACCAGATGTAAAGCTCGGCAAGAGCCACTATGAACATCCGATGTGGGAAAGGGCAGCCGTTGTCTCCCAAGTAATTAGAGTCGACAACAAAGACCATAATTACCTTGTAACTAGGAATTATGAAAATATCATAAAGACAAAAAGCCTGAAGAAATAGTGAAAAGAATGTAGTCTAGGGGCCACCCAGCCACAGAGATCAGACCTTAGCCACCTGACAGTAGTCAACCTTTAATGACTTTTATTCTCGTTTTGTACTTGAGTTTTTCCTTTATATTAGACGACTTCCCATGACTGTGCCTCCAATCTCGCATTCACTCGCAGCTTCTTCTTTTCTGTGGGTCAGGTCTAATCTCCGTCCTGATAATCTCGTCCCATCCAAGTCGATTTCTTGTCTGCCCATTCAGATCTCAGAGTGCGATGTAATAAAAACCCAGGCAATGGTATTCTGGTTTTTATTGTTTTCCAGTGATGGGAAGATGCCAATTGCCTTTGGACATGGCACAATATTATCGGCATTGAGGTAGAAAAACTTAGATCTAACCAATGTTTTTGTCAGATTTTATGGGTACTTTCTTTTAACATTCTTGGTCATGGGTTAATCTATAGATGGGGAATATTATAAGTAAAAAGGTAATAATAACCTTTCAAAGTAAAAGTTTTAATACATTAAATTACTTTCTAATTCAAAATAAACGTAAGTTAAAAGGGGTAAAACTCAAGAAAGTATTTCCGGTTAAGCCGGTAATTCTTCGGTTTTTATTTCGATCGATTAGATAATGCAATCACCTCTTGTAAAAATGATTTACCAAATATTAAAGTGAATCTTAAAGCAATAAGTGAACTGATAATAAACCTCCTTAAAAGAAGGGAAACCACCAACGGTAATCGAAAATACAACATTTATTATATGAGTCAACTCAACAACCTCAATCCTCCCCGCAGAGATTACATCTTACTATCAATGCTCTTATCAATTTAAACAGACTTGCAATTGACCAAAGTGAGAAAGGAAAATCAGTATACTTCGGACCTTTTTGCTGAGTAGATCGCGAAAATATGCTGAAAATAATTTTTTTCATCGCGAATATAGCGCTGATAAAAAGCTGCTTGGCCGTTTCACCAGAGGCATATCTGCTAAAAACTAACAGGTAGGCATTACAAATATTAAGTGTAATAAAATAAAAGTGTTATTGTAAGATTATTTAAAAAGAATTCAAACACTTGTGTAGTTTTTAAAATAATTACAATATTCTGTTGTTATATTGAAATGCATATATTACTGTTAATAAGTTTATTAAATTTATTATCTCAAATTAATTTTGACTATTCAAGAATATGAACTTAGGTCAAGCTCAATAATATATATTATATTTCTGATATATAGAAAAACTACATATCGCGAGGTACTATTAATCTATTATAAAAAAATACATTTTATTTTACAGTCTTCCCTCGGACTTAAATTTTATGCCCACCCTAGGCAATGGCCACCTGGGCTACACGGTCTTCGGGGATTCCATCTTTATGAATGGGGTCTACAATGGAGCTGGTGGAAATAGCAAGCGAGCTCGGATTCCCAACTGGCTCAATATTACCACGGAAGTTTGTGATCGCTTTGGTTGTGCCTCTAATAGCGATGTGGGTACCAAATACGAAATGGATCTCAGGGATGGATACTTCCGCTCTCTAACAACCTACAAAGAACTAGGGATAATATTGGAGCAAAAAACATATCCGCACAAGTTCTATAACCGGGCTCTGGTATATGAAGTAGTAGCTAGAAGAATTTCAGTCCGGAATTCAAGAGTTAACTGTGAGTAAACTTACCAAGAAATATATAAACACTTTTTTATATGATATATATATGTATATATTATATTTAAAATATTTCTGTGATTGGGATTATAACAGTCCTAAATTGTATCAACAAAAGTGCTTCTAATTTTTATTAAAAACAATATAAGACGATCGTAAACTCTCAAAAAAATCTATTAAAAAATAAAATAATTTTTAACCGTTTTTCAATATGACATATTATTCTGATTAACAAGATTTCACTCTGATCTTAAAGCTCCAAAGTATCTGAAACTCACCCAAAATCCCGGTGAATCCAGCGATGCCTTTGACTTTGTCGTTGTGAGCAACGGCAGTTCCTCCGACGGAGATTATCGAACGCTTCGAGGACGCACAAAGGTACTTGAGCTTGAGAAGTTCCAGCCGGATCCCCAAGAGATTTTCATCCTCTTCAGTGAATCATTGGAGGAGCCCCTAAAGCTGCAGTGGCCAACTTGGCAAGATCAGTTGAACTATAGCGTTATAATGACTATAGATCGGGATGAAAGTGTTGCCCGGAAAGAGCTCCAAGATGTACTCCAGTTGAGCTCGAAAAACATATTTCAAAAACACACTGAATCCTGGAACAGTTTTTGGGACAATGAATTCTCCATTGAAATAAGAGGAGATGCTCTGGAACTTTCGCAAATCGTAAATGCTGGCATATTTTATATGGTGAGCTCGCTTCCTTCACTCGAAACCAACCAGAAGAACGAACCCTTCTATGGATTGAGTCCCACTGGCTTGGGCCGTGGCAATCTGGAGGCGGACTACCAGGGGCACAACTTCTGGGACACCGAGATTTGGATGCTCCCGGTGGTCAGCATGTTCAACACAGAGTATGGAAAACAGGTGCTGGACTATCGCAAAAGAAAATTGGAGGCAGCTAAATACCATGCTAATGAAACCGGATACAAGGGAGCCAGGTGAGATCGAATTAATTAATAAGAATAAGAATACATATGCAACATTAAAAATTACTAAATTCGTTTTAAAAGTATGTAATTACATATATTTCTATTTATATATCTGAAAATTCAGTTTTTATAAAATTGTATCTATAACATTTATCCTACCGAATTAAACCATAAAAATGACTATAGGTTTAAATTTAATTTTATGGTTTCTTTTCCCAGATTTCCTTGGGAGAGTGCCTTCACTGGAACAGAGGTGACCAATCCCTGCTGTCCCGAAGTGTCGCAACAGGAGATTCACATTTCCCCCGACATTGTGTTTGCCCTGCAAAAGTTTTACGCCCAAACGTTGGATGATGAATGGGCTTGTGAGACAGCTTGGCCCATATCCTTTGAGGTCGCTGAATTCCTGATGAGTCGAGCCTCATGCGATGACTCTTTGATGGTGTGCCACCTACTTAACGTAATGGGTCCCGATGAGGATCACCCCGATGTGAATGATAACGTTTACACAAATGCCGTATCTAAAATCGCACTGAACTTTACCGAGTGGTTGGGTAAAATGTGCGGTAACAACAACACTGAACTCTTGGAAAAGTGGCGCAATCTGAGCGATCGTTTGGTGATTCTGCGGGACGAAAGCCTGGACTATCATCCCCAACATGAAGGATATGTCCTCAACACCACAGTCAAGCAAGCGGACACCATTCTACTCGGATATCCGTTGTTATTCGATACAGGGTGAGCTTGTCAGGTCTTAAGGTTTATGATTATTAAATTAATTTATACGATTTCCTATTGAAGCTCCACCCATCTAAATGACCTTCGGTTTTATGCTAACGTGACCCGAGAATCTGGTCCTGCAATGACCTGGTCCATGTTTGCCGCCAATTACATGCGTAGCATAGACCACGAGGTGGCCAATGAGTTCTTCGAGCGTGGATACAAGAGCTACGTTCGACCCGAGTTCAAGGTGTGGAGTGAAACCCCAGTTGGCTACGAGGGATCGGCGAACTTCCTCACTGGCATCGGTGGCTTCCTGCAGGCCCTGATATCTGGCTACGGTGGCCTCAACTTTGGCAGGACTCGCGATCAATTTATGATGATAATAGGCCTCACTTTCACGCCCCCGAATGTGGATGAGGTTTACATCAATTCAATAATATATGGGGACGCCAGGTGTAGCTTGACATTCAAAAATCGGTCATCTGAAATTCACTGTTTTGACAGGATTGGTAAGGGTTTCCAGATGACCCAAGGGCAGGAGAAAACCCTGCTTGGCAAGTCCTTTAACCGTAAGTGGAGTATACCAAACATATTCGTTCTTTGACTAACTCTTTATTCCTTTTTTCAGTGACCCACAAGAGTGGAGATCCCCCAATTCAAATCAGTGTCTTAAGATAAATCCAAAGTGTATTTGAATAAATATGAAGAGTATTACATATTTGGACCGGATGCATATATGGGAGCGCTAGACTTAGGGATTTATAATGCGGATTAGGAAGTATCTATTGCATTTGGTTATAGTTATGGTTATGGTTATCTTGTTATCTTGGTTACTATATCGCTTTCTGCTTCCTTTTCTACTTGAATTTGGCTATCGAGGAGCCGCTTACTCCTGGCGCGTTTTTATTGCTGCCACTGAGCACCACATAAGCGGTCTTGGTTTCCTTTTGCTTCTGCTGCAACATGGTCAGAGTTCCCAATGGTGTATCCGTGGAGCTCATGGTCTTCATTAGCTGCAAAATACATTTACCATAAAGTATTTATTATTTTTTTTATCTGCTCAATAGTGTACTCACCCCATCCTGTTCCATTTTCTTGAGACGCTTTTCAATCTTGTTCTTTCCCGGGCCTTTGCCGTGGAACTTATGTGACAAGTACCGGAAAGCCTCTTTCAGGTTCAATATGCGACCGTTGTCATCGATATAGTCCAGTTTGACATTGGGTTTGAAGGTCTCCTTATCCTTAAAGTCCGTAATTGGTCCAAAGTGAAAGCGATCACGACGCCCAACCTTGTCGTCCTCACTAAAAAGATTAAAAATAAATTAATTTAAAACAAAGTTTCTTATTAAGATTATGTGTGAACTAACCCAGCAGCTTTATCTTCGATGGAATAGTTTTTGGCCTGCAGATGAGCCATCTTGGTGTTGCTAGGCCTATTCTTTTCCTCCTTTTCGAGGTATCCCTTGGACAATGCCAATCGCAAAGCATTCGCAACTCCTGCGCCGACATCGGGTTCCTCGTCTAGAATGGCACGATCCTCCAGGTCCTCGCCCAGGTTATCCAAGTCGGCGGGCTGCATGACTTCATCGGGATTAACTGAATTCCAGGTACCATGACTCAGGGCAGGCTCATCGTCTTGCGTGTCCATGTGCTCCTCCGTCTGTTCCGTCTTGTCGAAGTCCATCATGTCATTGGAATCCTCGTTACGATTTCCCGCCATACCATATGTGGGAATGTCGCCCAAAGTGCGGCAAAACTCCGCTGTGGCATTTAACACGATGTTGCCATCGACGCCGGTTAGCACCACACCAGAACTGGTGTCCTCCACGGGTTCGGGTTTGATCTCCCGCTGAATGCTCTCGAAGTCAACAGGCAGCGGCTTCTTGATTATATTCTCCTTTTGTTTTAGTTTGCGGGCCTTTGCTAGAACCCGTTCCAAATCATCATCCTCTGCTTCCACCTTGACATCAGTTTTAATTTCCATCTCCTCATCCTCATGATCACGATAACGTCCTCCACGAATACCAAAGTTTGAGGATCCAGATGTTCCCGGCTCAGCCAAAGGCAGAAGATCCTCGGCTTTAAGTTTTTGGCGAAGTTTCTTAACTTTTTTCTTTGGCTTCTTGAACCTGCAAGAAAATTTACATTACTTATAAAATAAAAGCGGTTTAAATTAAGAGAATGAAAACATACTTGGCCAACTCTTCTGTACTGTATGTGTCGGATGCCAACTGCAGATTGGTATCCTCCAAGGTTTCCAATCGTTTGCCGGCCAATTTGGTTTTAATTTCCAAGAGTTTGCGCCTGTGTTCGCGCTCTTCATCCATATTCTCGCCAATAACAAAGTTCTTGCGTTTTTTTGGCTGGCCCTCGATCTCATCGTCGTACTTCTCCAGAACTGAACGATCGATGGGATTTCCCAACTCATCGTACTGCTCCTCGTAAACATTATAGCCATAACTTAGCGGGTTCTGCTTCTTGTTGGCCACATTCTTCTTGTAACGCTCCTCGTCGACCATGTTTACATTGACTAGAGTGTCGCCCTCCTCTTCATTCAGCACATCTTGATCCTTAAGTGTTAGGATGACGGTGCGCCCTTCACCAAAATCATCCATGTCGTGATCAACTCGCAGGCCCTTTAAGTTGCTATCTCCATAGGCCCGCTGTCGGGCTTTGGTTTTCTCCTGTTCAAGCAGGTCCGAAACACCAAATGCCTCATCCAGCTCCTCCAGCTCTTTAGCCTGGGATAGGAAATTTATATTAATTTATATTAATAAATGAAAAAGTAGAAGCTTAATTACCTTTCGCTTGGCTTCTTCGCGTTCGTTAACCACTCGCTTGTTCCTGTCCACCCACTTGGACGCATTGTCCGTTTCCTCGTCGGACTCTCCCAGCGTTTTGATGCGAGCCAAGCGCTCCTCCAAGAAACGCTTCTCCTTGCGCTGCTTGAGCTTCTCGCGCAGCTTCTCTGCCTCCTTCTTCTCCTTCAGGTTGTCGGCTGGCTTGTGCAGGAATTCGCCCCACTCGTCTTTGTAGGAGGAGAGATCGGCTTCGCCGGAGGATTTTTTGCTCTCTGCCTGACTACCATTTCCGGCAGACGATGCCACCTTGCTGGGACCACTGTCCACTTCGAGTGGCTTCAGACCCAGCTTGGCACGCAGCTTATTGGTCTCCGTAATGGAGAGGACATCGCCTGCTCCGTTTTCGGGTATGGGAGAAAAGGAACGTGAGGAGGGTTCGCGTTCCTTGGCGGCGGGTTTTCGGGTGGCCGGCGGAGGCGACTGGGATCTGGAACGTTCCCGGTTTCGCTCCCGCTCGCGTTCTCTGCCGGATCGCTTGCGGGCCTCCCGCTCACGCTCGACTTCGCGTTCTCTTCGGGAATCATATTCCGCGTGCCTGGAGATTTGGGGCGGCGGAGGAGCAGTGAGCTCTCGTTCACGTTCCCTTTCACGCTCCTTGAGTCGCTCCTTTTCGCGCTCCTTGAGGCGTTCTTTCTCGCGTTCCCTTTCCCGTTCCCGTTCCCGTTCGCGTTCCTCGCGCTCCTTGAGTCGCTCCTTCTCCCGTTCCCGTTCACGCTCCTTTTCCCGATCCCTTTCACGTTCCCTTTCGCGTTCCCGCTCACGTTCACGGTCCCTTTCCCTTAGGAGATCACGATCACGCGCAGACTCGCGCTCTCTGTCCCGATTGGAGGTCTCCCTGGCATCCCTGTTCCTGGTCTGTTCCTGTACAGGAACCTCGACGCAGTCCGAACCTGCAAGTAAGGAACACCGGTTAGAACTGTATAATACCCAAAGGGACAATCGCTTCAACCACTTCTGCTCGCCCACTCACAATCTGCTCCAGCAGCGGAACACCTGCAAGAAAAGGAGAAACGAGGAGAAACGCAACGGTGGGTTTAGTACGTCCGAAAGAGGAAGAGTGCAGGTCCAAGGCAATTGCCGGGTCAGGGCGGTCCGGAAATCAGATATAATCGCTTTTCCGCCGGATCCGCCGCCCTTGGCAATAACCCTTTTCTGTCTGGCCTGCACTGGCGGTAAAAACGGGCAAACACTTACTATCCGAGTCCGATTCCTCCAGAGAGATGACCTCGCTGGCCCGCTCGCGCTCCTTGTGCTTGTGGTGCTTGTGGCGGTGCTCCTTGTGTTCCTTGTGCTCCTTGTGCTTCTTGTGCTTGTGTCTGTGACGCGACGAGGAGTCGTCTGTCAAGTCAAGGGTCACATCTTCGTCCTCTGTGACCCGCCGCTGGCGTTCTGACGACCGCGAACGATGTCGGCTCTTCTTTTCCTTCTTGTGTTTTTTTCCAGACGACGAAGAACCCATTTTTTAACAAAATAGGAAAAAAAATTTCACAAAAAAAGCAATACAGTCAACCACTCACGATACTATCGAAATATCGAACAGTTGGCTTCCGAAAAACTACTGAGTTTTCGATAACAATCGATAGTGCTTAGCGCATACATTTTTCTAACACTATACTTTGCGGATTTATGTTAACAATTATATATTATATAATATTATATTCTTTTTGAAATGCCCGAATAATAAATATACTCTACTCCGTATACTATGGAGAGTGCTACTTAAACACCTTTGCACATTAGAACTTTTACCTTAATATTATGATTATAACATGAATTAATTTTTTAAAAGATAGAAAAAGTAGTCATTTAAAATCAATGAAATATCTTCTCAGCTTTTCTTAAACAAAATTTGTATACAAACAATTAAAAAAAAAAAAAAAAAAACATACTAAAATAAAATATACAAATTTACCAAAGAAGTGTTCACCCTAATTTTTCATCTTACCGATTTTACCATTCACAACGACCATAATAACAAACACCACGCGGACTTATTGAAATAAACAATGGAAATAACTAAAGTAAATAGAAATAGATTTGTAAGTTGAAACTAAAAATTAACTGTTTTGTGACCCACAGAAGTCGAAGAAATCAAAGAACTCAAAGAAGTCAAAGGCCCTCAAGGACTCGGCCGTTTCTCTTAAATTGACTGCACTTCATCGCAAACAAAAGGAAGTTGCCCGCGTGCTCACTCTCAAACAGGAAATATTATTAAAATCGGGAGTGTCCTACCTGGAATATCTGGAGATCCGCGCAGAAATCGAACGACTTAATAGCGTGAAGGAGACATTTTTGCGTCGTGTTGACAAGTTGAAACAGCAAGACAAGTAGTTTTAAGTTATAAAGTTTATTTAAGAAAAATTAAGTATGGTACAAAGTATGAAATGTTCTTATAGTAAATATCAACATAATTTGAGTAGTAAAGTAAATTTATACATGTTCAATTATTCATGTACAATTGTACATTTACAATTATAAAGGTACAACGGTTCATGTATAATTATACATGTAAATTTCAATTAATAAAGCAAACTTCGTTTAATATATAATTTATCAAAAACAAAATGCAAAAAGACGACGTGCAGCAAGAGGTCCATGAGGAACGGCGATGGTGCGCTCTTGGGAACCATATGCTAAGGACCCCATATCGTGAACTCGGCAATGAGCATTTGTACAAGTTTGCCAAAAAGCTTAATTCCGAAATCCAGATAACGTCGCCTTTATGTATTCCATGCTATCGAAGTCTGGTAGAAGTTTATAACATAAAGAATAACAACGCCAGAAAGCACAGGGAGCGGGCTGAGGCCTCAAGTATCACTGATGTCAGCAGCAATTCTGCTGACAATTCCACTCCAGCAAGTAATTCTGACGACGAGCCCAACTCGAATTTAAGTTTAAATGTAGTAAATGGCACCCGGTTGCCCCATATTCAGCCAATTCCCAGAAGACGTCCTGCTCTTCATTTGAACAAGGAAGCCATGGACATCTATTTGCAGGGAACTACCGGAGGATAAGCAGATATCTCTCTCTTATAACAATATTTATATCTTATAACAATATTTTCATAGCTTAACTGTTTTCAATTTCATTTTTTCATGTACTCTAATCAATCAGCGACAGTAAAGATTGGAAGAATAGCTTTTAAAAGCACTTAAATGTTATATGTAGAATTCAAAATACTTAAACCTACAAAAATCGGCTAAGATCGTAATTTGTAATACCTTGGTTAGTTCATCATGTAGCTTCTAGTTTTACTGTAGATACAATTTTGTACCTTTATAAAATATTTGTTATTTTTGGTAGTCAATTTTGCTTTTCACTTTCTTGCGCTAAAGCTTAAGATCAATAGCTAAATAAGAAGGATTACAACGTTAAGAAAATTAGATTAATAGTTTCCAAGTTGTTAGTTCTGGTAAACGTTTAAGTTTCAATAATTTGAAAAGAAAAAAAAAATGTCGCTGTCAGCGTTAAAGAAATTTGGAACATTGGAGGCTTAACCTCATTTAGTTGGAACACATGAGATTCATAGTTTTGGTTGTTCAGGAACATTTTGAAAATGTAAAATTTAAATTTTTTTCATTTGGTATAGAGATTGCGATTATGTTTTGGTTATTTTTTGTTTTTCTATTCTGACGGAATAAGCTTATTCTCGGTCTTCTTAAAGGCTTTCCACATGCGACTGAAATCCGCCTGAAACTTGCCCGCAAATTCCTCGTCCGCACTAATGATGCAATTCTCCCAGTTGCCTCCAAATCCCTGTCGGGTCCAGTTAACAGACCCAGTGATAATGACACTGCAAAACGGACGCATCCACTTGCGCTGCTTCAGCAGCCGAATCTCCTCCACTCGCTCCGCACCATCAATTACGCAGTACTTGTTATGCATCATTTTAGTGGAATCGGGAGCGCGGACTGGAACCCCAAGGCGAGCCAGTTCATTGATCTGTGATCCACTGGAGTAACACATCTCACGATCGGTAATAATCCTTAAATTTACGCCTCGTTGCAATGCTCGCTTGAAAGCTTCCGCCAAAAAAATGGAGGTAAAGGTATAGATAGCCACATCAATGGAGTACACAGCCCGGTCAATCTGTTCCACTATCTTTTCCAAGTTCCGCTGTGAGCAGTGCTCGTTCCGGCATTGGGTGACCATTGGTCCAGATCCCGGAATGCTGTTTCGGAGATGCTGAGCCGCACAGATTTCCCCCAGTTCGTTAAACACGAGAACTTCATTTACGACAAGTTGTTTTTTCCTTAGGCCTAGAAAGTACTTGACCACCTTCCAGACCACCTCTGATACAAAAACAGTGCCGGCCCCAACGCTGATGGTAGCCAGTATTGGGTGGCTTCGGATGTGATCCATTATCAATTGAGTACACAACATTTTCTTGGAAGCTTCTAGCGCGTCGCTTTAAAACATGATCGTAAAGTTGCCATATGCTTCCACTTCCAATCTTGTGGTTAGTATTTTTAAGTGATCAAGTTCCTTCATAATATTTTTTGTAAACTGCACTTTGGTCACACCCGCCTAGCAAAGAGTTGCCGTATCGCCGCCTATTCACCATTCGAATTAAACAATCAATTTGCACAATCTAAGCATTTTCTCTTTCAAATGAATGATCCATCCACCACGCTCCTGGCCGGCGACCCCGAAGATCTACGGGAGGCTCGCAGCACCGAGCTGAAAAAGGTGCTTAAGCTGAAAATAGTGCTGGACGAGCTGCGTCGCCTGGATTTGAGGCCAAATCAGAGCCCGGAAATAAAAAGAGCCCTCAAATTGGTTTCCATTGGGAACTATGCACAACTTGGCGATACCGAAGGCGGTGGTCAGGAGCAATTACTGGGTAAAATAACCTTGGATGGCCACTAAAAATGGAATTTACTTGTTACATTTATCCTACAGGCCTGCAGAATGGCAGCAGTTTTCCGCCCTTAAGTTATACGGATCGAAAGACGGTGAGGAGCAAACTCTCTGCTCAGCTCCGTTCTAGATTGCAACCCATTGCTGAGTTGTGCGACAGGATGCGCGAGGAATTTCCTGATGCCTTTGGCCACGAGGTGAAGTTAAGTTGCGACCAAAAGGAGATCCTGAGGATGGAGCAGGAGTACCGAAGCGGGCTGGAGAAATTGGTAGCGCTTCAAGGACGCAAGTGTATGCTGCTCAAAGAAACGGCTGAACTTAAATTGGGCCCGCAGTTGGCCAACGAACTAAAATTACAACAAGCGCAGGCGCAACTCGTACAAACAAAAGCAGAACTTCTGCGAGGTTTCTTCGTCCACGAAGCCGCTACCCGGTCCGAGCACAGTGTCAAGGCCCACAAGGAGGTTGAAGCGCATCTGGACGAGCTTCTCGCCGCTAAGAAATAGATTAAGCAAATTATAACCATGCACCATAACATATTAGGTTTAAATACAGTAGAATTTATAGCAAGACAGGGACGTTTGTCAAGGTTTTACAAGAAAAGTGGCATTACATGGCTTCCTTAAGTTCGGTCACACTGGTAAAACCACTTCGGGAAAATTTGTAAACAAAAGAAGCTCTGAAGTTTGCATGATAAAAACAAATATGACTGAGAGCAATCCTGGTGAGATGGCCTCCTCTAGTGAAGAGCCACCGGCAGAGGAGGAGTCCCTTGCTCAATCTCCATCAGAAGCTATCCTAAGCAACACCTCATCGAATGCCGGCAATGTTTTGGATGCGGAAGATGACAATGAAGCTAATTCCGTAGATCGAGACGACTCCGCCAGTTTGTTCAGTACCACTACAACGACGACCAGGAGCAAATCCCCCAACACAAGGAAACTAAATCGCCTGTGCCGGCGCCTAAAGGCACCAAAAATGGTCCAACCGCTGTACAAGTACAGGTGGGATTTCCTTGGTGTATCTAGATTTAAATATAATTCCCCTTTGGAATTGCAGTTCCCACGTTCGCGAGGACCACAACCACCAGATCTTCGGGGTGCAGTTTAACCCCTTTCTGGACAGAGGTCAGCCGCAGGTGTTTGCCACCGTGGGCAAGGATCGGGTGTCCATATACGAATGCGAGAGAAACAACGGCGAGGAGTCCTGCCAAGGCATTCGCTTGCTGCAGGTCTACGCAGATCCCGATGTAGGTACCCACAGAAAATTAAAAAGAATATCGTTCAGTGTACAACAATTTATTTATTTATTACTTTTACCAAGACATCCTATTGCAAATCAGCTTATTAACAATTTGAGAGCTCTTTAGAAATATAAAATTTCTGTACGTTTCTAACAAATTATCGACATATAATTTTATTGTTAAATAGGAAATTTGATTTAATTAAGACTTTAGGTATACAAATATACCGCAGTTAAGGAAAGTAAAGAGTGTTAAGTTCATAAGCCCATGTTAATAATTAAAGGCTAATAACAATATATGGCTATTAAATTTCCAAATCAAAAAATATTGTGTTGATAAGTTTCATCTTCCATTTCTTTTTAGACCGATGAAAGTTTCTATACATGCGCTTGGTCCTACGACTCAGTGACCGGCGATCCTGTCCTGGCAGCAGCTGGTTATCGTGGTGTCATCCGTATATTTAATCCTGTCAAACACCAATGCAGCAAGAACTACATTGGACACGGACATGCCATCAACGAGCTCAAGTTTCATCCGGTGAGGCCGCAGTTACTCCTTTCCGGCAGCAAGGACCACTCACTGCGGTTATGGAATATCCAGTCAGACGTATGTGTGGCTGTTTTCGGTGGAGTCGAAGGCCACCGCGATGAAGTGCTGTCCGTTGACTTCGATTTGCGCGGCGATCGCATCATGTCCAGTGGCATGGATCACTCGCTAAAGTTGTGGCGACTGGACAAGCCTGATATTAAGGAGGCCATCGAGCTGAGCTCTGGTTTCAGTCCCAACAAGAACACGGGTCCTTTTCCCACCATCAAGGAGCACTTTCCGGACTTTTCTACGAGGGATATACACCGGAATTACGTCGATTGCGTTCAGTGGTTCGGTGACTTTGTCTTCTCAAAATCATGCGAGAACTCTATTGTCTGCTGGAAGCCGGGAAAACTTTCAGCCCCTTGGAACGAGATCAAGCCCCAGGAGTCGACCACCACGGTTCTTCATCACTTTGACTATAAGATGTGCGAGATCTGGTTTGTTCGTTTCGCCTTCAATGCCTGGCAAAAGATTCTCGCCTTGGGCAACCAACAGGGCACCACCTTCGTATGGGAGCTCGACTGTAATGATCCCAACCTGACCAAGTGCAGCCAGCTGGTTCACCCCAAGAGCAACTCCACCATTCGGCAGACTTCGTTCTCCAAAGACGGCTCCATTTTAGTCTGTGTGTGCGATGACAGCACGGTGTGGCGATGGGATCGCGTTAATTAGGAAATATTTCGGCTAAAAAGTTTACTTTGGGAAAACATGGCTGAATTTAAATATGTTTCCGAAAGTAAAACAACTACTATGTAATAATAGCTTACCGCCCTGTGGTATATGTATGCACAGCATTTGTATTCAAAAAGCTTTTATATAATTATTTAAAATGTATTACTTAGTTTTAGTTGGATTCATTTTTTTTTGAATATTCCCAACAAATTTTAGAACTTATTGATTTTTGATAATGGTGTGTGTAACTGTATTTATTTAAAGCTAATTTTTATCTTAAAAATACTTATTTTAGGAGCTATCATAATTTATATTTTACATAAAAAATAAAATGTTAACATTAAAATATTTAAATACAAGTATATTTTTTAATGGTCCATTTGTTTGCCTGAATTGAAACAAAACCAATGTGATGCGTTCAAAATTAAAAATTATTGAATCATTTTTTAAATCGGTCAAATGTGCATTTCTATACCTTACGTAATTTATTAACTGTTTTTAAACATTATAATTGTATTTGTGAACGTACCTATTTAAAATTTTGCCGGTAAATATTTACTTTGAACCGTCAATCGTGTTTTATTTTCATACCGATCAACGGTCACTCTAAACAGCTGCTTCAATTTATTTTCATTGCAAACAGTTCTTCCGAATTTTTTCGATTGTTTATTGCACAAAATGCTGACCGACCGAGTGCTCGCCACCAAGGAGGCGCTAGTTGTGGCTCTGGGCGACAACTGGGAGCGCTACCGGGCCAATATGAAGAACTGGTTTCGCAACCGTTGGTCAAAGGAGGAATTCGATGCGGAGTCCCGGAAAATACTCTCGCCGGATAAACTTCACCTTCACAACCAATTCCTGCTTGCACTGCTTAACAAGATCGACGCCTTCTCTCCGATAGAGAACCCTCCGGCTGTCCAAACCAGCAGCAGTGGAAACCGGAGCAAGCGGCGCAAGAGGAGTTCCCGCACCTTCGCCGAGCGCCTGAACTTCGAGCTCTGCGAGGTCCTGGAGTTTGTGGCCGAGGACAACATGCAGGTCATCCGGCCACCGCCCACGATCGGGGGGTCCACGGAGCAGCAGCCCATGCAGCAACAGCTGCCGTCACAGCGCTACTGCGCCCAGGAGCTCTTTCTGCCCGACGCGGGCTTTATAATGGGCCGCTTTTTAATCGGCGCCTGGGAAATTGGACTCGTCTCCGTGGACGACAACGTCGCCGAGTACGTGGCCATGGCCGTGCAGGTCCTACTCAAGGATCTGCTGTCTGCCATAATCAAAAAGCGAAAGCACTACAAGACCAGTGGCGAGGGAAACTTCTATTACGATGTGGGTGCACCGCTGCGGGATCCTTCGCTGCGAAACACGGTCACCCGTCAAAAGGTGGACGACACACCGCTCGAACTGGACAAGGAGCTGAACACGGCCAACTTCATGCGGCGACAAAACGACGATGTCACCTTCCTTTCTGCCTGTGAAGAAGTGTAAGATCAAATATTATTTAGAATAGCAAACGCGCATTTAATTGCACCTTTCATTTGTGAATATTTTCAAGTATTTAAAATATTTTATAACCTTGTTTTTTGGCTTTTTCTAACCATCTCATAAAAGAAGCTTTAAAAGGCTTAACTATTCACTTAGATTAAAAATAGTCTTTTCATCCTTTTACAGCCTGCCCAGCGAACGCACAGTAATCACCCTCAAGGACTGCCAGCTAGCCTTCCGGGATCGCAACCTGATTGGCTCCCATGCCGTATACTCCATCAACATGGAACGGCTGAACATGATGATGCATTAGTTTTTAAGGCTTACTTATTTAATATCAGCGCAATTTAAAATTACAAACAATATACGTTAGTGTAAAAGAATGACAACAGCTTAACAAAGTTCCCTTGGCGGTGGCTTGAAGGGCAAAGCGCCCGACAAAAACTGATCCGCCTTAAATGCCTCGATTTCCTGTTCGTTGAGATCCGCCATGCGGCTGTACACCGAGGAGTGGGCTTCATTGGTCGCCTGCGGTTGCTGCTGCTGCTGCAACATTTGTTGTTGCTGCATCATCTGCTGCTGTTGCTGTTGCATTTGCAATTGTTGCTGTTGTTGCTGCTGCATTTGTTGCTGTTGTTGCTGCTGCATCTGTTGCTGTTGTTGCTGCTGCATTTGTTGCTGTTGCATTTGCTGTTGTTGCAACTGCTGCTGTTGATTAGGAAATGTAGAGGCTGCTGCCTGAGCAAACAATCCAGATGGAGGCTGCGCCTGGGCTTGCTGTTGTGCTGCCTGGCCAAAGATTCCTAAATTAGTATTGGCTGGTTGGCCGAAGATCCCAGCCGCCTGTGGTTGCTGTTGTTGTTGAAAGCCACCGAACGGACTGGGATTTGCTGGCTGAACTTGAGCCTGAGCGAAAAGGTTGCCTCCTTGAAAGGCTTGACCTGCAGGCTGTGGTTGCTGCTGCTGTGGTTGTCCAAAGACACTTGTAGCTCCTGCTGCCGCAGCTCCGCCACCAAAAATGCTGTTCCCCGGATTGGCAGTGGCCATAGATCCTCCGAAAATACTGTTCGCATTGTTCGGTTGAGTAGAGACATTGCCGAAAATATTGCCTGTACTTAATGTGGGCTTGCCAAAGATTGACGCCGATGAATTTGTTGCCGGAGCAGCTGCAGCAAAGGGGTTACTGGGTTGTTGAGGGGCCGCCGACACTGTTCCGCCCTCCGGCGCCTCGTGAATCTTGATCATCACGTCAAGAATTTGGGGCGACATCTGCAGCATGGTCTTCATCTTGTTGGTGGCCTCCATGACCTCGCGATTGAACTGCTGTGCAAACTGATCGAAGCTATTCAAGCGCTTGGCCTCGTAGCACAAAAATCGGACTTCCTCGAAGGACTGATCCTCGATGAAGTTAGGGAAATTGGCCTTGTCCTTAAAGGGTCCGTAGGCAGAGAAAGGCCACATCTTGCCATTGAGGCTGGACTCCATATCGGCTTTTAGGTATTGTCTAAAAATTTAGGAAAATTGGAATTTGTCTTCATATTGAAATTGTTGTTTTCTTACTTGACATCGAAGTGCTCGTTGTGACATTTTGTACCATAGCGACAGGAGCCTTGTTGAAAGAACCGGCAGACCACCATTTTTGACTAGATCAATATATTCTCTAAAAATTAAAAATATGTAGACATTCACTTTAATTTCTAGGCAACGCTATCTATGTGCATTGCTTTAAAAACAACATACAAAATGTTTTGTTCCGTTAAAATACTGGATTTTGGTATTAATTACCTCTTACTTTATATGCAAACATATACTGACATATACTTTTTGGTTGTCCTTTGGAATATTGCGACCCATCAAGCACGGTCCCACTGATTGTGAAATCCGCTTTGATAACAACGAAAAACACAAGAATTTCGAGGATTCCATCACAATGCAGAAAGTGCTGGGAAGAATCCAGGCGCAGCTCCTGCGCTGCCGCGCCACAAATGCTGTGGCCACAGCGGTCAGACACGAGGCAACCTCATCCAGGACAGCTCCGAAACCGGCAGCCACATCCAAAGGTAAGCGGGTGCTCCAAAATGAGCGGTAATCCCTAACGAATTTTTAATTTTCACAGAATTTCGGGAGCGACAGGTGCGCTTCAACATCAAGAACGAACAGACCGAGGGACGCCCACTGTACCTGGACGCCCAGGCCACCACGCCGATGGACCCACGTGTGCTAGACGCCATGCTGCCCTACCTCACCAACTACTACGGCAATCCCCATTCGCGCACCCATGCCTACGGCTGGGAAACGGAGCAGGCGGTGGAGAAGGCACGTGAGCAGGTTGCCACCTTGATTGGCGCCGATCCCAAGGAGATCATCTTCACCTCAGGCGCCACCGAGTCCAACAATATTTCCGTAAAGGGAGTTGCCCGATTCTATGGCGTCAAGAAACGGCATGTGATTACCACCCAGACGGAACATAAGTGCGTTCTTGACTCGTGCCGAGCACTAGAAAACGAGGGTTTCAAAGTCACCTACCTTCCGGTGCTGGCCAACGGACTTATCGACCTCCAGCTGCTGGAGGAGACCCATAACGTCGGAAACCTCACTGGTGTCCATCATGACAGTGAACAACGAGATCGGCGTGAGGCAACCCATCGACGAGATCGGCAAGCTGTGCCGCTCCCGAAAAGTATTCTTCCACACGGACGCCGCACAAGCGGTGGGAAAAATCCCGCTGGACGTAAACGCCATGAACATCGACCTCATGTCCATATCGGGGCACAAGATCTACGGCCCGAAGGGTGTGGGTGCCCTCTATGTGCGGCGCAGGCCCAGGGTGCGCCTGGAACCCATCCAAAGTGGCGGAGGACAAGAGCGCGGTTTGAGGAGCGGCACGGTTCCAGCTCCGTTGGCCGTGGGATTGGGAGCTGCTGCCGAACTGGCTCTGCAGGAGTTGGAATACGACAAGAAGTGGGTAGATTTTCTATCCAACCGCCTGCTGGACAGGATTACGAGTGCCTTGCCACATGTCATCAGGAACGGCGATGCCGAAGCCACCTACAATGGCTGCCTGAACTTGTCTTTTGCCTACGTCGAGGGCGAGTCCCTGCTGATGGCCCTTAAGGATGTGGCACTGAGCAGTGGTTCTGCCTGCACCTCCGCCTCCCTGGAGCCCTCATACGTGCTGCGGGCCATCGGCACAGACGAGGACCTGGCCCATAGCTCCATTCGCTTCGGCATCGGTCGCTTCACCACCGTCGAGGAGGTGGACTACACCGCCGACAAGTGCATCAAGCACGTGGAGCGACTTCGCGAAATGTCGCCGCTGTGGGAGATGGTCCAGGAGGGCATCGACCTGAAGACCATCCAGTGGTCACAGCACTAATGTAATAATATTGTAAGCCGTTACTGTTACCCCAGACTTTGAAAGCAAGGGAAATAAATTAGTTTGAAGAGTATCTAGGTTTATTTGTGTTCACAAAACCACTTATAACTAAGCTTAGTCCGAACGAATGTGCTTGTGCAAGAGGTGAGGTAAGAGCGACCCCAAAAAGCGAAAACGGCTCCAAAGTGCGACGGCCAAAGATATGCAAATGATGCAATAATTTGCATCGCCGCTGGTCAAGGTTCAGTTAGCTTTCGCTTTGGCCGCACCGCTTGGTGCTCCTCCGCCAAGGATCTTGCGCCTCTGGGCAAACATGTGCAGGTACAGTTGTGGGAAGATGGGAATGTAGCCCAGCATGACGATCCACAGGAATCCGAAGTACGAGAAGGTAGCGTTCCACTTGTTGGGCATCACCACGCTCCACACGCTGTTCTCGCGGGCGTAGCTCTGGGCCCACCAGAAGCACAGCAGCTCCCCAGTCACGCCGATTGGATACAGGGCAATAAAGGTGGTGTAGCGCAAAAAGACCACGAAATGTGGTACCACCTTAATGATGTTGAGGGCATAGTAACCGTAACGGATGATCTCGGTGATGGCCCAGGCCAGCAGGGCAATTGGCAGACCGGGTGACACTTTGCCCGTGGGCGTGGCCATAACCACGCCGACCACAACCATCATGCGGCTGAACACCTGGAATCCAGTGACCACCGGGTTGGACTTGACTAGACCGAAGGAAGCGTTAAGGATCTCCACGAAGGCGGCGTTTTGGAAGATAATCACGGCCAGCCGAGTGTACTCCCATAGCGTGACCTTCGCCCGGAACTCGGGTCCCTGCAGAAGGTAATAGTTGGCCAGCTGCCACAGGATGTAGCTCCACCCAACCACCTGGCCGGCGTTGTATGCAAACAGGTAGAGCTTGGTGAGTGCCGACGGCTCCTTGGAGGCTCCCGGTTTGCTTGTCTTGACTGCCTTTGATGACATTGTGGGGCTGCTTGAACTTTCACCTCGTCGATCGCCGCTGGTTAACTAATCAGTCATTAAACTTATCGCGCGATTGTTCCAACGTAGCTTTCACCTGATTGGGTCAGTATGACCGAATGGCCACAAAACAAAAAATCCCAAATAATCCGCTCCACATAAACATATTGTTAGTTTAACTAACCTGTTTTCCAAATTTATTTTACTTTTTAGATACCTGAAAAAGGCCTTTTCTTAAGGAAGCAAGTTTTTCAATTTAACATATATTTTTAATATGTTTTACGTTTTTTGTAAATTTTATTAAGTTAACTCTATAATACCGCTGTAGGATTCAAATTTTACAGCGGTATAAACATCTGACCAAAATTAAAGTAGACTTTAAACGGTTTTAAAACCACAACTGGTCTCACAAAAGATCAAATTCAATCTTTTTTGTTAGTGGCCCTTCATAATAGCCCCCGAGGTGTGAAGCATGCTCTCTGCCCATTTATTTGCAGTCAACAATTAACTAAAATTATAGTTTTTGTAAACAAGGGCCAACTTTACCCTAAAAGCAGTGGCCGATTGGGCAAAGGGCAAACTACGAGATTAAAAAAAAAGTGACAAATGCCAATGATAGCTTATTTCCCCTTTAATGTAATGAGTTTTGTTTTTAAAATAATGCCGTACAAAAAAACATTGTCAATAATACAATTTGAGTTTTCTTATTTTATAAATATGTACATATGTATGTATGTAGTTGTTATTGCATTGGTGTTGCAAAACGCTACACTGCAATAATATAAATATCTTTACTTTGGTAAAACATAAATTGTCCTAGAACACATGATATTATATTTCTTTGTAAAAGGCAATAAGAAGACAGTAAAATAATATTTCACTTCACTTGTGTCCACCCAAACGCACATTAAATTTTAATATACATTTTCGCCTTTTGTCCCATTGTAGCCGCTCAGCTGTCGTTTCTCAGCGAGCGACGGCCGGTTTGTGCGATGAGCCAGCTGCCCAGCTGTTTTTTCTGGTCGCCTGGTGGAAGCCGAACCGAAAACCGAACGTGTCTGAAAAAGTCCGCCACCACAACACGGGCCGGTGCACGTCTTGTCCCCACCTGCAAATCGCGCGTGTGTGTGGGGCGATTTCGTTCCCCAGCTGTGGAGCAAATTCGCTGTTGTGAAGTGAATCGCAATCGGAATTGGAACTTTTGTTCCGAAACGAAGCCAAACGGCGACGGCACGTGCTGCTTTGCTCGCATGTATGTGGGCGGAGGCCTGCAACCACGCCTACCGTGCGAATTAATTTGCTGCCGCCTGCCGGTTTCCGCCTGTGCTGGCCATTTAACGCAAATTACTAACTACTCCCCTAAAAAGCCGACGCCTTATCAACACGGCCGCCTTATCAGCAAACGCTGTCGGACGGGCGGAGCGGCAATTCCGACAGAGCAGCGCCCACAAAAGGCCGATTGGACAAAATTGGAAAAACGAGAACCCCGCCAAAAGTGAATTCCCTCTTTTTCACCAGGCGCACAGAACGAGCAGGCCGACGAAATGGCAGCGAATTCGTGAGGAGTGGTAACCGTGCGGGTGGGAGCGAGACGACAACAGTGTCGCAATGGCAGGGGTTTTCAATGTGACTGGTCGCCGGTGTGTGCGTGTGTGTGTAACTGTGTGAGCAAAGGAATTGCCAAAGCTGACAAATTGCGGCAGTTTAAGGCCAAAACTAGTGATTATTGAATGTCTTTAAGCTGAGCAAACAATTATATTGCCTCTCTCTTTCTCGCCTTGGAGCACAATCTTTGATTTTTTGCACCAAGGGCAATTGAAGCAAATTGGCTGGTTCAACGACTGGCTAACAGAGGGCGCCACCTCCTGTTTGGGGGAAAATAAACCCAGGGTAAAAGCCAAGAAAACCCATTGCTACACGCCCACAAATGCGAGCCCTGCGCCCCTCATGCCATCTCGCTCTCGTTTCCACTGTGCAACACAAAGTGGAGAAAAATAATAATAAAAAAACACGTAAATAAACACAGAAAACATTGTTTGTTTGAACCGCAATTTCTAATGCAAACACACTCGCCCCTGCGAGTCTCGCTCGAACATTTTGCTCAATTTTGAGCAGTCATTTTGTTTGCTCACATCACAGGCCAACAGAAAACGGAAAATTGGCCCCAACAAACGCTCTCGGTTCGGTTCTACGACTATTAACTATATGGCCCCTCTGGCACACATGTATGTACGTACACTCATTGCGGTATTTGCGATAAGATGGCGATGGCCTAGGAACTGCATGATGGCGGCGGATCATGTAGAGCGCCGTCGGCGGAAGTTGCGGGCGCCCACTCCGGCCGGACATTTTGTTTTGTGCCCGTCATTTTGCTTATTGCACAGATTTCTACTGGGCCCGCAGCAAAAATCGACAGCTCTCGTTTGCCGCTAAGCGCCAAAAAAAACATAAAACAAAACTATCTCCTAACACTGCCGATTAACTAACAAAACAGCCAAGGCAAAGAAGCGGTCTAAAAGCGTCCATTATTGTGGGCGTTCAACGTTTTCCCACATGAATCATAACAGGCAAACAGCAGTGGGCCACAAAGAGCGTCTCCCCATCTGAAAAAAAGCGAAAAAGAGCCAACTATTTGACTCGCGGGTATGTCTGTGTGTGTGTGTCTGTACGTTCCCCCTGAGAAAAAAGAAGAAGCATCCGGAAGGGGGGCTAAAAGGAGGAAACCAGTTTGCGTGCGATTGTGTATGTGTTGGCTCTGCTCCAAGAGTCCGACAATTCTGCCTCCAATGGTCAGTTTGCTATAATATGGTCAGCATTTGATGTTTGCCTTGGCTTTTTTTACGACCAGCAACCCTACTGCTCCAATCGGGAGCTGCTTAACAGGCGCAAATTAGCTGTAAAATTATATGATTTATATGAATGGTTCATCTTTTCTGTTGATTTAAGTGCAATTACTTAGTTGTTAAATTTTTAATTTTATCTAATATGTATTTACTTTATAAAATATTTTGATTTGCAGATATTAAATATGTAAATATAACACACAGTCTTAAAAATTATAAAATTCTAATTTGTTATAAATTTAAAAAAATCCTTCTTTCGTCAGTTGATTTATATGTAAATTTATTTGTTTGCTTATTTATATGTAAATTTCGATTAACAAAATATTTGCATATGCCCAAACAATAAGAAAATCTTTTAGAACGCGTATACATACATACGTAAAATTCATTGTTGAATAATTTCATTTTATTAATTAACTAACAATGCCTTTTGTTCACCACTTGTTATTTATTTTACCTAACAAGCGGAAATGTAAAACATCGATAACCCTGTAACACTTTACATAGTATTGCCTTGAACTTAACCATGGCTGCGAGCCAAGGGAACGGCCTTGAACTGAATACGCTCCAGGCAAAGGGAGACCGGCTGGAGTGACCCTGATGCTGGCGACGCTCTAAATTACTTGTTGCCTGGCCTTTTTGGACGCTTGCCAAGTTGAGTCGTCGGACTGGAGAGGCCGAGCCCCTTTCCCTGAAGAGCCCCACTCCCAATCCCGGTTACGTAGCCCCAAACGAGACCGTTCCCCCCTAGAGAGCCACTGGTCGACTGGGCAGTCGACGGAAAGACCACGCCCTGGCCAAGCGCAAATGGAATGCTTGGGGAACGTGGAGTGGATGTGATTTGCGCTGCTGCCGGCGATGACGCCAATGCCGGAGCGTCGGCCACCTGCTGCGAGATCGTGCGCGCCTGTTACCGAAACAGGATTTTGGGGCCTGACTGACCGCACTATCGAGTGCCGGGACGGACAAGCGAGGCGTTGACACTTGCCCAACAGCCGATGTACCAATCAACCATCGAACCGTCGAAATGAACCGCACCATTGCACCACCGACCGCGTCAGCCACTCCCATTTTGGGTGGCAGTGAATTGCCTGTGGTTAGTTACCCACCGAGGCCGGCAATTAGCGAATAACCTTAACCTTAGCTTCCAAAAAAGCTCAAATGACAACCTGTACTATGAGGCGCCCAAAATTGCTTAGCTGGTGGCCAGGCCACCCGAAATTCAGCGATGGGGGAAACCCGGCGAGAGTTCATTTAACCCGCCACGCTTCGAGTGAGTATTTCGTAACCCCCCTCCGCCCGTTAACCGAAAATACGGAGAACTTGTTTCGGCGCATCTCAATGCCACTTGGAGATTATACGAGAGCTTATGTCATCGACAGTCGAGCAAAAACCTCCTCATACTTCCCCCCACCAGCAGCAGCAAACTGCTGGTTTGCCAAAATTCGATTTGACCCACTGATTGCCGAAAAAGTTTGCGAAATTTGCGAAATTCGCAAAATCCTTGAGTTTCAAGGTGCGTCCTTCACTTGGCAATGGGAACGGCCCCGAAATTACGGTCAAGGCGAGAGTTCCACCAGTCGAAGGTTGAAATTAGCGGGCGAGGCTAACGAGAACAGGGGCGATACCGAGTTGAGCAGAAAGCCGATTACGGTAAATAAAAAATTCCGAGTTGAGCAGAAACGATTTTTGGACATAAAAAATGAACGTCCGAGTTGAGCAGAAACGATTTTTGCACATAAAAAATGAACGTCCGAGTTGAGCAGAAAACCGATTATGGTAAAAAAAAAAAAAAAAAAAACATCCGAGTTGCGCATGAACGCCTTTTCCACATAAAAAACCAATGTCAGAGATGCCACAAAATCATTATTAATTAAATAATTTAATTTTTCAAAAAAATGGTTCTTTTTTCAGTTTTCAGTTTAGTTCTTTTTTTTTTTGAAAAATTACTTAATAATCATATAACATAGCATATGTATCAATGCAAAAGTGCGCCACTTATGCATTGATACATATGCTATATGATTATTAAGTAATTATTAAAAAAAAAGGTTATCTTTTCTGTTTTTAGTCTTTTTTTTTTTAGAAAAATTACCTAATAATCATATAGCATATGTATCAATGCAAAAGTGCGCGCGCACTTTTGCATTGATACATATGCTATATGATTATTAAGTAATTTTTCTCAAAAAAAAAGGTTATTTTTTCAGTTTTTAGTTTAGTTTTTTTTTTGAAAAAATACTTAATAATCATATATGATACATATATGATTATTAAGTAATAATTATTTGCAAATAAATGAATAATAAATATGTAATAATTATATGAATAAGTAATGAAAAGTGCGCGCGCACTTTTGCATTGATACATATGCTATATGATTATTAAGTAATTTTTCTCAAAAAAAGGTTATTTTTTCAGTTTTTAGTTTAGTTTTTTTTTTTGAAAAAATACTTAATAATCATATATGATACATATATGATTATTAAGTAATAATTATTTGCAAATAAATGAATAATAAATATGTAATAATTATATGAATAAGTAATGATTTTGACGCATTTCTGACATTGATTTTGCCCAACTCGGAGGTTTTTTTTTTTTACCGTTATCGGTTTTATGCTCAACTCGGACGTTCATTTTTTATGTTCAAAAATCGTTTCTGCTCAACTCGGATGTTCATTTTTTATGTCCAAAAATCGTTTCTGCTCAACTCGGATGTTCATTTTTTATGTCCAAAAAGAGTTTCTGCTCAACTCGGACAATTTTTTTCAATTTTCTGCTCAACTCGGCTAGCCCCGAGAACAGGAACGAGACTGCCAGAACGGGATCGAGCGATGTGTTTGTGTCAGCAGAGGTCTCGCTCTCGCCGTGCGCTACGAATATGCGGCCTATTGTTTCCTTAGACAAGGTGGGGTGAATGATTTGTTAACATTTGGAAGTTAAGAAACAAACTTGATTGATCAATGCCAAATTTAAAGAAATAAGGGAAAACTAAATAAATTCTAAATCCATTTTTGTTGAATATATTAAATAAATTAATAAATTAAACATAAGTTTGTACATCCATACAAAGTATTATATATTGAAACTTAATCTTAATTTTTTACAAATATGTTTAATAAATAAAAAGTCCTTACGATGGAGATAATCGATTTTATATCTCCACCAGTAAGCTCTACATCCATCAGTGACTAAACGCCATAGGGAAGGGTACACAGAGGTACCGCCCACGCTCGCAAGATTCTCGATACATGAGCTGTACACACACACACTCTCTTTCACAATAAACTCAAATTCCGCCTCGCAACAAAGGCGGAGCGAATCAAGTGTTGCTCGTTGTTTTTATTGTTGTTATGCTTGTTTTTGTTGCCTGTTTACCCGTGGGTTTTGAGTTGCCATGTTGTTTCTGCTGCCAACGTGATGTTGTTGCGTCGGCCGTGTTCTTGTCGTCATGTGTACGATATTTTCTGGCCGCCTAATGAAAATGTTGCTGTTTTTGTTTTTTGTTGTTGATATAATAAAACACCATGTGCCGCCGCAGCCGCCGCTTTGTTGTATAAGCAAACAGTCAAACTCGAACGACAAGAAGCCGCAAGAACGGAAAACGGCAGAAATCGCGCGAGGCGAAGCGACGCGTCGCGACGCGTTTTTTGCCGTCGCTGTCAGTCGTGAAGGTGGGTCATTGTGAAATGACAGCGCCGAACCAACCAGGTGCGCAGAAAGTGCGAGCAGGACGCCCTCCTCCGGTTCGCTTGAGCGAGATGGCTATATGAGCCGCACTGTTTCGGGGGTGGATTGCATCGCCGTCCCTCTTTGGCGGCGACCTTCTCTGCATGCTGTGCGCCGGTGTGCATTTTTGCGTCTGAAAGAAACAGGTCGAAGCCGGCCAAAACCCGCGGAAACGGAGATTAATGTGAATGTCGCTCGCTCGAGGCGAATGCCGAAATCCACTTACTGGCCGTCTTTGCGCTCCGGTCCCTCGATGTCGGAAAATGTCGTGCAAGTGTTCGCATTTGTCGCTGCAAGCGCCAGAAAGGGAGACGTTACATTTCGAATTTGACTTGTTCTGGTCGGTAGTACAGTAAAATGGGCAAATTCGAACCGTGTTATCCCATGTAAAATGGAGAAACGTTTTTGTTTTTACTCCTTAATATGTATGTAGCTATTGGTAATGCGTAGGTTTAAAGGGGGATTTATGTTGGTTTTATGGCGCTGCTAAAAGGACAATTAAAATGTACATACAATTCTGTACATTTGTTGTAAGAATAAACGCCAACCATTCAAAGGAAAATGTTGACGTGGTGGAATATGTACAAATATGTATGTACATTTCTTTACTCAGAACAGTTTCAGCATATGCAACCGTTAACATTGCAAGTGTTACGGAGCATTTCATTTTATTTTTTTACACAACATTTTATGTAAGTCCTTTAATCCCTTATTTTTTGATAGCCAAAAATTCGTATAGCATGCGAACCACCTATAACCTTCGCGCCCTCCCACAAACAAATCAAAAATTATTCACTTGAAGTTTGGTATAGATGTTCGAAAAGAGTGTACCAACCTAACAAAACTTAAATATCGATAATCGAAAGTAATTAATTAATATTTAGCTTAAATTAAACCGACCAGAGTTTTTTTTAATATTAGATTTATTTTTTAATTAAAGAACGAAGTTTTTAATTTAGTCTTGTAAGTCCGATCAGGAATGTAAAAAAAATTAGAAAATAAATTTATTGAATCCATTTGTTAATTTTTTCAACCGAACTTTGCTTAAACTTTGAAATATTTGCACCTATTTTGTGGACATACTCGTACATACATACACATGCCAGAAAAAGTATGCGTACAAACTCGATGCCTAACTTTGATCGCTAAAAAAACATATATATATAATTGATATCGACTTAATTTTTTTTTATATTGTTAACACATTTATTGATTATAAATATATTTAGTTTTTATTAACATAACACCTTAACTTTATTTATTAAAATTAAAAAACGAAAAAGTGACGAATTTTTAGCCAGAAAAAATATGCGTACAAATTTGAAAAACGATGTGTATCTGCTCTGTATGCAGCTTTAGGTACCGTTAGTTTACTAGAAACGGTAAATAAAGCTCTAAGAACTGCTTGGCACTTGTTCTTTGAGCAAATTTCGTCACTTCGAGGAAAAAATCGCAATGGGCAAGAAGACAAAAGAAATTGATCCCGATTTAAGGAAACTAATTGTAAAACTCCGAGATGAGGGGAAAACTCTGCGGGAAATCGGGAAAATTGTTGGCAGAGCTCATTCCTCTATACAAAGAGTGCTCGAAAACTTCGATTTAAACGGGTCAATTAGGTCAAAGCCACGTTCTGGAAGGCCACCTAAGCTGACGGATCGAGAGAAGCGGGACGTTTTGAAGAGTGTGAAGCTGAATCCTCGATTAACAGCCTTCAAAATTACTCAGGACATCAAGGAGAAGTTCAACAAAGATCTTCATGAGGATACAATCCGAAAAATTTTGAAGAAAGAGGACTTACATGCCCGTACCGCGCGGAAGAAGCCCTTAATATCGCCGGCCAATAAGAGAAAGCGAACAGATTTTGCCAAAAAATTTGTCCAGGAGCCTGCAGTGTTCTGGAACAAGGTCCTATTCAGCGACGAGTAAATTCTGCATTTTTGGAATAAAAGGGCGAAAACTGGTGTGGCGTAAGAGCGGTACAGCGCTGGACGTGCAAAATCTTGCTCCGACTGTAAAGCATGGTGGCGGCGGTGTGATGGTATGGGGGTGTATGGCGGCAAGTGGAGTAGGAAATCTGGATTGTATCCTCATGAAGATCTTTGTTGAACTTCTCCTTGATGTCCTGAGTAATTTTGAAGGCTGTTAATCGAGGATTCAGCTTCACACTCTTCAAAACGTCCCGCTTCTCTCGATCCGTCAGCTTAGGTGGCCTTCCAGAACGTGGCTTTGACCTAATTGACCCGTTTAAATCGAAGTTTTCGAGCACTCTTTGTATAGAGGAATGAGCTCTGCCAACAATTTTCCCGATTTCCCGCAGAGTTTTCCCCTCATCTCGGAGTTTTACAATTAGTTTCCTTAAATCGGGATCAATTTCTTTTGTCTTCTTGCCCATTACGATTTTTTCCTCGAAGTGACGAAATTTGCTCAAAGAACAAGTGCCAAGCAGTTCTTAGAGCTTTATTTACCGTTTCTAGTAAACTAACGGTACCTAAAGCTGCATACAGAGCAGATACACATCGTTTTTCAAATTTGTACGCATATTTTTTCTGGCTAAAAATTCGTCACTTTTTCGTTTTTTAATTTTAATAAATAAAGTTAAGGTGTTATGTTAATAAAAACTAAATATATTTATAATCAATAAATGTGTTAACAATATAAAAAAAAATTAAGTCGATATCAATTATATATATATGTTTTTTTAGCGATCAAAGTTAGGCATCGAGTTTGTACGCATACTTTTTCTGGCATGTGTATGTATGCAATTTATCAACTTCAATAACGTAACAACTTTAAAAAATTTATGTGTGTTGTTTAGCGAATTTACTTATATATTTATTATTCATCAAGTCCGTGTAAGCAAACAGTTCGAAAAATAAGAAACAAACTAAGTAAGGAAATGTATTTGTTGACACGAAACATTATTCAAACATTTGATGATTATTAATAATATTTTTTTTAAGCAAAAATAAAACTTTGAAGGCATTTCGAAAGATATGCAGGTTCTTTTTGGCAAGTCTTATAAAAACTTTCTTCTTCTTTGTGCTGACGGTCATGGCAGTAATTTAAGCGCCGCGAAAATGTCTTAAGTCACGGATAAGTCGTGGGGATAATCCCCGCGAGGTATGCACACGCACCCCAAGGTCAAGCTGGCACCTGTCTTAATCCCCCTAATTAGATTCTTCGGCGGGCTATAAAAGCATTTTGACAGCAGTTGGGCCAGGCCAAAGGTGACTCAAGTGGAGGAGGGCCAGCATGTCGGGCTCCAAGGGGAACTGAATACGCGGAGCCGATCAGCCAGGATGCACCTCAGTGGCCCAAGTGGGCCGCAGGCCCTTGTGAACGACAGTTCTGGAGATGGAGCCGTTTTCCCCATGGGTCACGGCTATCCATCGGAGTACCAGCACATGGTGCACTCCCACTGGCGCGGATTCAGAGAGGCACCCATATACTACCACGCTGGCTTTTACATCGCCTTTTGCGTCCTCATGCTCCTGAATCTTTTCGGAAATGGATTAGTCATCTGGATATTCTCAACGTAAGTAAATTAGTAATTGCAAGTAACTTCATTAAATTGAGTATTAATTTAGATCGAAATCACTGCGAACTCCTTCCAATCTGCTGATTCTGAACCTGGCCATCTTCGATCTGTTCATGTGCACCAATATGCCCCACTATCTCATCAACGCGACTGCTGGCTATATAGTCGGAGGAGATCTCGGCTGCGATATATACGCTTTGAACGGGGGCATCTCCGGAATGGGGGCTTCCATAACGAATGCCTTCATTGCCTTCGATCGGTACAAGACAATATCGAACCCCATTGACGGACGACTAAGCTATGGCCAAATTATCCTGCTGATTATTTTCACTTGGTTGTGGGCCACTCCGTTTTCGGTGCTGCCCTTCTTTCAAATTTGGGGACGTTATCAGCCGGGTAAGTGGTGGCTAAATATTTTGGATTAGTGTTGCTAGCAAAGAAAAGTTCTAAACATGAAAGCAGTTTATTTCAATAACGAACTATGCCAAAACAACTATTTGTTAGGCATTTGTAAATATTAATAGTTTAAATACTTTTTGGTAACAATAATAGTTGCTTAAAGTAAATTTTTAAAGTAAACAAAATAATGTTTTCTGCTCGGTAAAGAGGAAATATTTATTATAACTATTTTGCTTTCCCGATTAAATTAATTTTTCAGAGGGCTATCTGACCACCTGCTCCTTTGACTACCTGACCAACACGGATGAAAACCGGCTGTTCGTGCGCACGATCTTCGTGTGGTCCTACGCGATTCCGATGACCATGATCCTGGTGTCCTACTACAAGCTCTTCACCCACGTCCGCGTCCACGAGAAGATGCTGGCGGAGCAGGCGAAGAAGATGAACGTGAAGTCGCTGTCGGCCAACGCCAATGCGGACAGCATGAGTGTGGAGCTGCGGATCGCGAAGGCGGCCCTCATCATCTACATGCTGTTCATCGTGGCCTGGACGCCCTACTCGGTGGTGGCCCTGATCGGATGCTTCGGGGAGCAGCAGGTCATCTCGCCCTTCGTCTCCATGCTGCCCATGCTGGCCTGCAAGTCGGTGTCCTGTCTGGATCCCTGGGTCTACGCCACCAGCCACCCCAAGTACCGCCTGGAGTTGGAGCGCCGGCTTCCCTGGTTGGGCATCCGCGAGAAACAGGCCACATCCGGATCATCTGGTGGGCAGGAGAGCGTGGCCAGTGTCAGCGGCGATACCTTGGCCCTGAGTGTGCAAAACTAATGGCGAGAGTCACAGGATTAACGAAGTACTTGAAAGTTGATTAGTTTTAAGGCGCAATGAACTGAAAGAGTTCCAAAAATACAAACCAAAAAAAAGCTGGCATTGAAAAATTATACAAAGTATCTTTTGAGGCGAATTGAAAACTGGTGGTGGTGTAAGAAATATTAGTTATTAGAATAAGGAAGTCAAATCTGGCCGTTTCCACCCTATACCTTTTTCAACTTCACTTGTTTAAAAGTTTCTTATGATTTTTTTTTATATTCGCGTGATGTGCTTGGGTTTCCGTAATTATTATAACACATTATATTATGTTATTATAACATAACAAAGGTATTTAAAACACACCCAGCCAGTTTTTCCTTTTGTTTCAATTTGTGTTTTTTATTTTTTCGTGAATTTCTATAAAATTTGATATGTTACTTTCATCTGATATGGCACTTTTAATAATATGTATTAATAATATGTATGTATTATCAAATATAACGTTTAAACAATATTTCCTTAAACAATTGTGGTTGTTTAAACATAAAGCAACCCACATGCACAGCTTGCAATTGAAAATAATGAATTGGGTTTCATTTTTTTCGGGTAAGGTAACTGGAAAAACAAGTCATTGGAGCATTTCCTTTATCAACCACATATTAATTCATTTATGAGCTCGACTTTAACGGAGACAGTCCTTCTCTTAAAGACCTTCCCTCGTTCTGCTTTAAAGGCAAATTGAAGCTGTTTCGGTTCGATTGCGCGTAGAGCGCACACTCGGTAAATACAAACCGAATCAAATAATCGACGCGGCAACGGCGATTTCAATAGGTGGTGGCAGTCCAGCCGGGCAGTCCAACCACCGGCGAGGTTGAAGAAGTTGTGCTTCTTTGTTGCTTGCGCATCCAACCAATCCGAAAACCAAAAGCCGCGTTTCAATTCAGCGAATGTTCCACACGATACCAGGCGAACAGGAGCGCCAGCGGGGGTATACAACATTTAAAGGCGAGCGCTGAGAGCGTGATTGGCTGGCGCGAGTGGGAGTGGTGGGCAAATCGAATCCCCGGAGCGAGGAGCATGGCAACAATGTTGCAGTTGTTCCCGCTCCACGGGGAATGTGCTGTGCCGCCATACACATAGATGTAGACCACGCGGACCACAATTGTGCGAGCGAGTGGCGCGAAGTGGGGCTTCTTCTTGCTCTTTAAGAAACAACAAACATTTTTACTAGGTCTCCAGGAGATTTAGCAGCATGCCGTGTGGCTAGCGAGCGATTAGATTTCCAATGGAAACTCAATAGAAACGCCGTTAGAAGCGCCCAACCACAGGTGCGAGTGAGATGAAGGTAGTAAAGTGCGGGATTAGAGAGATAGACGGATGTGCATTCAGCATCTGCCTGGCACTCGCACTCGAAACCCACAACGCCTCCTCCACCTCCAGCGAGACCACTTGATTCTCCGGATAATCCAATTTGCGCGTTGAATTGAAGAGCCGTTTTCTGTTGTGTCGTTTTCCACATTCCTCTTATTGTGCGCCCGCCCGACTTGTTGCATGTAATAATAATAATAACGAACGAAACGGTATCGTAGCTGTTTAGTGGATGATTAAACTGAATTTAATCGTTTGCGAACAGGCGCTCAGCGGCACTCAGACGGTTGGCTGGCCATTATTGTCGCTGCGTTTCTCGCCCTGAAATCCATACGAGTTTAAATTGCCCACTGAATGGGTGGCACTCTACAGTCGTCTCGTTCGCACACTCGTTTTAGCGAGCATCTTGAAGCCCTGTTGCGAATTCGCTGCACAGAATCGTTCTGACTGGGTAACAATTGAATATAACACTTTATTTATAAAATATTAGTAAATAATATTTAAATTCCTAATACAAAATATTCTTAAATAAGGTTAAGTAACTGGCATTTGCATACAATTCACTTGTATATTTGCGAAAGTTTATAATACATTTATAAAAATAAAACACGTTATTTCATAAAAGTAAAAGTATAATTAGTCAAAAAAGATGTTTTGCTAAAATTAATCCTAAGACAACGTTATAAATATATACAAGAACGTACTTAAGAAACTTTTAGGAGTTTCTAAATAAGCATTGTAAATAATTTTTTCCCCTCTTAAATTATAATTCTTATCAAATAACAAGCAAATTTCCCATGGGTAAGGCACATTACAATCTGCCATCTCACTTGTGCTCGTTCCAGACATGCGACCAGTGACAGCCGACCATGTCTGTCTCTGTCTTCCGGCATTAATCGTCTTTCTATGATTTTGGCAATCCTAATAATGCCAATTCATGGGGTGGGCGCCTGTTAACTAGCAGCAGGCTTACAGCATTAACATGACGGAAATCAATAACAGATGACGTTCCGGGACTGCACCCACTTATCCTGCGCCTCTGTTAACATTTGAACGTTAAAAATTCGATTTTATAGAATTCCAGCAACGCCCCGAAGAGCGAGAAAAGAGCAGTGTTTGCCGGAAGATAATTACACTGGCGGCAGCAAAGCCAAAGCGAAGCCAAAACCGAAACCGACAAAAGAGGCCTTTCGAATTGCGCTAACAGGCGAGCTGCTACGCATTCTGCGCGCCTCTTAGTTATTATGTCAGATCTGCAATGTGCGACTATAAAATACGTATGCGGCCGACGAGAATTTATTGACTCAACGCCCCCGTTTGGGGGTGTGGGTTATAAAATTGATGGCATAAACTGTCTTGAATTTATAAGCACTCGCACAGGGGACACGCTCGCTGCGCCCATGGCCTGCATTTGCATTTCCTGGGCGCCTGGGCGGTTTTTCGAGTGTATGGTAACATGTTGTAGTCATTTTATGAGCCGCAGAGTGTGTGAAGGCCTTTTGGGGGGTGGATTTGCACTGGGTAGCGGGCTTTCGCTTTCTGGAGGCCTGGTAAAAATTTTCGGTTGTATGTTGGTAACATTTGTGGTCCCAAAATGTTCGAGACGACCGGCAGCGGCAGCTCTGGCAACGCTCATCGCGCCATCCCGCTCGCTCTTGTGGGCTTGTTGGAATTTTGGGGCGGCATTCCCGACCGCATATTTCGAATCTCGTAACGCCTCGCATTCCGCCGTGGGCGAGATCAGGGTTGCCAGGCCAGCAGTCGGGATCGAGGCGAGACAGGTGGCCGCCAAGCTGAGGGCCGCGCTACAACCCTGGTCGAGCGTTCCACGGACCAGTGGCATTCCTAACATAACCGTCCGTCTGCTTTTTGCGCTGCTTGCCTGTTCGGGCAGCTGAGTGAAATTTCATGCAGCGCGATTCTCACAAATTTCGAATTCCCCACATATTTTCATGGCGTGCCGCTGGCACTGTGTTACTTTTGCCTCTATTCTCACTGCTCGTGATTATGACGTTTTGTGTCCGGGGTGGTTGACTTTCCTCGTCCACTGTTTTCGCGGCCTTGAGTGGGCGTTTTGTGAACTTGTGGGTGATTGACATACATTTTTGAGCAAAACAATAACATCTTCTATTTGAGGAGGAAAGCAAAGCGATTTGAGCCTTCAACAAAAGACTTACTGACGCGTTTCAACTTGAAAGAGGTAACTTAACGTAACGTTCGGCATAAACTGTTTTATGGCTATTTGCATAAATGTATTTCGCGAGTGTTGTACTGAAATAACGAAACAAAGTGGTTCACATTTTCACATATGTATGTACATATGTATGTATGTATATAAACTAAATAGCCACGTTCATTAGTAAAATAAAAACTAAATACCCCAAAGCAATAAAATCTTATAAATTTTGTGATATATATATGATTATTGTGGTTTATGAAGATACTAATCAAAGAAAGTCCTCCTGCAAAATTTTGTACACCTAAAAAAATGTCACGAACATATTTTATTAACAATAATAAAATCCTTTAAATTGTTTAAATATAAAGAAAAATGATTAATTAAATACATATGTCGTTCCTAAGTTTTTAATTTCAACGCGATCTTTTTGAAAAGATGAAGTAATATTTAAAAAAATATTTCCCTTTTATAAAAAAAAAACATTGCACTATTGTTAAAACGTCTTTAAAATTTTAAATTGAAAATGTGTAAAATAATTTAAAAAAAAGAGAAAAGTTCACCCCTTTTGCTTAAGGTGTAATCAAAAAGGATAGTTGCTTCTTAAGGGGCTTACACTGAAAATATTTTCCTCGTACTTGGTTTTATAAGATTCGTTATTTGAGCACTGCTGCACAAAGAGAAAGAGCTGCTTGGCAACCTATGTATGGCGAACCAATACCAAGATCCCCAACTAGTTTCTCCGTCGGAGTGGAGGGGAATTGGCGGGGGGAAGACCTCATTATCCCCTCCGCAGATTACGCACTCCATCGACGTGGACTCCTTAAATTCAAGGTGACATCGCCGAGATCGAGGGAACAGCCCAATCTCGTCCAGTTCCGTAAAGTGGAGCCACCTGGCTGGGAGTCGCACTCCCACTGGCCAAAAGTGGGTGGCAGTGGTGCCGCTGGAGTTAGACGCACTATTGTCCTCTTCAAATCCTCATTGTAACAAGCGCCCAGAATCATTGCCTTACGCATAAGTCGACCTGACTCCAGACTTCGAAAAGTGCAGCGACAACAACAGCAACAACAATAAAAACAACAAAAGCAGCAGCAGCAGCGCAGCAGAAATGCCAATGCAAAAAAGTTGCCATAAAGAGACGACAGCGTCCCCATCTCCGCATCCGCATCGGCATCGGCATCGCCCAAAAATAAATGCAACGCCTCCGAATGGACGATCTCCCTGATACTTTTACTTGCCCCTCCTCCTTCCCTCCGCCCTCGGGACCCTCGAGATCGCAACCAAGTCGTCGGATGCAATGTCCATCGCCGCTGCGATGTTGCTGCTGCGCTGTGATATTGCTGCTGTGCTGCGGTTGCTGCTGCTCCCAGCAAGTTCATTGACCCAGCTCAAGGCGATGCGAGAAAGGAAATCGAGTAAACACCACGCACACAGCGAAATATTTAACGAGCGAATCATTCTGATTGCGTCCCGCAAACTGGTTTCAGGTTTGCGAACCGCAATCGAAAGTCGGAATCGGGAATACGAGTACGTTACTCACGGGAAACTCAGATAAATCATCTTGACAAAGTGGAGAACATGTTTCCGGTAAAGATAAATCAAAGTTTTTAAAAGATCAACAAAAGTTTTTACATTACTAAATAAATCTGTATCATTAAAAATATTCCCATTTTAAATAAATATGTATAAAGATGTGAAGTAAATTTAAAAATATATGCTACCAAAAAAACTGTTTTCCCTCTGCAAAAGTATAACAAGAATTTGGGAAAAGAAATACGAAGTATAATCAACATTTACCTTGTCATTTTTATTGAGTTCGTATATTGCTATATAAATATTTTACCTCTTTCCAGCTTAAGTTGTTAATTGTAAATACAAATTGTCTCTTTTGTACAGACGTAAGTATAACTATACACATAATGTGGATTTGGAATGCCTATATAGATTATTTATAGCTTTGATTATAAATTATGCAGAACGTCGCTAATATTATTCCACTGTCCGATTAATTGTGCGAACGTAAATAAATGTTTCTGCATTTGCAAGCCGTATCTCAATACGTAAATTCATTTAATTAGGCGGGTGGGTTATTTAGCGACGTTCAATCTGCGTTAAAACAATATTTGGTGCCATTGGATATAAAATAAACTAGAGTATAATATCATATTTTGGTACAGAATTTCACGCTGTCTAGCAAAGCAGGGCGATGTTTCCGCTCTCGTTGCCGGCGAGGAAGGCTCGGTTCAAGGGCAACACGGCCAGGGAGGTGAGCACGCCGCGGAACGTCTCCGAGCGAAGTTTGGTGATCGTGTTGAAGGCGTGGGAGTGGGCCACATCTGCATAGACGCCCACTCGGTTGCCAGTGGTGGCGTAGACCAAGGAGGAGCCCACACTCTGCAGGAAGTGCGCGGGTTCCGGGGGAGGTCTGTAAAATATAACATTATAAGTAATACTTCATCATAGAAATAGTTATTTAAACCCACTTTAGTTGGTAGTGCATGATGCCATCCAGGGCATGCCAAACGGCCAGGCTGTGATCCAAGGCGGAGCTCACCAGGAACTGATCGCTCGGCGCCGCCAGCTGCAGCAGATCGCATTCCATGGGTCGCCAGGAGTTGATCACCATTCCGGTGCGCGTGTCCAGCTGAACGATGCATCCGGAGGAGAGACCTGCCGCCAGCCAATTCCCGGATGGAGCCACCGCCAGGCAACGGACTGTGGCATTGGGTAAGGTGGCATTGCACACCCGCCACTCGTTGACGTACTCCAAACTCCTGGCGTCGACCATCTTCACAGTGGACTCTGCCGTGCCGGCAATCACCAGTGGCGAATGAGAGGGCAAACACTTGACCACCGTCACTGCGCTGTGACGAGGAGCATCCAGTATCCCAAGGGGTCTCCCGATAAACGGATCCCACAGGTGAATGCCCGAGTCGCAGGACACCACGTAACGCAGCGATTCCAGGAAGCCCAGGGAGTTGATGGACTTCTTGTGCGCCGTGTAGGTGAACTGGCAGGCGGTGGTCTTCCGGCCATCTCCTTCGCTGCGCAGCGACCACAGCTTGACGGTCTTGTCTTTGGAGGCGGAGATGAAGCTGTTCTCGTTATCAAGAGCATAAATGGCTCTCACTGAGTTGGTGTGACCCACGAAGGACTGAAGGCGAATCTGCTTGAGGTTGAGCGTCTGATTATCCTTCTCACTGCGCGTCGTCTCATTGCGCCAGTAGGCCAACCAGTTGCCTTTCAGGTGTCGAGTGCTGGGCATCTGGTCCAACTTGTAGGCCACCATGTCGATCAGCTCCACATTGTTCCTGGCCACCTGCAGCCGATTGCCCACGATCTGGGTGCCAAAACTGTTCGCGGCCAGCTCACAACTGGCATCCACGGAGTCCAAATCTTGGCCAGAACTCACACTGGTCGCCGATTGGGCCTTGCTCTGTCCATCGCCACTGGGTTGCTCGTGTTCGTGACAGAGGGTCAGCACAAATTCCAGATTGGTAAGAGTCCTCTTCATGTTGGCCTCGCCCAGGAAACGCAGGAAGGTCAGGTAAGCTGTGTGCGCCAGCTCCGGTCCAAACACATCCCTCAGCTCCTCCAGGGCACGTTCCTGCTGCGATGCACCACCAACCAGCGAGAGATTAGCCAGATCGCAAGCAAAATCATTGGGCAAGCCAAAAGCCTTGTTGAAGATCAGGAAAAACGGACTGAGCAGCGACTGGCAGAGGTGCTCCCGCGTCATGTCCGATCCCAAGCGCACACTGAGGGCATAGATCGCATCCAGAAACTTCCGGGCCAGTAGAGAGCGTCCCAGATAACCACTGGGCATCAGGAGATTTGTGGAGCTCAACAGACGCAAAATGGGCAGAAGAATGGCATCCAGCAGGATGTGCTGCAGGTGCTCCATAATGCTGGCATCGGTCAGGCACGGAACCATGTACTTGAGCAGCTGCAGCGAGCTGATGATGGCTCCCTCCAGGCTGCCAGTGATCCGCTTGGAGCACAATCCAATCAGTTCGCTGATGTGCGGGAAGTACTGCAGCAGAAGGAAGTTCTCGCCATAGAGAGCTGGAATATAACATGTTTAAATACTTTACAATGAACTTAAATGGATTTGAGGAATAATAACTCACCCGCAATGGACATGAGGCACTCCAAAACTCGAGCAGCACTCCTATCCCCAACAACCCTGGCGTTGGCAATACTGAAATAGTTTAGGTTGGCCGCCTCGGGACTGGAACTAAACCCACCATCATCGACCTCAGGGAGCAGATTCTCCTGGCCCACATAGCACAGCGAGAGCAGTTTCAGGAGATTCCTGGTGATGAACCGGGAGGTGAGCACCGGACCCAGTCGATGCGACAGCCACACCAGACTCTCGGCGCTCATCTCGCTGATGCGATTATTCTGCACGGCTTTGGCCTCTGACAACCGGGAGATGACCGATGCCTGGAGTGAGTCCGAGGCCTCCGTTTCCGTTTCCACCGCCGCAGCAGGCAGCTGCTCCACCGCCTGGCTGATCAGCTCGAAGCTGTCCACACTCTTCCGGGAGCCAATGTCGCAGTCGATGGCACTCAGCTGGAAGCTGCGTCGAATGCCACCGGCAGTCGGGCAAAGTGGAATCTCGATGGTGGGCGAGCGGGGTCCCAATGGGGGTGGAACCAGAGCTGGCGGCGTTTGCCCCTCCCTCAAAGAAAGCTTATCCGGGGATATTCTCGCTCCGTAAATGAGTTCGTTGATCACCAGTTTGTCCGGAGATCCGTCCGATTCCCGAGCCTCCTCCGCACTGGCGGCACTTGTGCTGGGTCGCATGTCAAAGGAGTCGATGGACTTGCTGTCCTGGATGGACACCCTGTCCTGGTCATCCTCGAAGGTGAACAGCTCCTCGATGTCTGGCTTGGTTTCTGGTTCCGTTGTGTGATGCACCTCCTCCTCCTCCTCGACGGCAAAGTTGAGATTCTTGCTCGTCCTTCTGCTGCCGCCGCTGTGGTAGTGGTAGCCATTGCCCTGCTCCGGTTCCTTGTAGCCGCCAACTGCTTCGATCAGAGGAGCTATAAAGTGGTGCAGGAAGCACCGGAGTCCGAATCGCACAACCAAGCGAAGCAGGAAGCTGTGGTGGTAGAGCTTCACTGATTTCCGAGACTTGAACGAACTGCTGGCGGAGAAGCGCAGATGGCCACCACTGCTATTGGAGCCATTGGATCCACCGTCCTCCTGGGAACTGACCCCCTCGACATCGTAGAGCTTGAGCAGAGGCTGCAGCAAATGCTGTTGAGTTTGGGCAACTCCCAGAGCTTGCGCTATAGGATCGAACAAGTTCCAGGCGGTCAAGATCGAAGTTCGCTCGTCCCTCAAGAGATCGATGATGTGGGGCAGGAGCAGCTCCACCGGAGTGAATTGCTCGTAGGCAAAGGCCACGGGTTCCAACAGCCTCTTCACATGGGCACAGCACGACATCACCTTGCACTCGGCGATCTTCCGTTCGAACAGCACTCTCTGGCGATCCATCTCCGTGTACCTGGCGCACTCCCTTCCTCCCTTGCAATTGAAGTGGGTGTTGAGCTCCAGAAGCACTGCATTGGCCTCGAAAGCATGCAGAGATCTAACCAGAGCATAGACAGCCGTGTAGTGGCTGGGGAACGGGAGCAGCAGGTTGGCGAACATGGGCTCCACCAGCTGAGCGGGACTTGGTGGTTGTGGCAAGCCCTGATCCACCTCATTGGAATCCTCTATTTGCAGGAGGAGGCGCACCACTCGGCGCACTGGTTTGGGCAACTCCTGGCGATGCATTTGAGCCACTGTTCGGCAGGCGGAGAGTCGCGCTTCGAAGGAGGCACTCAGGCCATTGCCCATAAGAAGCGGACGCAATCGTTGCATGGCGAAGAGCTCCACGATAAGGCATCCCAGCACTTGGAGATCACGCTCTTTCCTCGCATTAACCAAATGCTGCAGGCAGTTCTTCTTTTCCTTTAGAAGATTCTTTGACTTCGTGGGTATTTCCCCACCGCTGGCAAAAAGCTGGTTGGTGAAGGAATGCTCAGCTGAATTCTGCTCGAAAAGGAGATCACTGCTGATCTCTTCTCCTCCGGATTGGCCGAAGCCCGTTGCTGCGGGAAAGTGCGTGCGTAGAATGTCTCCAGAGTCTCCAGATTATTAAGCAACAGAGCTGGATTATAGTTCGCCGGAAGTTCGATGAAGTTGGTGATCGCATAGAAGTTGGAAGCGGAAGCGGATGCCGAACTGCTGTGGATTGATCCCTCATCCCCAAGACGCAGAGACAGGTTGGACGATCCGGTTCCAGCCTCGACTTGCAGGTTCTCCGTGCTCTTGGCCAGACGCTTCGAGGGACTGGCGTACAGTTGGCTTAGCCTCGGGGCGGTTTTACTAAACCAGGGCGTGGCATATCGACGCGGAGGATGTGCGTTCGCAAAGAGTTGGACAATGCCGCGCTGGCTGAGATTCCTGTGCTGATCCACCAGCGTAAGGCAAACGTTCTTCGATTTCACCGCTGCCTTGCCACTTAATTTGTATCTGAGAAGAGAAGTAAAATTAGTAACAGAAAAGATCTATTAAGTTAAAAGGCTTACAAATATTTATTCCATTTCAATTACTATATGTTACCATTTGAATTATTTTAATGGTATTAAAAACTCACCCAAAATTGAGATCGATCCAGTGGTGCAGTCGTTCGCTGACGTACTGCGACTCCAAAGCCTCGCGGTGCTTGCAAATAAAGTCCTCGGGACAGGTGGCCCAGGCGGGCAACTCGAGATCCGGCAGATCCTCGTGAATGCTCTTGAAGATCATGGGATCGGAGTAGAACTCCGGGATGCACTCGTCGGGGGTCCATTCCTGAAGGCGCTGAATGGACACCGGGTACTCCGCCGGCACCCAGATGGGACGCACATGGGCACAGAGAACGGCCTGCGGGGTTCTCCTCGCCATGTACACAAAGTAGGTGATCTCGGAGAGAAAGTCGGAGACGTGGTGGGGCGCCTGATCCCCAACAGGTTGGTAACTGCCATCGCCGGCTCCATGCTGACTTGCATGGGCGTACATGAGATCCAGATGAACGTCGCCTTTATTCAAGCGGTACTTGCTCTTGGTCAAATCGCGCCATGCGGCTCCTCCGCGTCCATTGAAGTCGGTCACCCAGGGCATAATGTGGTGATGGGCGGCGTTGGTGAGACTCCTGCCACACGCGTTGTTCAGGATGGTGAGGTAGTCGAAGTTGGACAGCTGACCGTTGCACCACATCTCGGCGTACTCGCGCAGATTGAAGTGGGCGGGATCGTAGGCGAAGTGCAGGTCGAACATGGTGCCGCTCGAGGGCAGTGGCTGCTGCTGATCCCCCGTCTCGCCCAAATCCTCGCTGGCCAGCGGAGTCAGCGGCGACATGTCCTCCCCCGCTGGGTCATCTTCCAACAGGTTGCACTGCAGCCGAGGTAGCACCTGCAGCCAGAGATTCTCGCGCAGCACTATGTGCTGCAGTCGCAGGTCGCCCAGGAAGAGACCCTGTCCCTGCAGATGCTTGGCCAGCTGCAGGATCTGGTAGATCACAAACAGCGTCTTGTTGTAGTTCTTTCCCAACAGCGCAGGACTAAAGGTAATGCAATCGTACAGGCTGCACTCTAGTGCTGGTGGATAAAAGAAGACGCTGAAGTGGGTGGAGGACTCGATGGCCACCAGGGCGGGCAAGACGTTGGCGTGACAGCTGCCGGAAGAGCTCGTAGGGGCGGTGGGTGAATCACCGATCCCCTCTCGGTCCAGTTGGGAGTGAAGCACGGGGCATTGGTAGACCCGTTGGATGAGCTCCTTGAGCACCACATCGTGCGGCTGGAGCTGCCCCTGTCCACTGGGTGGCTTTGCCGACAGTGCCGAAGGTGTGGACCTGCACAGCTTGACATGGGCGCCATCGTACTTCCTGTAGGCCTCCTCCCAGAGTTGCTTAAAGTTACTCTGCGCCACAAAGGATACTGCCTGCGAATAGGAGAGTGGTAAGTCGGGTGAAGGACCCTCTGCGGAGGTCCTGGGCAGCGGGTAGACCCTCGCCTGTGGCTGCTTGCGATACGTTTGCACCAGGATCCTTGTCCACGGGTGCTCCAGCTGGCCAGTGGGATAAGCCCTGCGATCCAATTGCGGCCAGCTGGGGAAGTGAGTCAGACGCCTGTTCCGCTCCAGAGATTGCAGCCAGGCCTTGTCGCAGATCACTTGAAATCGCCCCTCGCCGCCCGCCTCGCTCACATGCTGCGGATCCACTCCAATCTCCGGCCAAATCAGCTCGCTGTCGCCCATTTTGCCTCGGGGGTGCTCCAACTGAAAACTTGCCAATCCTTCTGCGATTCTGCCTGCCTCTGCAAACCGATCACATATTTCGACTGGGCGAGGTTCGATCTGCTGCCGCCATTGGCCTTTTCGATTTAAGCTCACCGAATTTGTGGGTGTTTGGAGGATTTTCTGTTATCTTATTTGTTGTTTTTAGCAATTTCTGTGGTGCTCTTCTTCTTTGGCTAGCAGGACTGCCGGTTCTGCTTTTTTACCGTCAAATCTGAAATCTGGCTGGTTGTTATCGATATTTGTGCAGCCAAACTATCATCTTTTTATCGAAAGCGCGCGACAGTTGTAAAATATTTAAAATTGAAGAAGATATCAAAACAATGAAATGCATATTTTGATTATTTTATTAGATTGTTAGTTTGATATATGAGTTTCTATGTTAGGTATAATTTTAAAATGTAAAACCTAGTGTTATCATTTCATCTTCCAATATTTTAATACTCTCATATTTTACGTTGCTAAATTCACGCAGCCATCAGCCGTTTAACAATGTTACATGGCAGCGACCTGTAAGTTTTTATTTCGGTTTTTAGTTGATCTGGTAACAAGGTTAAACACTGAACTCGATGAAAAGTGCCTTAGCTATTGTTTCCCTTTCGCTTACTCCCATAGCGGAAAAACAGATTTCGTCGATCGCTTTACTTGGCTTTAACAATGTAGCTCAGTAAACTTTTTGTAGTATTTAATTATTTTGTTAGCTTAATATTAAGAAAGCGTTTCATCAATTTGTCAAAGCACACACAAAGCGATATTTGTTTTTGCCACTGCTGAGCAAAGTTTGCATTTTCAACCGATGTCAACACCTTCCTGCATGGCAGCTGTAAATTAAATGCTCGGCATGCGACGCATGTGGGAAACACTTGACCGATAATAATCGCAAATGTAATCAAAGGGCATGCTATCAGTAATAAACTTTTGGAGCTCGAAAAGCCCTATACTTATGTACATATCAGTATAAAAGTATTTGTATTTACCAAGTCAACAAACGCGTGTATTTGGATTAGAATAGATCTGCTAAGTAAATCTTTAAAGTATTGACACATTAAGAAGTCAAATATTTCTATAATAAAATCAAATAACATTTCTTAAAAAGAAGATGACATTTTAAGATACACTTATATTTATATTAACGTATATCCAGTTATAAATTATGAAGCATGCTTTGTATGTTTGCTTTCCTCATGGAAATTCCCACGCTTCTCTTTCCCAACATTCCGAATTCTTATCCAAAATCCTTATCTTATCAAAAAGGTGGCTAGTTCTGTAATTTGCCGCCTTCTGCGGTCCTCTTTTTATTTTTCGCTGTTTGTGTTCGGCATTTAAAAGAGCTCCAAAGCAGCATCCGAGTTTAAGGTCAAGGTGGGCCATGGTCTTCCAGTTTTCTCGCATCTGATATAGATTGGGATTAGAATATAAAATATAATTTTGTTGAATCGCGCTCGGAATACAGAAGCCATATCATTTGTATATCCCATCCAACTGGTTTCGGTGCCTCCGAAACGAACCTTACCCAATCTGATGCACGGACTCACTTCCGTTTTGCACAAATTAGCGGCATTAAATATTGTGTATAAATAACAGAATCACGTGTTAAAGGCTTGTCTCTGGTTTCAGGTTCACCTGTCCAGATGTTGTTAGGAAATTCACTCGGACCCAATATTTGCAAAGTGCCACAATTAAATGTTTTGCATGGCGAGAGGGGGAGTATTTGCCTGCTAAAAGTTCATACCACTTTTCACACTTCAAATGAGTTGTGCAAACAATTGATACGTGTGCTTATTTATTACAAGTGATGTGCAGTACATTATGTATTATACAAGCCAGCCCTCCCGACTTTGGGAATAATGCAATCTTTAAAAATACCCCTTATATGATTGCAATTGAATTTGGCACTTTCCCTTACCGCATCGGAAATTATTTCGCACTCGTAAAGCGGCGCACACGACTGCCTGTGATCCGAATCAGCGAATATGGCCAATTAAGTTATTAAACACCTTTTCTGGATGACGCACCCCAAACGCTCCCCATTTGGTCGCACTCCCGCCCATAAATATAAATCAGTATCAATGGGACACGACTTTCGCGACATTTGAAAGTAAGTATGTACAAGTATATAGGCTTATTTAACGAAGTGGGCTTTTTTTAACCGCAAATCACATGCTGGCTTTATGCCTCAGATTTGACAGTTCTGTTTGTTCCATACTCGGATCGGAGATTCCCGCCTGTCCTCCCGGACAATCTTATCTTTTCCTTGAAGCCTTGGTACAAAGTCGCGCTATAAAGTCTCTGGCCGCTATAAAGATTAGGACCGATATTATGGTTAGTACCATTGTAAAAGGCATATTTTAGATAGCCAACTATGGCCGTTCCGTTCCGTTCCGCAGTTTATTCAGTTTTATGGCCAACACGAATATGGCAATATTACCCAGTTAAGCAGAACAGAAAAAACCCAGAACTCACATAACCCCGTGACCCATTGGTGGTCAGCCTTCGATCACTTAACCCACTACACATATCGCCCAATCCAATCCAATCCAATCCACTCCAATTTAGCCAAGTAATTCGAGTCTCGTGACGATTCGCGGTCTCGGTGTTTATTTCTGTTAGCTCGAGTATTTTCTTGTCATCATCGATGACCCTCGAAATGTCAATTGTGTGGCAATTTCCTTGCCTCGACGATTCGTTTTTATTTGTGGCTGCTATTTTAATTATTTAAGTGCTTATTTACTGCATTTAACTTGAACTATTCTCGCCTTAACCGATGTCGATCACCTGTTAAGATTTCGCTCAAATGATTTATAGTTGTTACTAAAATTGAACTCGTTAGAAACATGTGTCTAAAAATGTGTTAACTATTAAAGTCTTACTATATAGCGTTGAAAAACAATTATCCTTTTATGACCATGCTGTTTTAGCCACTACCTCTAAATATTTATCTAAGGAATTTTTATTTGCTGGAAAATTGCATGAGTGGCATGCTATCTTCTCTTGACAGATACAACTTGTCATCACACTTAAAAATATTTTTAGATTATAACATCGTTACTTTCATCCCAATAATAAAGATAGCGTATGTATATATTTCCAAAGAACCAGTTAATATTTAACCGGTGCCCAGACACAAATGGACTTTAATAAACCCATTAAAACTATTTTTAAATTATTAATATTCCCTTGAATGATTGATACCCTCCCCTCGATTCGAGGTTCCTGACTTTTGTCCTTCCACAGACACTGTTTCGAATCCAGAGATGAAGTTTCCACTTGACTTCGTGGCTTTAATTGGCTGAGACATGAGTGCTCTTGGGTTCTTCTTGAAATGATGTGCGCCCAGGGAATTAAAGGTCTTTGGAGTAAAGTTGACAGAATAATATGGAATTTTGTAAGGCGAATTCTTTAACCCCTTACAACTACATATATTAAAATGTTTTTTAGAAACCGTCTTATCAATGAAATGGGTTTTTAACTGGATAAATTGCATTTAAATATTAAATAAGATTATAAAAAAATTTACGATTATAAATTATTTTATGAAGTTGTTGGTATTGCTTGATAAAGTTTTTACTGTTTTTATGATCTTTCATGGAAAATACTCATTATGGTATATCACACCCTTGAACCGTCGACATTTTATGTTCCGCAATTCATTTTATCACTTGTTAAATACCCTCTTTCAGAGTATTATTATATGTTGATATAAATATTTGGCGCCCGTCGCAGCCCATTAATGGACATCAAATATAAAAGAGGTTCAGGCCGCTTCAATTAATTTGCCGAACAGTATATAACGCAAAATATTTGGTATGCGAGTTAAATATTGAGTGCTATGTGTTGTCTGTCTGTCTGCCGCGAAGTCTGTCCGTCCATCCGATTGTCCGAATGTCCGACTACCAGTTCAATCCGGTAGCGTTTTCGGTCATGGACGACGGAGCCAGTTTTGGCTAGATTCTAGACCCAGTCGCACGGACCTATATATTTACATTTCGCTTGATATATTCTGAATATTCAGATATTTATTTGGACAAACATTTCAATTACAGAGTCTCATTTTGCGCAGCATGGTCCGCTGACTTGGTAGAGTCATCTCGAAATGACAACGCACAAAAACGAGTTTGAAGATCATCTCGGCTGGGTTTAGTTTCGCATAGTCCAGTGCTGTGGTCCTATCGGATTGCATGGATCGTTCGGAATGGATTGGAATGGGATGGATGTGCGTGCGGTTAATTGATGGGTTGCGCATTAATTGAAGTTTGTCACTTTTCATTAATCGAGCGATGGAATATTTCCAGTTGCTGCCAGCTTGGAATTCGCTTAAATGCAGGTTATCTGGCCTAGGTGTATGCACTTGTCACCCAGATGATCTTAAGTCATGGCAAAGTGTGCCATCGATAAGAACGTCGAGGTTTACCTGATAAACTAGTCATACTTCTCTTGGATTTTCATTGGAGGGTTCTCAGCAACGGATTAGATTTCCGGTGATAGTGGACTGATTGCAACTTAGATATTGCATGTGTCCAAATTTAAGCCAATTCCACTTGGAAACGGAGGTGCGAAAATCCCCATAGAAGTAGTTCCATTGAGACACCCATTAAGTATACAAACAGATCGTACGATAATTCGCAAGTCATTTGTTTTAGTGATTCGACAATGTCCAGTCAATAAAAGTACTCATAAAACAGTTACTTCATGACAAATACGATTATAGTCAAGCTTCTATAAAGCGAACTTCTTAACTTCAAAGTCCCTAAATCTTTAGCAATAAATGTTTAAGTATAGGGGAACTCCCTATATTTATATCTTAAATATACTATTTTAAAACCACGTGGCTTTAGTTATAGAATATCTACGGTACACACAGAAATAAATGTAATCGAAATTATGAGTGTGTATTTAAACCGCAGCTCAGCTGCATTGAACCGCATCTGTAACTGGTTAATTCAGACGTCAATTTTTGTGTGTGCAGCGAGTTATGCAAATATATGTATTTATAAAACTCGAGCGGAATGAAACTGAAATCGAAACTGAGTCTAAAACGACATTCGACTGGCCTGAAACGAATACTGATCGCACAATAGAAGTGTCAGGGGCGGTTTGAGGTGGTTCACCCGACTAAATCGATAAGCGTTCCCTATTCTCGCGACCGCCAGCCTCCCACCGCCCACCACCCACCATCCACCTCCCCTTTTCACTTTGTAGTTAATAGCATTGCATAAAGTCTAAACCCGCCTCTAACCGGTAAACGCCGCTGACTAACTAAACGTGCAACAAAAAATAAAGCATCTACTGCAACAGCTACTCGCAAAACGACTTACTAAACCAATTCTATTCGAGCCACAGCTTTTCGCTCTCTACTAGACACCCTACACTCGGACTATAGGGTACCATCGTTTTTAGTATATAATATGTGTCTTTAAGATGGAAGTGCCAGTGGACATCAAAGTCTCATTTTATATATCGCATTCTCGGGTGGACAAACAAAGATATCTGTTGTTGTTCGGCGAGTTCTTGAGAATAATCTGCCATTTTTTTTGTAAAGAAATCACTTGTGTGATTAAAACACATATATTGTTTTATATCCAGACAAACTACCTTGCCGCGTGTATGAAAAAATGAAAATGTTCTTGGCTTTTTATTTTTGAAAAATAAACGCCTATACATATATATCAAGAATAGTTTTTTGCAGCAAGTTTTTTTAGTCCTATTGTTTTCCCAAAACCTAATCGCGGACGTATCTTATTCAAAATGTATTAGTATATTTAAAATATTTATACAAATAAAATAAGTCTTATCAATTACTAAACTTATACACATTTTATGATCAGAGATTATTATTAAATTTACTGCTTTGATAAGCTTAATTCAAGGGGTTCCCTTTTTAATAAACAAAATAATGATGTTGTTATATTGAACTGATAAGCCTTAATTCATAATCCTTGCTTACCTCCAATTGCAAAATTGAATTTGCAATTTCAATTCCTCTGTTTCTACACTGGAAATGCCAAAGATAAAGATAGTCGAGTGGAAAGTTCTCCGGAAATCGGGCAAGTGGCCATTGGATATCATGGGGAAATCGGTTATAAACGCATATTTCTCTGGGTGCAGCTACCAATATTGGTGAATGGCGCTTATGTTCGGGCCATTGTTGGCCAAAGTTTCGTGCATTCCGGTTTCGCTGGTTCTAAACTAGAGCAGGGTGCATGATTTGGCTCATAGACTTGTGGGTTTTTTTTCGGTTTGACTTTTGGTTTGACTTTTATAACGCGACATAAAGTGAGCGCGTGCACTGAAACTGCGACTGCGGAAAACCGTTAAGTATTCAGCGCAGAATCGATTGTTCGTTGATAACAACTGAAATCGAAATCGGGCTTGAAATGGCCAAATAAACCAAAGTTCCTTGGCGGCGCTGCTGAAAGTTGTGGTAGTTGTTGCATTTGTTGGAATGCTCCACGCATGCGGAGGCCCGTTGGCATGGTCGATTCGATCGGATCGGATCGGCCAAGATAGCAAGAGTTTTTATGAGGTGCTACAAACAGACATCCGCACATGCACAGGAAAAAAATGGCTTTAGTTCTTACTTTTTTTTTTAGCAAATATTTACTAACAAAAAAGTATTGTATTTTAAGCATCCTTCTTATATTTAAAAAAAATTTTCAGTTCCCTTGCGAGATGACAACCGTTTGATTAATTGATGTTTGATATTTAAGTTACTATAAAAATTGTTAACTGTTTAAGAAGCGTAACGACCAGTTCCATTTCCAAAAATATAAAGCCACATATAATTAAAGTGGCTAAAATTTTTTTGATTCTTTTTTTTCTAATACCTTATTTAATACATACGCATATTTTATACGATATAAATTTCGTCCGTTGTTTTATTGCTGTTTGCTGGTTTCTAGAAAGTTTTTTTTTAATGGGCAATAATAATTAATTTAAATTACTAATTAACTTTTTTCTGCAGTGCACAATTGTGGCAGTATGTACAACAAGTGTAACGAGTCAACTCCTTGTCAATATAGCGATACACGATCGTTGGCCGGCAGCTAATAAAAAAAACTCCCGCGTCAGCAGAGCGGCGACAGCGACGCCGGCAGCGCAGCTACAGCGGAGCGACGCTTATCTGCTCTCATATAAACTAAAGTCGGCGGGAGTAATTTCTCATTTGTAATTTGGCAGGCGGCGTGCGCGGATCGGACCGGAGAATTAGAACCCCAAACCCCAAAAGAAATTAGCATTCGGGATCGGGAGATCACTGCTTTACCGTTGTTTTTTGGCCGGGAAACAAAAAGAGACAACGAACACCGCCGAACCGAAAGTGTCGCCCAGTTTTTCTCCACCTCCGTTTTCGTTATTGCGCGTGCGCCAAGTGCAGGGAAAAAAAAAGAAAAGAGAGAAGACCGATATAGAAATCGCGAAAAATCGAGGAAAAGCGAAGAGTTGAGTGCGCGAACTCGTACGCATTAAGGATCCGCCGTTGTCCTTATACCCGTAACCGTGGCGAAGGAACTGGCCAATTTGTTGACCCAGCAGAGCAACAGTCCCGAGATGACTCAACAACCACAATGGGGCATAAACCTATCGCGGTGTAAGTGTTGCCAAAACTCCCAACCAGAAAAAAAAAAAAAAAGTATTCGATTCGGGATCCTCTCGGCTGTTATCTCATTCTCATCAGGAAGTGCGGAGTTCAGAATGTGCGGATCGTTGAACTGCGATCGCGGGGGCATTCTTGAGAAACATTTCAGTGGTTAACCGACATTGACCGACAGCAATATAAAATCCTAAATGTATACGCGCATGTGTATGCTGTATAATGCATAAATGAAAACAATGACAAAACAAAACGCTTTGCCACTTCCGATTTTCGGATTTTTTGTGTTTCGTTTTGTTTGTTGGTGTGTCTCAGTTTTAGCGGTCTCTTAATATTCCCGGCATGCGGCCCCACAATTGGTAAATATTTTGCATACGATTTGCATGTAAATCGGTCGTCTAGAAGTTAAAAAAAAACTTCGATTCTACGCCACGGTAGAGTCATTTCAATTCCCAAACTCCCCATTACGACCATTAAAACTTTTACAGTTATTATGGACTTGTAAAATTACTTATTGCTTATGGCCCGTTTCCTCGCCCCATCTCGCTCTATTCTTTTTTGGGCAAGGTCAATGCAATAAAGAATTCCGTCCGCTGGCTTTTTTTTCGTTAGATTGGGCAACCATTTCTTCTGTAAGAGCTTGACAAAAATAAAATTCGAAATATATGGAGTCCCGAAATCACGTAAGCGACCAGAAGCTAATTTTATAGTTCGGTTCGGTAAATTTGAAACCCAAATACTCATGTAGTTAGTTACAAACCACCTGAATCTTAATTATTCAGATATTCTACACTTTTTGCAATAAACTTTAGGGTAATTAAAAACCCATTAACTTTCCAGAGATCATGGTTAATTTTAATTATATATACTTACTATATAAGTCACTGGAGTAGAGTAGAGTAGTCTATATTTGTTGTGCGTAAAAAAGAAACAAATTTAACGAAAGCTTTAATTTTATTAAAAAAAATATTTAGCCGATTAGTGTGGCCGAAAAACACCTGTGAAAAATTCACGCAGCATTTTGTAAAACAAACAAATATTTTTAATGAACAAGCCTAATGAGCCAAAAAATTTACAAGTTGCCCATAAATCAACTGATTGGCAGTCAGCATTACGCATTAGTTTTGAGCTATAGCGATCACCGATCACCAGTGAGCTCCGTGGTTCCCGGCTAATCACCTTGTTCTATTGCCCCTCCCAGTTGCTCAAGACTCATTATCATTTGGAAAGGGTTTCACATTTGTAGGCCTATCTGGTATTTACATGCAGTGGACGTACTTTGTGGACGACCCCCTGCCCCCCAGCCCATTGACATAATTTTCGCAAGACCACGGAAATGCGAGAAAAGAAATGGTGTTTACTTGCGATGTGCTATCGCTGGACACCGAAGATTGCCGGACAAAGAGCCACAGACCCATAAATGTCAACAGACCTCAGAGAGACAGAAGAAATTGTTTTTATTTTCTCATTACTGCAACGGATATGAACGACTATGACTGGACTGTGGTATTGCAATCGGCCTCTTGTTAATCTCTTTTAAATAGGCTCTTTAAAATAATTGCTTGCTTTATGAAAATATATAAAAATATTTTAAAATAAGAAAAACAGAAACATGTATCTAGTAGTATGACAAATTAAACTGTTTACTATTTATAAACTTGTGAACATGATGTAAAAAATGTGGTTTTTTTAAATTTAAAAATAAATCTTCGTTTTAAGTCAGATAAGAAAGACAGTATAGGATTCCCAATACCCTAAATGATTAAACAGAACTAAGGAGCTAGGGAATATTCAACAGAGTAGATTTAAAACGTTTCCCACAATTAAAACTAGCGCAATTGTTTAATCTAGTTTATTAGAAAGTCTCTAACAAAATGGTATGATTCACATAGAACTTTAACTTGGAGTTCTGAAATCCATAAAGAATAATTCTCCGAATGTTTCAAAAAAATCACAATGACAAATAGGTGTAATAATCCGACTAATCCGTATACGAAAGTGAGTTTCCCTTTCCTCCTTCGAATGGTTTCCATTAAGCTTTCGTTTTCCACTTACTTGCGAGATAAGACTGCGTTACTAAACTCTGATTAAATCTAGAATTCCTTATCGCATGATGGGCCTCAGCTCGAGAGCGATCATATATAAACGCCACTAAGCGTGATTGGTAGGATGAATTATTGCCATACTTGGCGGGCGGCGATATGATTAGCACCCATTTACATATGTGAATGGAGCGGGTTATGGCCTTATCAACTTATCACTTGGTAATCATATTAGGCGAATTGTTTTTTATTTGACACTCGTGTGGAGAGCGCGAGTAAACTCTTCTTGTCGAATTTCGTTAAGTAACCTGTCAAATATTGACACATTGTTAATTTAACCTGCTCCGGCCACTGGCTTTTTGGCTTACAATTTGCCAGCAGCAGAAGATTTATTAATGTTAATTTATAGGCGAAATAAACTTGTCAGCGAGTGACGTCGATGAGCCCTTGCGAAACTTGCGAGTCTTCCATAAACCGAGAGAGTTTCGCGATCCATTAAAAAGACAAACATGCTTGTTTGGTTTTTATTGGCGGGTGGATCTGGATGGATCTGACGTAGGTGGAGTTGTGGCCGGCCAAGTGTCAACAACAACAGCAGCAGCAGCAGCCGGTGATCTAATAATATTGTCATGAATTGGATTCTGATTGTGTTTACCCAAGAACGCGGTCTGTTTGCTCATTTCGAATGCGGAGATCAGTATTATTGGCGTGCCGTTCTTGTTAGATGTTTTATTCGGATGAAATGGGTCAATGTTAACCCAGCGTGTCCGAGAACTTGATCAATTCAACCTTCAAAATGTATTTCTTAAGAAGCCCTATAAATTTTGGGCCGAACTCAACTTAATTGGCACTGCCTCCCGCCATTGGTTTATGGTCATTGGACCTGGTTGCCCATTTGCCATACTTGAGATTGGTCAAACCGCACTCCAATTATTTATCGCAGATCTACCGCACTTGGCCTTATCTGGCCGTAATTTCGGTTAACAGTTTGATTGCGATATGGCCATCATAAAAATTGCGCTGGTGATTGATAGCGGGACATGTGAAAACGAGTGCATAGCGCCGTTAATATAACCCCCAATCTTTTTGGCCAGAGTGATACGCTCTTAACTCAACACGAGCCATAAACCTCACGAGACAGGAAGTAGGTTCAAAAGCGGTGCTTCAACTCAAAATTCTTTAGATTCCATCGATTATTTACTTAGAATCAATAAAATAAACTATATATGAAGTGCGAGAATGAGAGCAAATAAATTTAACTGATTTTGGGTCTCCAAGAATTGGAAAGACGATTGCGAACCTCCATATATCAGCAAATGGTTTATAGAATATTTAATCAACATTTGAGAACCAAAAATATATTTATTGAGACCATTGATTGAAAAGACGTGTTGATTACTATAAGAGGTTCTGTCGTTCATTGATTAGAAGTTAGAAGTTCATAAAACGATTTTATGCTTTATTTTATACTATAAGGAGTAGTTTTCGCGAGAATTGATGAATCACATTTTGCATCTTGACCTATTCCGTGTTTGATTTTCAATGATATAGCGAGAGGGAGAGATAGTGATTCATTGGGAACAGACCTAATATATTCTAAGAATTTTTAGTAAAATAGCGCAGTAGACTAGACTACGCATAATATTTAAATTAACAAAATGTAAACGGGTTTTCAACTAAATAATCGGACATCACCTCTTAAAATAATACAGGTGTCCGATCACAGTTATTTTAAAACCTGAATTAGTTATCATGAATTCTTAACTGAAATGAATATTTAATTTATTTCATATTTCTAAATTGAAACTCTTTGCATTTGGAGTAAATTTGGAATTTACATTCTAACTTATTCAAACATAACTTTGTGTTCCAAGCTAATGGATAATACTTACAGTCATCTGTAACTTGTAAGCTTGAGTCATTTTAATTCAGCTACAAAAACCATTAATCTGTTTTTCCATAAACTGCCTCAATCGTTGTATATAGGAAACTTAATTATAATTATTTAATGCGAACACTTTTTCGAATATCATCCTATTGCTGGTATTGAAACATTACCGGAATCGGCAGCTCCGGCTAATTGATATAGTGCCACAGCAATCAAGTGCAATTTGAAGTTTATCAGCGCAAATTGATTTGTACCCAATTGAGCCACCCGTCAAACTATTTATTCGCACGCTAACCAAATTAAATAAGTAAATTGCTTAAACAATATGCGATACGCAAATCCATTCCGCTCGTAAAATGTTTGACGCTGTGGTTGACAAAAGTTGCCCGGCGGGTTAATTAATTCTCCCAGCAGAAGACACCCACTGACGTCAATTTCGAACTCGATCTTCTCACTTTCAGTTTTCGTGATCCCCCAGCGAGTGATCCTGGCCATCATGGGCTTCCTGGCCATCCTGAATGCCTACACGATGCGGGTCTGCCTTTCGCAGGCAATCACGGTTTTGGTCGTCAAGAAGAATACCTCGGAAGATGTAGATGAAAGTCTCAAAATCTGCGAAGCCGATGACTTGGATAGTGGAACCAATGTAAGTGAAGATTTATTCAAATTTATTAAATATTGTTAACAACAAATGTCTCTTTGTGAAACCTTAACTACACAGAAAACTTAAAATTAATAAACTAACAAATTTTAAAAGGGATTACAATCTGAGATGATAGCTTACCTTAAATTCAATCCATCAAAATTATTTTAAACCTTATTCGAAATTTCATCTTAATCTTTTAATATTGCTTAATTCTTTCCAGGTTGGTGGAGACTACGAATGGTCCGAGGAACTGCAGGGCTTGATCCTGTCCTCCTTCTACATTGGCTACATTGTCACCCACATTCCCGGCGGTCTGCTGGCCGAGAAGTTCGGTGGCAAGTGGACCCTGGGCATTGGCATCCTCTCCACCGCAGTGTTCACCATGCTGACCCCCCTGGCGATCACCAAGGGCGACTCCGACTGGCTGATCGTGACGCGAGTGCTGATGGGTCTGGGCGAGGGCACCACCTTCCCCGCCTTGAGTGTCCTGCTGGCCGCCTGGGTTCCAGCCAATGAGCGTGGAAAGCTCGGTGCCTTGGTGCTGGGCGGAGGTCAAGTGGGCACCATCATGGGCAACCTGTTGTCTGGAGTGTTTATCGATGCGTACGGCTGGGAGTTTGTCTTCTACTTCTTCGGCGGTCTGGGTGTTATTTGGTTCGTCATCTTTGTAAGTAACCTTCACTCTTATTTAGTTAAAGATACAGAGATGCTAAATAAAAAATATATTTTTATAGGTCTTCCTGTGCTACAGCGACCCCTCTACGCATCCGTTCATCAAGCCCAGCGAGCGGGAGTATCTGATCAAGGAGATCGGACCCATCAGCCGCAATGAGAACCTGCCGCCCACTCCGTGGAAGGCCATCCTCACCAACCTGCCCATGTTCGCCTTGGTGTCCGCCCAGATCGGCCACGACTGGGGCTTCTACATCATGGTGACCGACCTGCCCAAGTACATGTCCGACGTCCTGCAGTTCTCGATCAAGGCCAACGGTCTGTACTCCTCGCTGCCCTACATCATGATGTGGATCGTGTCCGTGGGCAGTGGCTTCGTCGCCGATTGGATGATCCGTACCGGCATCATGGACACCACGAAAACGAGGAAGGTGATGACGGGTCTGGCCGCATTCGGTCCGGCCATCTTCATGGTGGGCGCCTCCTACGCCGGCTGCGATCGTGTCCTCGTCGTGGTGCTCTTCACCATCTGCATGGGTCTCATGGGCGCCTACTACGCTGGAATGAAGCTGAGTCCCCTGGACATGAGTCCCAACTACGCCGGCACCCTGATGGCCATCACCAACGGAATCGGAGCCATTACCGGTGTGATTACGCCGTATCTGGTTGGAGTGATGACACCAAACGTAAGTACTTCTAGTTGCAAATTGCCATTTAACGTGTAAACATTTTACTTCATTAACTCAAGCTTTTCTAGTTTAAATAGAGGCAAAAAAGTAATTTCTACTTGACTTCTGAATTGCTTTGATTTATCTGAGTGCCTTTTGTCTTTGCCCAATAAATCATTCAGTCAGTCTTTTAATTATAGTTGGGCACTCATTGCAACGAGTGATAAACAGCTCTAAACAATATATTTTACTTATGCTTCAAAATGGAATTTCTGGAGTATTGCTGTGGTTTTTTAAGTGTGCTTGTTTTTTTATTTCTCTGAACAACGTTCGTCATGTTAATGTTTGCTTTCGGTTGACAAGAAACGGAGCATATGTAAATGCTATGTTTAAAATAATTCAATTTAAATCACCTTCACATAGAAAGCAAAGTATCCAAGTATACCAAAATCAACCAAAAGAAAAACAAATAACTAAAACTGCTGATCGAGTTTAAAGTCTTAAAGTTAAAGATTAAAAATACCTTTCAATGATTTCTTTATTCTTTTCAAATTTTACTAGATTTAACTTTAGAGCGTTTAAGATGAATAGTGTAAATCAGTACATTTCATATGCCAAATTATTATTAGGTAATTCTTAATTCTAAGTTTTAAATACAGATTTTTGTATTTAAGTTTTTATGTTTGTGTTAAGATCGAAATGCTACTATCGTATATTGAATAGTTTGGTGTATTTCATACTAACCTGATATCTCTTGGTTTTTAGGCCTCCCTGATGGAGTGGCGTCTGGTGTTCTGGGTGGCATTCGGCGTGCTCTGCGTCACGGCGGTGATTTACTGCATTTGGGCATCCGGGGAGGTGCAGCCGTTCAACAATCCTCCGATTCAGCCGCGCACCGTGGACTTTGAGGCGCAGGAGCGCAAACCGGAAGCCGGAAAGTCCAGGGGATTGGAGCAGAGCTCCTAAGGCGGAACGCCATCGAAAGTGCCATATATATGTTCGCTGTACTCTAGTTAAAATGCTGTCCACGTGGATCCACGATTCACGGAAGACCCGCAGAGCATTGTCACACTGTATACCGCTGTTCAGATTGCTAGTTTTATAGTATTCCCGATCTGGCCGATCCCTGGCAGAGGCGCCAAAACCACTAATTTAAGCGAATTTACTTACACTCCCCAACGTGCGCAGTGCACTTCAGTGTGTGTGTGTGTTCCTGATTTATCCAGGATAACCCCCTACCCAAAGCAACCTATCAAAACCCTATCCCATCACCAACATCCTTCTTCGCCGCGCACGCAACGTACTCTCTTAATTATTATTTAGTATTTAAACGAAATGCGATTTCACGTTTAAGATTTAGTGTACACAGAGCTCGTATTGCCGTATTGTAAATCAAATGATGAAATAATTTGTACATTTTAGATTGTTGATCAATGTGTAAAGTGAAGCGTGTTTTTAACTGTTCTGTTAAGACATTACTGTTTTTATGACGTTAGTCAAATAAAGTGTATAAAGCAAATTAACATATTAGTCGTTTAATATTTCCGACTAACTAGATGGGGAAAATGAGTTAAACCGAGAACATACCTTAACAATTTCGAACTTATATACATTTCTGTAGCATTCTTTTGGGCTTTTAGTGAATAATCAGTGGGTCAGCTTTTTGGTTTCTGGAAAAAATTCATAATTATGACAGAGCCTGCAAAAAGTGTGTAAATGAAAAACATTTATTTTCTATTTTGTTGAGATAGCCGGGAAAACTTATTCTAAGATCAACTTTATGCTATTTCCTGAATTTAGTTTAAATGTAAATTTTATGTTAAAAAGTTAAGTTTAACATAGTTCACAATTTATTTTAAATTCAGTGTACAACTTATATGACTAGTATTCACTTTCCTTCTAGTTACTAAATAGCAAATTGACCTATTTAGTCGATCAAAAGAAAAGACAACAAACAACATCTGAAAATGTCAACTCTGTGAAATCAGTAGGCTTTAAACTTTTCTTTTAATTTCAAAAAAAATAAAGTGACCGAAATGTTGCCCGCTGTTCAGCAGAAGCTGAGTGATGTTTTTATATGTGAGCATTATCTTTACACCTATTACAACTAGGGTTATCTCTATATATATCCCCGCAGATCTGGAGATAAGACAGCGGTTGGTGCTCTGCTGCTTCACCTTCTTGGCCATCATAAATGCCTATACCATGAGGCTTTGCTTGGACTTTTCACTTAACCGGATCGTCTTGGAATGTAATGATGGCGAGAGCTCCAAAGTGCCACAAGTTCTTAATCCAAAGTCCCTGCCCAACTGGCGTTTGGAACTGGCCATGAGACTTAATCAAACGGAATCTCATTTGAGGCGAAGGATGAAAGCTGGCAGGGAACGGTCCGATCAGAATCAGATGAAAGGAACCCAAAAGAGGCAAAAGGAGAGCCGGGAAACTGTCCAAGATAGGCCTCCTGTTCAGCGGGGTTCTCGTGAAAGGATCAGCTGCTCCGAACTGTGGTCTCGTCAAATCCAATCCCTTGTGGTAATGGCCTTCTATGCCGGCTATGTGCTCACCCACGTTCCGGGTGGACGACTATCAGAGCGATATGGCGGAAAATGGGTCCTTGGAGTGGCCATCCTTACGTCCGCTGTGCTCACCCTTCTCACTCCCGCTGCAGTGCGTCAGGGCGGACCCTATGTCCTGGTGGGTGTCCGTCTCCTTGTTGGCCTGTGCGAAGGTCCCTGCTTCCCAGCGGTGTGTGCCCTTCTAGCTCAATGGGTTCCCGAACAGGAACGCGGGATGCTGGCCAGTTGCGTCCTTAGTGGCGGAGAAATCGGAATCATTATGGTTCAGTTGGTCAGCGGATTGGTGATGGCGGAGCAGGACTGGCCTGTCGCGTTCTATCTTGTTGGAGGAGGTGCTGTGGCCTGGTTTCTGGGATTTGTGAGTTTTGTGAGGACTTTACTTTGAGACGTTATTTTTAAATTTGAATTTTACTATGTATATCCTTTCAAATTAACTATAACCGTTACTTGTAGAGTAACTACTGAATTTGTTAAAAAGTATATAACTTACGAAGTAAGCCTTTGCGACCCCATAAAGAATAGTGTATTGGGTTTAAAAATGTTACTTCTCATTTTTCAAACGCAGCGCGAGTTTGTTGAATTTTTTGCCACGCCCACAACCAGCCGCGAAAATAAGCGTCGCACGTACGCGCACGAACCCATAAATATTTTTCTCCTTTTCATATTGTTAATCAATTGAAGGATTATAACCATTAATACTATAACGTACAATAATTTAAAAACTTGATCAATATCACAACCTCTTTAATTATAGACCCTCGTTTGCTATAGTACACCTGACCACTGCCCATTTATCCAGAGTGAGGAGAGGGATTATATTAGAAGCAACACAAGCATCGCCCTGCTCATAACCTCCAGCAGAGAAGTCAGGGAAAGGCCAGAAGAAGAAAGAGAAGAAGCCACCACAGATGGGGAAGAAGGAAGAGTGGCGCCAACCAGCTCAGCACCTTGGAAGAGCATGCTGACCAACACCCCGCTCTGGGCACTTGTGTCCGCGTCCATGCAGCAAGAGTTCCAACAGAAGTTGCCCCAGGATCTGCAGATCGTTCTGGCGGAGATGCATTCCCGTGCCAGCAGTGCGTGGGAGGAACTTCCCGCCACAATCGCGGTGATCGGCCCACATATTGGCAACTGGGTGGCTTCGCTGACCACTGGCCGTCTGAGTGATCTTCTAATCTCCGAGCAGATCCTCACCCGCACGCAGACGCGCCGTCTCATGTCCTGGCTGATGATCTTCTGCGCATCCATGTACATGCTGCAGATCCAGGCGAACGGAGCACGGATCTGGAGTGTCCTGGCAATGGGTGCTTACTATGCTAGCATCAAGTTGTTGCCGCTGGATATGAGTCCGAATTACGCCGGCACTCTGATGGGAATCTCCGGCGGATTGGGTGCCCTGCCGGCCCTTGTGATGCCCTATCTGGAGCAGATGGAGAAGGATTACAGCCTGGTGAGCAGTGTGAGAGCCGCCCTGTGGATAATCGGAGCTGGTTACATTTCCGGAGATGTACAGTCGTTCAACCAACCGGAACCGCAGCCACAATGAGGACACTCGCTTGTTATTAGTTTAATCTTAGGCTTAGACATAAGCTACTGATTTTGTCTTAGTGGATTCCTTAGGCAACAGATTCTAGATTACAAATGTACCATAATACATGACGATTTCTATGCTATAGCTAGGAGCATAAACATAAACAAGCTTTATATATATATAAATAACAGGTATGGTCGATATTAACTTAATTAGAGTAGGTCTGCTAGTGGTGGTCTGGCTAAATGCTCCTCTCTCCTCCGTCTCTCGATTACAATACACACCATCCACACTCTATGCGACGCCCTGGGGCATCAAGCCCGATTGTGCCATGGCTGAGACGGAGTTCATGTCGATGCCCAGCTTCTTGGTAACGTTGATCTGGGCCACCGCCGCGTTGCGCAGCGAGTAGACGTGCACCAGCTCCGCCTGGCTTTTGGCATAGAGCAGCGCCTTCTCGAAAAGTTCGACCGCCCGCTTTAGCTGCGCCCGTTGCACCTCCACGGTTCCCAGGGTCTCGTAGGCCAGCTCGCACTTGGGATCCACTTCGATAGCCTTGTTGAGCATCTGGACAGCCGACTCAATGTCTCCCCGCCACTGCAGCACCATGATGGCCTGATGAACGATCAGGGCCGGATTCTTTGGCGCCAGCTCCATGGCCTTCTCGTAGTATTTCTGCGCTTGGAAGAACTGCTGCTGATCGGCCAGAACCTGGGCCATCAAGCTGTAGCACTCGACGCATTTGGGGAACCGCTCGATGGCCTCCTCGAAGGCGCGCATCACGCCCTCTAAGCGCCGCTGGTCGCCGGCCAGGAGCGACAGGCGGTACTCGGCGTAGCACTTCTGGACGAGGGCGATGGCGTGGTTGGGCGCAATGCGCACCGCCTTGTCAAATTCGGCCAAAGCGGGCTCGATCTGCTCCAGCAGCAGCAGGATCTGGGCGCGCTGGTGGTACACGTCCGGGTTTTCTGGGTTCAGCCTTTCCGCCTCATCGAAGTCGGCCAGACCCTTCTCGCGCTCATCCAGCTGGATGTAAAGGGCAGCTCGCTTTATGTACGCGTAAGCACGCAGATTAGGATCAGCATCAGCTGTGGGAGAAAAAAAGGGTTTAATATTATTCTTTTTTGAAAGGAATATAGAAAATGTATATAATTAGCAAGTATACATATAAGGCTAGTATCGATTTCTTTACGAACACAAAATTGATGTTGAATTATAACCAGCAGACATTAAATAGGAAGTTCTCTATCATAGCAAATATTATTAAACTATTATCTACATAACTACAAAACTGCCGATATTATAATCTTACCATTTGCCAAGATAGCATCAAAGTCCTGCTGACTCTCTATGTAGGAGCCACATAGGAGATGGAAGGTTCCCCGCATGAGCAGAGCCTCAACTTTGTACTGCGCCTCGGCCTCGGAGGATTCGATCTCTTCGGTGCAGGCGGGAATTATTTCGTCGTACCTTTCGTCAAGGAAAGCTTGGTGGGCCCGCAGAAAGCCCTTTGCGGGGGCGTTAGACTCCGGGGCGGGCGGGAGTTCCGCGGTCTGCAGAGGATCCGCGATGAAGGAACGCATGTAGGTGTTCACGAAGCAAGCTGACGGGACAACGGGCACCCTGTTGCGCATTCCCTTCTCGGCGTCCAGACGACCCGTCTCCTTGAGCACGCGATCTGCGAACATGATGGTCTGATTGTTTTGGAACATCTCAAGAATGCAGGTGGCGGTCACATCGTCCAGGCACTCGGTCATGTCCTTGGTGGCCTCGTGGGCACGGGCACGTCGAACGTAGGCCTTCACGTAGCGCGGATTGTACTCCAAGGATTTGGTGCAGTCCTCTTTCACCTTGGCCCACTTCTTGAGCATCTCGTAGGAGGCGGCGCGGTTCTGGTAGAAGATGGCCATATCGGTGCGGTGCTCCTTCGGACACTTCTCAATGGCCTTGTCGTAGAAGATGATGGCTTCGTCGTACTTGCCGTTCCGGTAGCAGGTGTTGCCCTCCGCCTTGTAGTTGTTGGCCTCCTTGAGAGGCGACAGAATCTCGCCCAGCTCGGCCTTCTTCTTATTGTTCTCCAGCTCCGGGTCCGTAGCACCGCCGTCCAGGGAAATGGGCTGCTTCTCGATCTTGCCCTTCGGCCGCTTCTTCTCCCCATCCGCCTCCTTGGGCGCAGCCCTCCACCGCTTCACCGCATATGTGCCCAGTCCGATGGCCAGCGGAGTGCCAATGATGATCGCCAGCTGCCACTTGTTCAGCTTCAGCGAGCCAATGCTTAGAGTCATCGTGTTTTGTGGACTACAAGGAAAGAGTTTGGTCAGTGCCGGATTCGTCACAAATTGTGTAATACTCCGCTGGCTTATCGCACGGCGCCTTTTGAGCCCGCTAAATGCCGGGCGGGGGGCACGTTTCCCCCAATTCGCCTAACCCCCAACCCCATTGATTTTTCACACCCCCAACCGCCGGGCCATTAACGCAGTACATCCTGCCAGCGACACTTACACTTTTTTAAAACTTAACACTGCTGTGAATTTAGCAAATAGGATACGTTGTTTGTCTAATTTTCAGTTAGAACTTGACCAACTTAAATTCTACTTTAACATCAGCCTGCTGAGCACACGAAATGTGGAGGTGTGACCGAGTCTTGCGCCGCCTGATTTGCCCAGTGTTTCGAGTCTGCCGTTAACGGAATTTAAATCTTTCCACAAGGGGCCACACATTGAATTGAGGGTGTGAAGGCCGTACAGTGAAGAAAATCAGTTTGAATAGATACAGTTTTAAATAAACCTATACTTTAATATAAAATAAAATATCAATATGAAATATTTTTAAGCAAATAAGCCATTTGTACAAATTTGATTTAAGGGGAGAGCATTTAACACTTCATGTTTTCAGTGCTATAAAGTTGCACGTTGCTGTTCGTTATCAGCTGTTGATAGCCATTCACACAGAAACGGCACTACATAAACTCTACCCACCCGTAAGGGAGCCCCATTAGATTACGATTTAAAATTACATACAATGTATTTAAACGTAATTTACTAGAGTTGGAATTCAAGGACAGCTTAAGACCGGATCTCCTCCTCTGCGCTAGATGTAGGTGCAGGAGACGCAGTAGTCGCAGTCGGTTTGTCATTGTCGCTAACCAGGATCTTCTGTAGATTCTCCACCTTTACCAGACCGTGGGAATCCGCGTAGTGCATGAGATCACAAATTGTGGGGGACTCAACGACCAAGATGTACTGACACGTCTTTGGCTCCAGCAAATACATGGACACGGCTGTTCCACTGGTGGTCACAGGTGTGCAGGTCAGCTTGACATCCACTTCGCGGGCCAATCCAGTGCGATCGCAGTGGGTTCCCTTCCCATAATGGTGCCAAATGGACGACGAGAAACCTGTACGTCGAGCCCCCTTTTCTGGATTGGAGTTGGCCCAAGCACGATGAGCTTCCTCTGAGAAATATCCCAGGAACAGCTCAACTTCGCTGTTCTTGTCTTTATGGAACTGACGCACATGTCGTCCGTAACAGAACTCGTACTTCCACCAACCGTTGCCCTGAAAAAATGAAAAAATTAGCAACAACCATGGATTAGCAAAGGGAAATCTTTACCCCAGTTAGGCAGTTCTTGCCAGAAATGAAGTCCCTGATGGGGGTCAGATCGGTGATGGGCGTGGGTCCTGTTCCAGCTGCTGCTCTTGAAAGAAGGAGCTGCTGGTAATCACTGTCTACCTCGATGTCTCCGTTACTGATAAGCTCCAGTATAATTTTGTCCATGTCCCCGCTGTACTTGAAGGTGACCATATCACCATCCGCCTTGGGCCATAGCTTGGCTGGCGCCTTGCCCTCTTTTTCCTTGGAAACCAGCAAGTCAGCCTCGGACTCTGCCCACTCATTCAGTTCGGAGCGCAGCATACTCAAAGGGCTGTGTGGTTCCGATTCAGAGTTAAAGCACTGAATGGACAGCTCCTTTGTTTCCTTGGCATGGAAACCACGGATGGCGCACAACGTCGAGGAGAGGATAATGGCCTCATAATTGCAGGAGGAGGTCTCCTTGAAGGAGTAAATATCGTCCTTGCCATGAGGATAACACACATAACGCACCATCGTAGTTCGAGGGGCATCAATAATGTCGCACATGGTGCCATCGCTGTATTCCATTTCGAAGTATGGATACTTTGTGTTGTCTATCTTCAAACTCTTGTACTTTGGCTTTATTCCCGCCTTGAGGTCAGACTCCCAGGCCTTCCACAGCAAATCTGTCTTTTCCTCAGTCCACTTGCCCAGGAAGTACTCCTGGAACTTAACGTTCTTTCCCTCGCGCTCCTCATGATATTGACGCACATGATGTCCATGGCAGATTTCATAAGACCAGTAAGCTTCGATGCGATACGTGCAGGTCAGCGCAGAGAAAGTGGGCTGCAGCAGACTTATAGGAGCTGTAGAGAAATAAAGTTATATATAAATCGAACGTAGCGTAATGTTTTTTATATCCATACATAGCTCCGGCTTTTCTGTCTTTTCCTCCTCCTTCTGGCGCTCCAATGTGGGAATCAAGCAGTCGTATTTCTCCTTGTCCGGTGTGTAAAATGTTCTAAGCTGGTTGCTCAAGTCCTAATAATAGTATTGGAATAATGGTATTAAATATATATTTCATATATAGGCATTTAACTAACTTACAGGTTGACCAATCAGCTCCGGCACTTCGAAATCAATTTTGTACAAAATAGAATCGTCAAAATCTTTGGCTTCGTGTGACGCCGCCGCAATTATCAGAGTCAGCAGCAATGTTAGTTTTGCAATTATCACGTAGCAGCTCTCCATTTTTGTGACAAATATTGTAATTCTTTTACATGAGTATTTCCGTGACAAATACAAAAATAATTGCAAATGCTACGTGTTGTTTTCCTCTGAAAATAATGAACATATGTTTTGTGTACACGTTGCGTTGCGAATGACGATTGGAGATGAAGAAGAGAGGCAAATTTTTGTTTACTCATACTCATCACCAATTTTTGAATTAATAACCGGTTCAACCGTTATAACTGAAAAAACACATTTGTCTTAATTATTCTAAGAGCCATCTGCCTAAGATCATAAATACAGTATATGTCCCTCTATTGACAGTATTAATAATAATTAAATAATTTCGAACTTTACATTCCAAAACATTCTCAGACTGAAGAATTTTCCGTTAACATTTTCAGCTTTTTCAAACCCTTTCTTGGAATCAAACATAGTCCAAGTTGATCCAGAAGTTTCAAAAAATCAAAAGAAGGATTTTAGCTTCATAAGTTTTGTTTTATTTCTACAACAAGGCCCCTTAATATTACATTTAACCATAAATTGAAACTCAATTCCAAGATTATCTTCAACATTATTATATTTTCATTAACAAATATCGCATATATGTAGTATTCAGTTCCCTATCTCATGCTTAACGCCGTGTCCGTTTTCCCCGCGGACCAGCCGGGCTCCTTGTCCTTCTCGCTATCCAGTGGCACCTTGTCGATGGCATCCAGAATGAACTTGATGGAGTGCGCCGTCCGCGGTATCCACTCCATGATGCGGGAGGTGGTCGAAACTGGCGGCGTCGCAGCGTCGCCGTCGTCCACGAAATCAGCATCTCCACCGGACAGAGAACGAACTCCGCCCAGGTAATCCGTGTAGTCGTAGTCGCTGGTCAGCGGATTTACCTTGGAGTAGTAAATGGCGGCGAACGTCGAGTAGATAATCAGCAGGGCTGTGCCAACCTATGGGTTAAACACAAGAGATAAACATGAAACGGTATTATATATAAGATAAGTATAAAATAACATTTATTTTAAGATATGTAATTTATATATAAAATATAAGAAATGTTTAACAATCAGACATAACAAAACAATTCAATCGTATTGGTATTAATAGATTGTTTATCAATTTTATTTAAAATTAATTAAAATTATATCTAATTCAATATAAATTGTAATTGTTGTACTATTTACCAGTGTACTTTTGTATTATTGGTATATACAATTTTTTTATAAACTAGAGCTCATTTTAAAATCTAGACCGGAATATTTCATGCCTAGTATATTTCCACAGCTAAGATAATGCATCACAATATATTCAAATGTTACATTTGATAGCTCCGTGCTAATCACTCACCTGAAAGACGGCCCAGAATTTGTAGGAGCCCTCCGTGATGACGAAATCGTAGTATCCCTTGAGGGGATCGCCCTTGATATAGCGACCCTCGCCCACATCCGTATCAGCTTTCTCCCCCGCTTCGGCATCTCGTCGGTGGCGCAGTCCACGCACGGATCTCAAGTTTCCCTTCTCCCCCTTTTGGCTCTGCACTTTGGTGGATGGCGACGATGGTGTTACGGTCTCAACTTTCTCCACCTTCTTTGCCGGCTGCTCCGCCTGCTCCTTCTCCTCGTCCTCCTCCTCAGAGCTTTCTGGAGCCGAAGTCGTCGTGGACGTGCTTGTTGACTTAGTCGTGGTCGTTGTGGCGGGCTTCTTGTTCTGGCTCTTTTTGTTGTTTCCCTCCATCCGTGGCGGTTTCTTGGAGTTAATCCTGGTCTTCTGCTGCTGCTGCTGCTGCCGCAGTCGCTCCTTTTCCGCTTTCTTTGCCGCCTGCTCCTGGCGGAACTTCTCCGTGCTCTGCTGATGGCGCTCGCTCACCGCATTCCACGCACCCATGAGCGCCTGATATAGATCCCAGATCTGCTTGAGACTCTTTAGCACGGTGACCAAAGTGGATTCGCTCTGGACCTGGGCCACTGCCGTATCGGCGGGGGGCTGTGATTGTGTCTGAGATTGTTTCGCCAGCTCGTGTTCCGGATGAGGACGCGTCTGGAAGCCCATGGGGTAATCGTACACCTCATCGTAGGCGGGATAAGGGGATCTGCAAATAATCAAAGTTTAGGTTTTATTTCATTGATGTAAATTAATAGAGATTATTGTTTATTAATTTTACAGAAGTGTAAGACTTTAAGTTGCAATTCAAAAGGAGTATTATATTTTTTTCAGTGGCATTATTCTGGTTCCATGTAACATTGTGAAATTCTGTCAGATTAAGAAATCAAAAAAGTTGTTTATCAAATATAAGGGAACATATAAATAAATGGTTTAAAAAATGTGTATATAAATATGTACTACTTTATGACCTTTGGTTAATCTGCAAATGGCGTCTTTGAGTTTACTTATTTACAATATACATATATGCATTTGAGTTTAACTGATATAAAATATCAGTACTGTTCTCGTTTCTCATCGCATGAAATGAAATTTATTGAGAAATCAAAAATTATATTAAATATATATATTTTTGTTCTTCTACAAATCAGAACATTTAAATTGGAACCACTTTGTGTATTGAATGTCAACAATTTTTTCATTCTTGGTTAGGATTTCTCACCTATTTGGAGATGGTTGGAGCTTCCTGTTGTTACCCTCGCTTGTGGGATGAGTGGCCACTGGAGCTGGCTTATTTGAATATGACCAGGGGGCGTAAAAGGAATCGTAGGGACGCGCCTGCGAAGCCCTGCCCTCCTCAGCATCCTTGTCGTAGAAGCTTTCCTCTTGCGCCGATTCCTGTTTGGACTCCGGATATGGATAGCGACCCGGACCATAGTCATCGGCCACGTCGTAGTAAGGGTCCTGGTCGTAGGAGTCATCCCTGCTCTCTGGGGGACCGTATGCATCCTGACGTTGGCCCATCACGGGATCCATGCTCTCTGAGTTCACCACTACCGCCTGCTGTTCCTCGTAGTAGTTTCTTCCTTGTTCCGGTTGCGTTGGAATCGGATTAGTTGCGTTTCCGGTCTCCCTGGCAATGCGCTGCACGGTGGCCACTTCCGTTTCATTTCCGGCACTATCCGTAAAGTGTTTCCACATCCGCGTGAGAATCAGGAGATCGCTCTCTTGCCCGGAGCTGCTCTGTGCCCGTCCAGCTTCGATCATGGCCACCGCCGTTAGTGTGGTTGCGAATAGCAGCATTGTGAGCACCAGAAACCAAATGGGCGAAAGACGCCGTGGCGTCTTCACCGACGACATTTCCTCATAGGCTGACATTGTCTCCTTTTGTTCCGAATCCCTTTTATATTCCTTTGGCACTAACCGCACGGCCAGTCGGCTCGGAGTTTAATGGTCAACTGAGCCAGTGTCCCAAATGCCGATCCAGAAAAACTCCACCTTGCGATGGTGCTAATGCTGGCTTTTGGGTATCTAGAACATCATCTATCCGTACTGGCTCGTTGAAAGGTGCTAATCCGTGGGCCGCGTGCATCATCGTTATTGGGCCAGTGCTCCAGTTTCGATTTAACGGTTCATCCGCCACCGAGTGCCGCAGCAATTAGCACCATCCACGTCTCCATGTAGCCAGTACTCCAATACCGATCAGCATCCCCATTCATTTATGCATAATCCCCGATTCTGTTGTTTGCCACAAATTCGTTTTTTTTCGCGGTGAAAGTGTGCAATATGATTCTCTTCCTAGAAGATCGGAGGAATTTAGGAAGTCGTAATTGGTCGCATTTAGCCAGGGCCTTCGGATCTGTGGGGAGACGGCCATCGGGGTCCACTGGCTGTCGTGTGCCGGGCGTAACTCACGACCTGGGAAGCTTACTTATTTATCTACCCCTGCTCGAGATCGTGTTAAGCGTGCCACTTTCATTATGGTCTAAGAAAGAAATCTAATCCATCAGTTAAGACATATTTAGACAACAACATTGGGGTGTTAAGAGCGTGGTGACATCCCTCACTATTACAATAAACATCTACATAGTACTTAGGAAAATACTTTTTCCTTTTTTTTAAACAACAATTTCGGATTTCGTTAAAGACTTCTTTTAACCTCTAACTAATAGTAAAATAACATCTGCTTTGAACTAGAATTTGGACTTGTTTGTCGGTAGGGTGCTATTTTCTTAGCCGTAAAAAATAGTTTCTTCATATTTTTCTGCAAAAGTGTCAATTACCAAGAGAATTTCGTTACCTATTAACAAATGTCTTGCAGTATACAAATTAGTAACTTTAACCATCAAGGTATTAACCCAAATGTTTTTTTAAATGGTTACTTCAATGTTGTTGGTTGGATAAAAGAAGAGCTAATATCTTACGAGAAAACTTTGATATTCACTCCTTATTTACTTTACCAATTCATTAATAATAATATGCTTTTGAAAACCAAAATTTTGCCATAAAACTTAGTTTCTATCAATTTCTGTATTTTACCGAATTTCTAATGCGTCATTTCTTTATCGGCAAAACGCACCGTGGCAAACTAGTTTCGTTACTCCCAAAATTGTTTACACTATGGTTTGGACCTCTCACTTGTTTTCCTCATAAAAAAAGCTTTGTCGTAAATTTTGCTGGTGTTTGTTGTTTTGTTTGGTACCTTCGCGATAAAGACTACTAGATGTTTCTGGATTGTTCCCCTAGTGTTTTTTCTTTTAGTGGATGTAAGACAGAAAAAGTTAACTATTTATTTGAACAGCCCTCGCAATAAATAAAAAAATGTATAAACAAAAACACCATTTACAAAATAACATAACTTATGAAAATATACATATTTTTAATTTTTTTAGGAAAGAAAATATTATATAGTATTTGGTTAATATTATCGAAAATAAATGCTAAATAAACTTGACCTTTATATCATTAAACATATTAAAAATAGAGACAATACAGAAAATAACTTTTAACACTATTCTACAATATATGTATAGTGAAAAAATTTTCACCAGAAAAACGCATCGTAAAATTGACTGCTTAAATATTTACATATAACTTGGTGATGATTAATATTCAGTATACATGTATGTACATATGTATATGTACCATATGTTTGCGGAATATAGAAAAACCACCTGATCAAGAGTCTGTTTTATTGTTTACCAAATATCAACAACGCAGTTTAAAAAGCCGGCAAATGGCTCAAAGAGAGCGAGAGAATTCCATTAGAGTGGACCTTTCTGGAAGTTTGTTGAATGATCTATTAATGATTTTGATTTTTTATGTTTTTGGCTTTGTGTGAGTGGAAAATAACAGGGCTTTTGTAAGTCTCATGTTTCATATGTAAATACATATACATACATAGTATATAAAAATATATTTTAAAAATAAATTTTTGGGCATGTAAAGTAAATAAAAAACCTGATTAATACACAATAATGAAGCCCCATACGCCACAACAAAGCAGGAAGAAAGCTTGCTTATGCGTGTGCAAGGACTGATTGTTTACCTGTGTAAATTGTGAACTTTCAATGGAAGGTCGCTGGAATATCTCTGTTCGGAAACTAAATGTCAAACTGCATGAGAAATATGTAAGTATGTATTTATTTTCTTCTGTGATTTTGCAATCGAGTCAAGCGCTCTGAACAAAGAAAAGTGCAAATGAGTTCAACTAAATGGCTATAAATATGCACTCAGAGCTAACCACACCAACGCATAGTGCATTGGAAAAGCACTCTCGCCTGACTGTATGCTTTCCAATCGCTGCAAAAGTGGATTATAGAAACACGTATAGAAATCAGTTTTGGTTTTCTCTTTATTTTATAAGTAATACCTAAATCAAACTTCATAATTTGAAACGCACTAAGGCTTAGCAACTAAAACGTGTAAGTCTGAATTAGTTTAGGAATATTTAGAAGCTAAGAGTAATATCTTTTTTTGTTTGTGAAATTATAAGCGAATTAAAATTATTATAAAGTTCACAAAGTTTTCGCCGTTTGAAAAGTCGATGCACAGTTAAAATGCACAGTGTATTTCCAGGTGGCTTTTGTGGTTCTCTCTCTCGTTCTTTCCTTTTTCTCTTTTTCTTTGCTTCCAGCAACTGCTGTGATTTCAACCGTTTTTTCCTTTCCTTTAAATTCGAAGATTTCTTTTCTCCAACACTCTCCTTCTTTTCGCCGTTATTTCTTGCTCGCCCGCTGCCCCTCCTCCGATGCCCTGCATCAGTTCTTGCAGGCGGCCGCCTTCTTGTTGTTGTTGGTGTTCATAAGTTTTGTCAAAATTTTCCTGGAGTGTCCTGAAGGATCAAAATGGTTGGTGTGTTCGCTGGCCTCCTTTTTGGAACGCTGCTTTCCACTGTGTCCGGAGAAGATGTGCTTGTCATGGTCAAAGTTGTAGTGCTCGTACTCATCATCAAAGTGCGCCTCGGACATTATGATGGTTTTTGGTTGCAAAAAACTAACTGCGTTCTTAGTTTATTTTCTTTAAATTGTTTCTGCAGCTTGCAGACTGGCTTTAACTAATCTTTTTCCACTTTTTTTTTGCGGAATGAATTTTTTTCGGCCGGGCTACGGCCTTTTATAAGGCACGGGAGCTTTTTGTGTGCGGTGAAAGCTCCCTCTCTGTCAGAGTCGCCAGGCTTTCTTTTTTATATAGGTTTTTTCGGAATAAGACATTATTGAAGCTATTGTTAGCCAAAAATTATATAAAAGTTGTTTGGTTTTCGTAAGTTTTTATTTTTTTATTGATACATTTTTTATTTGACCTTTTTTAATAATTTATAGAGACTTTTTCGTCTCTGACAACCCTGTCTCTCTCTCAGCGAGAGAGTCGCTCTCTTTTTAAACATTTTTGCTGCGCAATTTAATTTTTTGTTGTTTACAAAGTGCGCGGTAAACAAAAAAAAAACACTTATGTATGTATCGCCAAACATAATATTTTGCCTTGTCCATTTATTTTAAATATTAAAGAACTTTTTATAATACCGACGTTTCAAAAGAATTATATAACACCCGCCCACCTTGGCCCTCAAGAACCGACCCCCAAAGTGCATTTACCCAGCATTTATTTCTCCACATTTTAATTATAGAATTAAATGCAACATGAGGTCTGGATGATCCATCACTACACCGTTCAAAATGTTTTACATTTCTCAAAAGTAATGCTTTGTTTTTTTTTTAAATTATTTACAAAAAATAAGCTAAACCAATACATACTTATTTTTATTTTACTAAACATACATACATATGTATGTACTTAGTACATATTTTTTATTTGCGTGCATTAGAACCTGATCGGCTGACCCAGTTCCCTCCCACCCGTATTGTATTTGTTTTCTTGTCTAAAAACCAAAAAGCTTTTAATTTGTTTGAGTTTATTTTTTTCTATAAATTACAGATGTTGCGTAGCCTTCTTGCGGTGATAAGGTGCCAACTATCGTTTTTGTTAGTCATTTAGCAGGTATTCGTTCAAAATATTGCTCTGGAAACGACGCAATAGTTCGTTATCACCTTCTTTGATAAGATAGATCGGCACAAACATTACTCGTTCAAGAACCTTCCACAATAAGTGTAGCACAACATTGTTTACAACTTATTGGTAGCACATTTTTTGTGATTGTTCGTGATGGATTCTTTTTGAACTTAAACAAGGGAGAACGGTACAGCCGAGTGCCCTATAAGATACCCGTTACTCAATTAAACAATATGCGTGACAAATTTAAATCTCGACGTCTATACCACCAGTAAAGGTGACACTCCATATATGTAGGCTGGTTGGTGTAAAAGACCTCCGAGGCTGGCCGGCGAAAAAGTGAGCGCCGCAGATGAGGTCGTAAGTGTTTCCTTCGACCTGTTACATTTTTTTCTAAAAATATGTATACCCTTTTAGTCAAAGACCAACAGGTGATCACTTTGCACGTGACATAAAATATACATATTTTTTATGAATGTTACGCGTCCCATACTTGATATTTTCAGCAGGATTCTCTTCTAACAAAAGGTTACAGAAGTTACCATCATAGTTTACCATATACTGATTTGTATGAAAAGTTTCTTCGCTTGTCATTAACTTCTTTTGGTAGTATCAACTGTTCGTTTCTGCTGAATTTCTATTTAATTGTTTCCTTTGGTAGTAGAGTTTTCAGTCGCTTATCGGTATTTGTATCCCTTTTGGCTTTGTTTTTGACTGCCTTTGTTTTTTTCTTAGACGTCGAAAAAGTCTCAATCACGGGGAGGTCAAAGTCATCGGGAAAGGCACTGTCCACCGTCTCCGAGAGCTCCAATTGCACCGCTTTCTCCGTGTGAACCCGCTGAACGTGTTCTTTCATTTTGTCGGACCGATGACTTCTAAACCCACACAGCTGGCACTTGTACCGACTCGGACCATTCTCAGTATGCTTTAAAGCGTGACGCTTGAGGTTCTTGCTCTGGCTGAACTTGCACCCGCAAATCTCGCAGATGAAATCCCTGCCCTGTTTGTGGGTTTCGATGTGCAGCTTAAGGTTCTCCTTGCGATTGGCCCGGTGTTTGCAGCCCGAAACAGTGCAGGCGAAGAATTCCCCAGTGTGGAGCAGTTTGTGGGACTTGAGTGCCTTCATGTGGGTGGTGCTGTAGCCGCAGACGTCGCAGAGCATCTGCTTCTCGGGATTGTGAACCAGAATGTGGTTACTGAGGCCCTGTTTCCACTTAAACCCCTTGCCGCAATGAGGACAAATGTGCGGCGTTTCCGTGGAGTGTTTCGGTTGGTGGACGAGCAGGGCAGCTCGGGTGGTGAACCGAGTTCCACATTGAAGGCAAAAGAAGGGCTTACGCAGATCACCGGAGTGTCTCCTTAAGTGCGTGTCATACTCCCGCCAGTCCAAGAAGCCCACTTCGCACAAGGAGCAGGTCAAATGCGAGGGCTCACAGCTCCCCATGTGCTCAATCATCTTTTGCACCTGGTAGCACTTGTAGTCGCAGCCGATGCAGTAGTTAACCTTGCTGCTGGACTTTACAGCTCGTGGGTTCTTAAGCTAAAAACGGAAGAAGTAATATGATGAGCAAAAAGGGATTAATATGTATCGCTACCTTAAAGTAACTCTGTCTATTCTCAAACATATCCTCCGCTTTCTTTGCAGGCTCTGGATTTACTTTCACCTCTCCAGGAGCTGCGTCCTCTAATGTTTCCTTGACCTCGCCCGAAGGCTGCAACTGGTAGAGATTGAGCAATTCTGTGACAGCCAGGATTTGCGCCAACTCCCGGAAGTGCGGCTCGTGGTCCTTGGACACGGATACAATGTCCTCGTAGAAGAAATCTACAATTGTGTGCAGGCACTGTGTGCAACTAAAATTTCGGATAGTGATCTTCAGCGGATTGTGAATGGAGAACTGCTGCTGCTTTTGGTTGGTGTTGATCAACTGGCTCTGGGCAGCCAGCACGCAGAAATGGACGCTCAAGCTGAGGGAATCATCTGAATCCAGTTCGAGGAGCAGGTCGCAGAACTGTCCGGTTCTCCGCTGGTTGTTCAAGTAATTTGACACCTTGGAGTGCAGTGGTTGGTGCAGCGTAGGTATGGATTGCACGGCCTGAGGATGCAACATTTTCCCAGTTTGGTGTTTTGTTTGATTTCAAATCAAAACAAGTAATGTAAATGAATGGACGCCAAAACAGCTGTTAAATAGTGTGCCCAAAAAGCGTTAGTTGAAAATACCGACAAAAAATACTGTCCAGTATACTCGGACGTTAGTTTTAAATTGAATAATTTTGTTTTGTTACATTTAAAATCATCTTATCATTTTGATCCTATTTTTTTTTTTTAGCAAATCTATTAAAAATGAATTGCTTAAATAACAAAATAATTGGGGATTCCAGGATTACTGGGACGATACTGTTCCACGGCGAATTAAGTAAATCTTGAAGTAATAGGAAAGTTAATCTTATTATTAATAGTACAACTTATTATAAATAATTAAAAACCAAGTAGAACGCACTTCTACAATAAGTGATAAAGTCATTACAAAACAAACCTTTTAAAAATTAAAAAACAAATACATCCCACCAGCGCATAAGAACAAATATGGTTGTATTACAAAAGATTATTGCCTTAAATGGAACTCGTAATGTTTATTCAAAACTTGGCCCTCAAATATCAACCGCTTACTTGGAAAGTGGGAAAGCTAACAAATAAAGAACTCATTTTATAAGCTCTTCTCGGTTCGGTTCTCGCATTGAGCTTCAGTTAATGGGCGACTTTGGATGTGAATTGTCGGAAACGGACTGATTTTAAGCTTTTTACAACAATTTAGTTAACCGGTGCGCAGTCGAATCAAATCGTAGCTCTTCCATTGTTTATCTTCCTATAGGAAATACGCGTATTCAACCTTCGAATCTAGTTGTTTTCTCAAATATCAAACCCCAAAGAACATTACACTGCCAATTAAAGTATAGTGAGAATGAACCAGTGCATGTAATTTGCAAATCGCTGAGAACTTGCGAACTTATTGTTTAGAATCTTATCAGATCGCGGTCAAACGTTCTACTTTCGCATCCACTGAAAATTCTATTTAGTTTGCTCAGTAAATGTAAATCGATTATAATCCTTCGGCTAGCATAAGGGCTAATTACTGGGAATCCCAGCGTAAACAGAGAATTTAATAACCTGCACGCAATTGAGATAGAGTCTAGGAAGTCGAAACTTTTCTTGCTAAGCTTTCGTGTCCGGTTCCAATTGTTCTAACAACCGCCAGCCCGACCATATAGAGCACATAGATAAACGCCGACCTGGCCCACTGGATTCGGGGTCTGGGTTTCAATTCATTAAGTCCGGAGCTCTCGACGCTAGCGGTTGATCAGTTCTGATCTCTCGGGGTGTCGTGTTTATATTACTGCTCTGATTCCGAACCGCTGATTAACGTCAGTTGCAATCAGCTCGAATCAGCAGTAATTCAATCAGAGATATGGTGGGAAAAGTTCTACAGCTTGCGGTGGCGGTTCTCCTTGTCTTCTGGACGAATGCGCAGACCGAATCCTACGAGGATCCCAACAGTCTCAAGCTTTGGCTGACCATCAGTGCCCGCAAGAGATTCGTCGAGGTTTCCTGGAGCAATGCTCCGGCGAACAAGGGTGATCATGTGCTGGTGACGAGACAGGATGCCCTCAGCTTCCAGAAGAAAGCCTCTCCCAAGCGCACTCCCTTGGCTTCCTTCAGCAGCGAGGAGGGCAGTGGATCCGGCGAGGGAGCGCCCAGCTTTGTGCCCATCAGTGGGTTCACCATTAGACCGGAGGCCAGAACGGCCAGAAACGAGGTGGAGCAGGAGTTCTGGGTGGCCAATGGAGGAGCCACTGAGGTGGTGGCGGCCATCCAGCCGAGTCAGGGTCTCTCCAGCCAGTGGTTCACCACCGGGCTGCCGTTCGATTACGAGCTCTCCAGGAATGCCACGATTCACACCTCCTGCTATGGCTTCTGGGCCAGCTACATTGACGCCCAGGGAAATATCCTGGCCAAGACGTGCCTCAAAGTGTTTCCCCGCTGGATGAACGAGCTGAAGTCCAAAATCGGGGAGATGCGCCTGCGGGATCTGTTCATTCCCGGAACCCACGACTCAGGGTCATATCGACCCAACTTCGATCCGCTGCTCAGGGAGAGTCTGGTTACCAAGTATGCTTTGACCCAGGACGACGACATCAGGGGGCAACTGATGCACGGGGTGCGCTATCTGGACATCAGGGTGGGCTACTACCGGAGCTCGCCGGAACCGTTCTTCATCTACCACGGGATCACCAAACAGCGTCCCCTGCAGGAGGTCATCAACCAAGTCCGCGACTTTGTCTACGATACCAACGAGATTGTCATCTTCGGACTCAAGGAGTTCCCAGTGGGTAAGTGTGTTAATTAATGGAACATAAAAAAAAACATTATAGGAAGCCTGTTTACTTTTGATCAATTTTTATTTTGATTCTGAAATTTTTAAAATTTATTTTACTAGATTTTTTCCTAGTCACTTCAAAATATTTAGATTCTTAGGCAGCTGTTGCTCGTAAAGTCTTGGTAGTTTTGAAATAAATATAAAACAGATAAAAGATAAACTTTCGATCTCACGAAGTATTTTTCTGGATGAAGATCACTAGACCGTCTGTTCGTCTGTATTTCGTATTTCGGCAAAACTGCGTATAGGAGCTTGGGTAATGTCATTGATCATGTAGATCGCAGTGATAAGAGAATAAGATAAAAGCGTTTAAAATGAAAATGTTTCATCTGAGTAATGGGATGCCTGCTTGTTTCTTTTCAATTTAAGAATCCCGCAATGTTTTAAGAAAATCAAATCCTATCCCAGTGAGTTCTAAAATTGTTCTTTTTGGTCTTTCAGGCTTTGGTAAAGGTCTTGGTGTTCACCGCCTGCTCATCAGCTACTTGCGGGATCAGTTCCAGGACATCATAGCTCATCCGTCGCTGACCTGGCGCGCATCCCTACGAGACATTTGGGCCCGGAAGCAGAACGTGTTCCTGGCCTACGACCACGAGGCGATGGTGGAGGAGTTCCCAGAGGTCCTGTTCGGATCCGTGGAACAGCGGTGGGGCAACAAGCAGTCGTGGCCACAGCTCGAGACCTATTTGCGCAACGTCAATGACTTCGACGTGTCGTGAGTTCATCTCAAGTTCTCGATTAGATAAAGTATATTTATCGCACTTTACTGCCGCAGTCGGTTCTCCAGTCGACCGGTGTCCGATATGGCGGAGTTGACCCCGGAGACCTGGGACGTCATCCTGGACAAGCAAGGTGGCCTCCGAAAGATGGCCGATAACGTTAACTGGCGGATCTCCCAGCTATATCGAAATGAACTGGGCACGAATGCCAATATTGTGTCGGCGGACTTCATTCGGGGCACCACCCTCGTTGAAACTGCCATAGAATATAATACTCGTAAGATCTATATGTGAATAGAAGCCACTATTTTCAGCGGTGTAATAATATGAAGGAGAGGTCAGTGGTTGGGACTGCTGTTTCTTTAAAAATTAAAACCAACGATGAGCAATCCAAGCACACGGCTGATTTTTGTTTAACTATTAGTAACAATAAAAAGGGAACTAAAATACATGGTTTCTAACAATTAAGTTGCCTCATTATTTTATAAAATGTATCGGCTTTTCGAACTTTTTTCCCAGCAAAAATAAATTTTATTTAATAAACTATGTATAAACAAAAAAGCTTCCAGCCTGCAAAACCTTTCCCATATTTTTGTTGTTTAAATGTATTCGTAAAGTTTGCAATAAATATTTCTTTCGTTGACCTCACGGCCTATAGTTTTTTATATATAAACAAAAACTATGTTTATATAACAATATCTTAATTTTGCGAACTTTTTTGTTTTTCACTTCCACAGAAATTTTTCTGATTCTTAAACTCCCGGCACATACATCAAATTTTTACAGCACATTTTGATTTTGACTTTTCATTTACCCAGATCGTTTACAGTCATAAATTGCCCAAAAACGAGACCAGAAATAATTTTTTTTTAACTTTCGTCGTACCTTAAGTGGAATTTGTAAGTCCGATAGTTTGGAAAAATTTAAATTAATAAAATTTTAAGAATTTCTTTATTAAAGAAGGTAAGTATAGCAAAAAAAAGTGATAACTACTTAATAATTTCTAAACATTATAAAATGAGCGGTCGACATTCTTTTATATTTTTAAGAAGATTTTTCAAGAAGATTTTGTACCTGCAGGTAATCAGTTAAGATGAAAGCTCATTGGTAGGAGAATTAAATACCGATACTTAGCATAAAAGCTAATTTCGGGAAATGCTTGTGTAAATAGAAATTTTAATGAAGAGCGAATTGAGGCTGCGTATACGAAGTCTAAGAATTTAGATTTTCATTTCCATATACATGTAGGTATGTTTTTCTGCAAGTATATGGATACAGCACACCCAGCCTTCATTAAGTTCGGAGCTCTCGACGAGGACGGTACATCATGGCAAAAATTTTGATGCTTTTAGTGGCGGTTCTTCATGTCTTCTTGGCGAAGGCGCAGGCGGAATCCTCCGAGGATCCCAACAGTCTCAAGATTTGGTTGACCATCAGTGCCCAAAACAGATCCCTGGAGGTTTCTTGGGTCAATGCTCCCGCGAACAGGGGCGACCGAGTTCTCGTGACAAAACAAGACGCCTTCAGCTTCCAGAAACAGAAGACTTTCTGGGAAGTCAACGGTGGAGCCACCAAGGTGGTGGCGGGCATTAAGCCGACTCGTGGACTCTCCACCGAGTGGGTCACCACGCGCGTTCCCTTCGATTACAATTTGTCTAAGAATGTGACTATCGGAACCACCTGTTACGGATTTTGGGCCAGCTACATCGACGGGAAAGGCAAAATCCTGGCGAAATCCTGCCTCAAGGCTTTTCCTCGCTGGATGAACGAACTGAGGCCCAAAATAGAGAACTTGCGCCTGCGAGACCTACTTATTCCCGGATCCCATTACGCCGGCGCATATCGTCCAAACTTCGATCTGAAGAACGAAACTATTTTGACAAAGACTCGTCTGGCCCAGGATGAGGAGATTAGAGGACAACTGATGCATGGAGTGCGTTACCTGGAACTTTATGTGAACTACCATAGGAACCGGTTGGATACCTATAATCATGAAATTTTCACAATGCCACTTAGGACGGTGATCAGGGAGATTTCGAACTTTGTTTCAGAGACCAATGAGATTGTTATAGTTGGAATTAGGGAATTTTGGGGTAAGGTTGCAACACAATATTAACTGATAAAAAGAAAATAAGATAAGATTAAGTCTGAGGCCTAAAAATCATTGTCATTTCTCAAGTTTTGAAAATCATAATGTCCTTGATAGCAAACAAAAGATTAATGTCTAATTAAAACCCCCAAAGATTTTTTTACGGAGTTAGCCGAATTTTTGCGGGACGAGTTCAAGGATCAGATAGTTGACCCTTCGCTGACCTGGAACGCAACATTGGGAGAGATCTGGGCTAGGAAGCAGAACGTGTTGCTGACAATTGACGACCCGGAAGGGTTGAGTAAATCCCCTGAACTATATTTCCAGTCCCCTGAAGAACGAAGTGGTAACAATCGGACTTGGAAAATAGTTGAGACGTATTTCCGCGGTCAATACGCAGGATTGTGAGTTCATATACAAAATCAATTTCCGGTTTACTCTTTAATTATCTTTGTTCTTTCTTTTCCCCGCAGGAAGGATTCAAAGGATCCGTGAGTTTGTCGTATAGTTTATACTATATGGGTTAATTTATCCCATTTGGTTTTCCAGTCGACCGGTGGCTGATTTGGCAGCTTTGACCGCGACGGACGACGACCTCTGGTATGGCCGTGTTGGATTGCGTGAACTGGCCGATGACGGAAATCGGAGGTTCTCCCAGCTATATCGAAATGAATTGGGCAGCCGAGCCAACATTGTGTCGGCCGAATTCATAAGAGGCACCACACTCGTGGAAACAGCCATAGAAATCAATACTCGGAAGACTAAATTGTGAAGGAAATGCTCTTCTCGGTCGTTTTATAAGTGTTTATAAATCTACGATATTAATTTTATAACCGAAGTTGCAATAAACAGAGTTCTACATTTTTGTAGTTATCGAATTATATTAAACCCAGAAGGGAAAGCTAAAGTCGATGCGTCGACTTTCAGATGTCGCAAGGCTGAAAAGTTGTTGGGCATAAACCTCAAAATAACTGAACAGAAAACTCTGGGAGCCGCTGAATTTCGAGGTTTGAAGCATAAATGTGGGTGTATCTCATTTCCTTTAATCCTACAAAAATAGATGCCAATATTCTAGCTTAATTTAAATTAAAGATAGGCGTAATATAAGAGCTTATAGCTTATATAGCTTTTATACCCTTGGAGACATTTATATAGTTAGTTCGATCTTTCGCGTCGGCGATAAAGTTTAATAAACAGTCCATCTCCAGTTTTCTCAAATTTTCCATAATTTTGCACATTTTACAATATGTAAATATCTTTTAAAAAATACATTTTTATATTTATTAATGTAATGAGTTGATGATGAAGAACATCGAAGCTTTTTCGATTTTTTTGTTGATTTTCTATATGATGTAGTTGTCCGATTTAAATTCGAAATTCAAGAGTCTTTAGAAAACTCTATATTGAAAAAATTGTGCTTGTATATTAAACTAAAAGTATAATTTTGGATGGATTTCTTTAATTTTCCTATTGCAGGTATGTTATAGTCATCCGAATTTCATTACTTTTAATGACTAGTTTATAAAAAACTGATAGATGGACAGACGAAACTTCCAGATCGGTACAGATAGTGGTGGGGATCTAGAATATAAATTTTGTTATGGTGTCTCCTTTACCGCGATGCAAACTTCTGACTGATATTTAAATACTCTGCAAGGGTATTAAAAAAATTTTGGCGCCTCAGAATCTCGCTGTTTTCTAAAATCTTGAAAAAGCTTTATCCCAATATTCAAATTTTGCAAATTATAAATACTTGTCTTCCCTGAGCTTTTAGCATACATGCAAAGGTCTAAAAACTACAGGCTAGATAGGCATTTTAATGGCCGCCACGCGACTTGGGAATCTAAACAAAAAATATTTGCTTAGACAGTTTTTAACGTTATTATACTCTTGCAGAGGGTATTATAAATTCAGTCAGAAGCTTGCAACGCAGTGAAGGGGAGACCTCTGACCCCTTAAAGTATAAATGTTCTTGATCAGCGTCACGATCTGAATCAAACTACGTCTGTGCGTCTCTCCGTCTGTCTGTTTCCATGTTAACTAGTCTCCCAATTTTAAAGATATCTTCCTGAAACTTTATCAAAAGTTGTGTAATTTTTGTACGCAATAGGCCGGATGAAAAAATGATGCGAAAAAATTATTACGCCGATGTTTTTGATCATATCGATTTTTTCGATAATAACTACTGTTGAATTTCGAACTCAATTTTATTGAAATCGGATTACTATATCATATATTTGCCGAAAATCTATATAGAACTAATGGACATGAAATGATAACGTCGTTGTTTTATATTTATATTTATATTATATTATACATATTTTATATTTTTATAAAGCGACCATGATATTTTGAGTGCCAAGTTTTTTAACCCGCCTTGAATCAGAAACAAATTTTATAATAGGAAAGACCGAGAAAAAAAACAGTTTTAACTGTATGGAACAAAATTATATTATCGATGTATTTTTATCATAAAAAGACGATTTTTTGGATATAATTTTCTAAAAGCTCCTGAAATTGAAAATAAATTTCAAGCAAATAAGACGGCTAATTGTGCTAGAAACAATAGTTGAAAATAGGCAAAAATTAATAGAAAAATCGTCATTACTTCGATGTAGTTTAGCCCTTATGCATTTTGCTCGACATTTGTGGTAACTGCAAGGGTATATCAGCTTCGGCTTTAACTTTAAGTATAAGCATCTATCTAAATGTGTTAATATATTACTATTATATACAAGAAATTTCCTTCTGACTACAAAGCCTGATTGTTTATGCTTATCCAATATAATCGTAAATAATGCTAAATTGCTAAAAGTCTAAGAATCTATGTTTTATAACACAATCATTTTCTGCACGCTCTCTGTATGCAAATGTATATAAAGCATATGGATACAGCACACCCAGCCTTCATTAAGTTCGGAGCTCTCGACGAGGACGGTACATCATGGCAAAAATTTTTCTGCTTTTAGTGGCAGTTCTTCATGTCTTCTTGGCGAAGGCGCAGGTGGAATCCTCCGAGGATCCCAACAGCCTCAAGATTTGGTTGACCATCAGTGCCCAAAACAGATCCGTGGAGGTTTATTGGGTCAATGCTCCCGCGAACGAGGGCGACCAAGTTCTCGTGACAAAACGAGACGCCTCCAGCTTCCAGAAGAAACTCAAGAAAAGGAAGACTGTCTGGAAAGCCAACGGAAGAGCCAACAAGGTGGTGGCGGCCATTTTACCGAGTCGCGGACTTTCCACCGAATGGGTCACCACGGAAGTGCCCTTTGATTACGATTTGTCCAAGAATGTGACTATCGAAACCACCTGTTACGGATTCTGGGCCAGCTACATCGACGCGGAGGGTAAAATCCTGGCGAAATCCTGCCTCAAGGCTTTTCCTCGCTGGATGAACGAACTGAGACCCAAAGTAGAGAACTTCCGCCTGCGAGATCTGTTTATTCCCGGATCCCATTTCGCCGGTGCATACCGTCCAAACTTCGATCTGAAGCGCCAAACTATTATGACGAAGACTCGTCTGGCCCAGGATGAGGAGATTAAAGGACAACTAATGCATGGAGTGCGTTACCTGGAAGTCCAAGTGGTATACCATCGGAACCAGTTTGACTCCTATAATAATGACATGAACACAATGCCACTAAGAACGATTATCACGGAGATTTCGAACTTTGTGGAGCAGACCAACGAGATTGTCATACTTGGGATTAAGAAATATTGGTGTAAGGTTACAACACAATACTAACTGATAACAAGAAAATAAGATAAGAATAAGTCTAAGGCCAAAAAATCATTGTCAATCGGCTAAAAAAAGTTTTTTAAGATCGATTTGAAACTCATATTGTCCTTGATAGCAAGCTAAAGTTTAATGTCTAATTAATATTCCCAAAGGTTTCCATCTGGGGACGTGTGATGATGGGGAACAGAAGTTAGCCAGACATTTAAGGGACGAGTTCGGGGATCGGATAGTTGACCCTTCGCTGACCTGGAACGCAACCTTGGGAGAGATCTGGACTAGGAAGCAGAACGTGTTGGTGACTTTCGACGACCCGGAGGTGTTAAAGAAATTCCCTGAACTGTATTTCCAGTCCGTTGAAGAACGGAGTGGTAACAGTCGGACTTGGGATCGAGTTGAGACGTATTTCCGCGATCAATACGCAGGATTGTGAGTTGATATACAAAATCATATCTCAGATTACTCTTTACAAATCCTCTTTCTTTCTTTTCCCCGCAGGAAAGATTCGAAGAATCCGTGAGTTTGTTTTATAGTCTATACTATACAGGTTCTTTTATCCCATTTGGTTTTCCAGTCGACCGGTGGCTGATTTGGCAGCTTTGACCGCGACGGACGAGGACCTCTACTACGGTCGTGTTGGATTGCGTGAACTGGCCGATGACGGAAATCGGAGGTTCTCCCAGCTATATCGAAATGAATTGGGCAGATCTGCCAACATTGTGTCGGCCGAATTCATAAGGGGCACCACACTCGCGGAAACAGCCATAGAATTCAATACTCGGAAGACTAAATTGTGAAAGAAATGCTCTTCTCGGTCGTTTTATAAATGTTTAAACCTCTAAGATATTAATTTTATAACCTACATTGCAATAAACGGGGACAGAGTTCAACATTTTATTTAGTCATTAAATAAATGTGGGTGTATCACATTTCCGTTAATCTTATGGAATAAATCCCAAAATTCTAGCTTAATTTAAATAAAAGATAGGCGTAAGATAAGAGCATATAGCTTTTAAAGCTTTAATACCCTTACCGTTCGATCTTTATAGCGTCGGTGATAAAGTTTACTAAACAGTACATCTCCAGTTTTCTCAAATTTTCCATTATTTTGCACATTTTTTTCAAAGCTTAACAATATGTAAATATGATATAACATCTTTTAAAAAATACTTTATTATAAATATATTTATTAATGTAATAAGTTGATGGTGAAGAACATCGCAGTTTTTCCGATATTTTATTGATTTTCTGTTTCCTTAAATCTTGAAAAATCTTTCTCCCAATATTCTAGCTTTTGCAATTTAAAAATACTTGTCTTCCCTAAGCTTTTAGCATACATGCAAAGGTCTAAAAACTACAGGCTAGATAGGCATTTTAATGGCCGCCACGCGACTTGGGAATCTAAACAAAAAATCTGTGTTTCGACTGTTTTTAACGTCAATATACTTTCGCAGAGAGCATTATAAATTCAGTCAGAAGTTTGCAACGCAGTGAAGGGACACTTCAGACCCCTAAAGCATACATATTTTTGATCAGCATTACGAATTGAATCGAAACACGTCTGTACGTCTGTCTGTTTCTATGTTAACTAATCTCCCAGTTTTAAAGATATCTTCCTGAAACTCTATCATCAGTTGTGTAATTTTTGCACGCATTATAAGGTCGGAATTATTATTTATTTTCATATCACGATTATGATATTTTAAGTGTCAAATTTCATAAGAATAGGAAAGACCGAAAAAAAACAGTTTTAAATGTATGGAACAAAATTATACTATCAAGGTTTTTTATCATAAAAAGACGATTTTTTGGATATAGTTTTCTAAAAGCTCTTTAAAATAATAACTTTAAAATAAATTTCATGCAAATAAGAAGGCTATATAATTGTCCTAGGAACAATAGTAGAAAATAGGGAAAAATTAATTACTTCGATGTTGTTTAGCCCTTATGCATTTTGCTCGACATTTGTGGTAACTGCAAGGGTATATCAGCTTCGGCTTTAACTTTAAGTATAGGCATCTATCTAAATGTGTAAATATATTACTATTATATACAAGAAATTTCCTTCTGTTACAAAGCCTGAAACAATTTAGTAGAATACTGGGACGGATTGTTTATGCTTATCCAATATAATCGTTAAATAATGCTAAATTGCTAAAAAGGGATGTGGTGTATAGAAAGTCTAAGAATCTATGTTTTATAACACAATCATTTTCTGTACGCTCTCTGTATACAAATGTATATAAAGCATATGGAAGCAGATCTACCAGTCTTTATTAAGTTCGGAGCTCTCGACGAGGACGGTACATCATGGCAAAAATTTTGCTGTTTTTAGTGGCGTTTCTTCATGTCTTCTTGGCGAAGGCGCAGGCGGAATCCTCTGAGGATCCCAACAGTCTCAAGATTTGGTTGACCATCAGTGCCCAAAACAGATCCGTGGAGGTTTCTTGGGTCAATGCTCCCGCGAACGAGGGAGACCAACTGCTCGTGACAAAACAAGATGCCTTCAGCTTTCAAAAGAAACTCCAGCCCCATAAGGGAGATCAAGAATTATGGGAAGCCAACGGTGGAGCCATCGAGGTGGTGGCGGCCATTCAACCAAGTCGGGGACTCTCCACCGAGTGGATCACCACGCAAGTGCCCTTTGATTACAATCTGTCTAAGAATGTAACTATCGCAACCACCTGTTACGGATTTTGGGCCAGCTACATCGACGCGGAGGGTAAAATCCTGGCGAAATCCTGCCTCAAGGCTTTTCCTCGCTGGATGAACGAACTGAGACCCAAAGTAGAGAACTTGCGCCTGCGAGATCTGTTTATTCCCGGATCCCATTTCGCCGGTGCATACATTCCAAACTTCGATCTGAAGCGCCAAACTATTATGACGAAGACTCGTCTGGCCCAGGATGAGGAGATTAAAGGACAACTAATGCATGGAGTGCGTTACCTGGAAGTCCCATTGGTATACCATAGGAACCTGTTTGACTCCTATAATAATGACCTCTTCACGATGCCACTAGGAACGATTCTCAAGGAGATTTCGAACTTTGTAAAAGAGACCAACGAGATTGTCATTCTTGGAATTAAGGATTTTTGGTGTAAGGTTGCAATAGAATAATAATTGATTACAAGAAAATGAGATAGGATTTTTAACCTAAATCATATGTACGAATAAGTCTGAGGCCAAAAAATCATTGTCAGTCGGCTAAAAAACGTTTTTCACAATCAATTTGAAACTCATATTGTCCTTGATAGTAAACAAAAGTTTAATGTCTAATTAAAATCCCCAAAGGTTTTCATCTGAGGACGTGTGATGATGGGGAACAGAAGTTAGCCAGACATTTAAGGGACGAGTTCGGTGATCGGATAGTTGACCCTTCGCTGACATGGAACGCATCCTTGGGAGACATTTGGGCTAGGAAGCAGAACGTTTTGCTGACCTTTGACGACCCGGAAATGTTGAAAAAATTCCCAGAACTATATTTCCAGTCAGTTGAAGAACGGAGTGGAAACAATCGGACTTGGGAAATAGTTGAGACGTATTTCCGCGATCAATACGCAGGATTGTGAGTTCATATACAAAATCATATCGCAGTTTTCTCTTTACTTATCCTTTTTCTTTCTTTTCTCCGCAGAAAAAATTTAAAGAATGCGTGAGTTTGTCGTATAGTTCATACTATACTATATTGGTTCATTTATCCGATTTGGTTTTCCAGTCGACCGTTGGCTGATTTGGCAGTTTTGACCGCGACGGAAGAGGACCTCTGGTATGGCCGTGTTGGATTGCGTGAACTGGCCGATGACGGAAATCGGAGGTTCTCCCAGCTATATCGAAATGAATTGGGCAGATCTGCCAACATTGTGTCGGCCGAATTCATAAGGGGCACCACACTCGCGGAAACAGCTATTCAATTCAATACCCGAAAGACTAAATTGTGAAAGAAATGCTCTTCTTTTTATAAATTTAATAAATGTTTATAGCCCTACGATATTAATTTTATAACCGAAATTGCAATAAACAGAGTTCAACATTTTATTTATTTATTAAATTAAATTAACCAGAAGGGAAAGCTAAAGCTGAAACGTTGTTGGGCATAAACCTCAAAATCATATGACAGAAAACTCTGGGTGCCGCTGAATTTCGTGACTTGTAAGCATAAATGTGGGTGTATCTCATTTCCTTTCATATTACAATAGCTCTTCCCCCATATTCTATCTTATGCAAATTAAAGATAAGCATAAGTCAAAATCTTATAGCTTATATACTATAGCAGACATTTCTATTGTTAGTTTGATCTTTATAGCATCAGCGATAAAGTTTCTCCGTTTTTTTTTTTTTTTTTCGGTATGATGTAGTCATCCTTCTTGTGCGATACAGATGGTATATATACTTTATATGGTGTCCTTAAATCTTATATCACATTTTCCAAAATCTTGAAAAAGCTTTATCCCAGCTTTTGCAATTAAGAAATACTTACTAAAAACTACAGGCTAGATAGGCATTTTAATGGCCGCCACGCGACTTGGGAATGTAAACAACAAAATCTTTGTTTAGACTGTTTTTAACGTTATTATATTCTTGCAGAGGGAATTATAAATTCAGTCAGAAGTTTGCGTCGCAGTGAAGGAGACAACTCAAACCGTTTAAAGTATATATATTCTTCATCAGCGTCACGATCTGAATCAGACTACGTCTGTCCTTCTTTCTGTTTCTATGTTAACTAGTCTCCCAATTTTAAAGATATGTATCTTCCTGGAACTTTATCAAAAGTTCTGTAATTTCTGCATGCAATATATAGGTCGGAACAGGCCGGATCTGGCGACCATATCGGATAGCTCACATACGAGAGATCAAAAAAATGACAGGAAAAATTACGATGCCGATGTTTTTGATCATACCGATTTGACTTTTTCGACTGCCATTGAATTTATATAGCTGTCATATGAACAATAGTTGGAAATATGGAAAATGAATAGAAAATCGTCATAGCTTTGATGTTGTTTAGCCTTTATGTATTTTGTTCGACATACATACATATTTAATGATTGCAAGGGTATATACAGCTGTGTTCATAATAATAGCAGTGCTGATGACGTAAATGTTTAAGATCGAAAAATCATAGTATAAACACTAAATTGGGACAAATTTGGTTTACATCAACATAATATATTTAATTTTAATTATGTTAACATTTGTTTCAGTTTAATAACTCCATTTTTTTCGAAAATATTCATAATAACAAAATAATAACGACAAAATGTGCTGTTCATAATAATAGCAGTGTTACCAAAAAAAATTAAAAAATTTAACAAATCTTAAAAATAACTTAATACAATTAACAATAATGATAAATATTAACTAATTTTTTGTCGTAAAACCTTTATTGGCTATAACAGCTTCACACCTACGTGGCATGGAGTCCACCAAGTCCTGGCAACGCTTGGGGGGAATCTGCGCCCACGCATCCGGTACAAATTGCCAAATCTGCGACTTTGAAGTCGGGGATTTCTTTGCCACATATCGCTTGATGTCCCCCCATAAATTTTCAATCGGATTTAAATCCGGGGACTGTTCTGGACACGACATTAATTCAATGTTTTCTTGAATAAACCAGCTCTTAGCCAATTTGGTGGTATGTTTTGGGTCGTTATCCTGCTGGAATGACCATTTTAAGGGCATATCCCACTGTGCATAAGGAAGCATAACATTTTTGAGTATGTCCACATAGACGTGTTGGTCCATGATCCCATAGATCATATGTATGCGACCCACGCCGCTGTACGAAAAACAAGCCCATACCAATATTTTAAGGCCACCGTGCTTAACGGTCTTAAGAGGGTGGTTTGGGTGGTACTCAGTGTTTGGGGGTCGTCGGACATACTGTCTTGAGCCTGTCCCACCAAACAAGACCAGTTTGGACTCATCTGTCCAAAGAATACTGCGCCATTTCGTCACTGGCCAGTACAAATGGCTTTTGGCAAACTCCAATCGAGCTTGGATATGCCTTTTACCAAGTAATGGCACCTTTCGGGGGCTTCGCGCATTTAAATTTCCATTTACTAATCGAAGGTGAATGGTGACGTCGCTGATCCCCAACTTCAGCTCCACTTTTACATCCCTAGAAGATGCAAGAGGATTCGCTTTGCTGAAGCACACTATTCGTCGGTCCTTAATATCGGTTGTTTTTCGTTTGGGCCCACGTGTTTTGGACTTCCAATCATATTTAAATGGCATTGGATGCCATAAATGGCATTGGATACCATTTTGGTAAAACAAATTACCATATCTTGGATTTGTTGATAGGTTTTTCCCTGCTTTCTAAGCTGAACTATCAAATTCCTCTCTTCCTCTGAACAGTGTTGTCCTCTACCCACTAAAATTAAAATTTTTGCATGGTTATTGTGTATTTTCATTTAAATTATATTAATTAACTCAAGCAAACTCACTTTTTGCAAAATTTTTAATGTTTTCGGCACTTTTTGTGGATTAAAATGAAAAACTGCTATTATTATGAACAGCCAAAAACTTGTGATTTTGCACAAGAATGTCCAAAAAACGAAAATAAAAAGCAAATCTAATGGAACTTTTTTAGTTTTCCTATCTCTATATTCCATTTTACAAAAAAAATGATCAAGCGATCAACTAACGAAAAGGAATATGCTAAAATTACCGTTGTTTTACTTCGTTGCTATTGCACTGCTATTATTATGAACACAGCTGTAAGCTTCGGCTTGCCGAAGCTAGCTTCCTTTCTGGTTTTTGACGATTTTTTATATATAGATTATATGTCGGACGACTACCGATTTTCATAAAATTTGATTAGAATTCCACGCCGGTGATGTTTCCCGCGTCGACTCCAGCGGCGGCACCGAGTCTCGCTACTGGTCTTTCTCGGCTTAGAGGATGTTAGGCAGAACCTGCCTAGCGGGGCTAAGCTAGTGGTGCCTGCAGTCACCACTCTTCGCTCCACACCCGGAGTTCGGTCTGAAATTCGTCGGCCCGGCACCTGCAGCAGGTCCCCACTCTCGTGTGAATCGACGCCCGGTTGCCTCGCACAACCCCACTGGATCTTCAACGGCCCCGGAATCTCAGCAGATTTCCACTCTCGTGAAAACCGACACCGTGTCGCTTACATTCACGCCAAGAATCCACCAACCTATACCTTACCTCTGGATTTCAGTTTATGTTTTTGTTAGTTGATACTTCGCTGACCTGGAGCGCATCCTTGGGGGACATGTGGAAGCATAAACGGAATGTGATGTTGTCTTACGACCACAAAGCAATGCAAGTGGAGGTTCCAAATGTCATTTTCGGTCCTCTGGATAACAGGTGGGGAAACAAGCAGACTTGGGCCAAACTTGAGACGTATTTGCGGTTTTCGTATGTTTTCGAGAAAGTTTATTTCCAGAATAATATTTTAGTAGATGTCATTTATCCCTTTTTGTTCCTGCAGGAATCGAGATGGGGATACGCCGCAGAGTGATATGGCGGAGTTGACACCACGTTAGCATGATCTAGTAATAAGCATAAGGGCAAATATGCCAACATCGTGTCAACGGATTTTATACGAGGAACCCCAATCGCGGAAACTGCTTTAAAATATAACGAGCACTTCGTTGGAAATGCTTGGAATAAATCGGTTCTTTCGTCGGTTTTTTTTAAGTAAAGGTTTAATAATACATTTATTTGCTAAGCGGTTAAGTCGGACATCATTATGCTGCTTATTGTACTGCTGTGTAGCTTCCCTAAACATGTCACATTTTGTTTTATAGTTTGTTCCCATCAAAGCGCAATTAATTGATTCCTGATTGTATTAAAAATTAGGTTTGTAACACCTAGCAACAAAATCTAAAGTAAAATGATTGGCAAGTGGGCCAAAAGGCCTTGTGTTGAAATCAACAAATTTAATCCTGATAACTGAGAAGCTGACTCAAATAAATACATATTTTAAAACTAAATTCTAATAGATGCCGATCTTGTTGTGAGGAATGCCAATTGTCTAGCGAAAATATCATACATATGGGAGAGGGTGTGCTTAAAACTGTTTAAAATTCAACAAGTTTTTAGAGTTTTCGAATATCAGATACGAGTGTTTTTGGACTTCATTAACTACGATAATCCGTTGGGTTGCGTAGATTTAGTTAATCGCCTCATTCGATTCGATTATGGTGGTATTGAAGATGGCCCGGCAAATGTTTACGACGGAGTTGGAGAGTCTTCCGTAGCACTTGGGCTTGGTCTTCCAGGCGATGAATACGTAGTAGAATGGAATGCCGGCCACGGTGATCAGGATGCCGATCAAGAGGTTACCTGGCTCCTCCAGATTCGGCAGCAGGACCAATGTCACGCAGATCACCATGAAGATAATGGGCAGCGCGAGATTTACCTTTATGGGGCGTGGCATGTCAGGTCTGAAAGTAAATACGGTAAGTTATTTGAACTGGTTCATCAGTATTGTAATTTATAGCAATTTTTTAAACTTTTGTAAACTGAAACTAAATGAATTGTACCATGGAATAATTTGAAAGGTTCTAACTTTGTGAAATAAAATCTGGTAAAGATTTTTTTGAAATTCTTTAAGTTTTCGTTTTGAAGTTGTAAATCGAAGATTTTAGTTTGGCAAATATTTAATTAAATAATACTTTTTCCGTACTTTAAAACAAATATTTAATAATGGAGGTATATGATTGGTTTTCGAACTGCTACGATTTAATTGAAAACTTATACTTATTAAAGAAAATACCCCTTCAGATATAAACTTAGTATAGAAAGCACTAACCTCTTATGCCGGAGCCACAACATTCCGGCTATGCTGGCCACCACTGAGAGCCAAAGCACCGAACTGAAGTAGTTGATCAACTGGTATACATTATCCGTGAGTAGCATTATCAGCGACATCAGGCACTTAAAGTAGATATTGAAAAGTCTCATTGCAATCCTCGATTAACATGAAAAGCGCTAAAATCAACTTACTGTAAAAATCAGAGAGGGAATCGGGGTCTGCTGCTTGACATGGAAAAGCTGGAAAAACTTGGGCAAGTGACCCTCCTGGGCTCCAGTTGCGAACAGTCGGGCCGAGGTGAAAAGCACCCCATTCACACCCCCCAAAAGTGCTCAAGGCCACGAAAATGGGCACCATGAACGCCAGCGGTCCGAAAACGCGGTTTCCAAAGGTCACAGCCACGGCCAACGAACTGAGCATCTCCGGTTTGTTCACCACTGCGAAATAGGCCAAATTGACCAGAACGTAAATGCCCGTGACCAGAGGCATGGCAATCCAAATGGCACGCGGAAGATTTCTGTCCAATGAAGAAAGATTTACATGAGTATTTCGTTTTATCTGTACATTGGAAAACAGTGCGGAAAACTAAGTGAATAGTTTATAGATATAAGTAATAATACAATAGTTTAATAATAATAAAATAGTTTACAATTTAAAAATTAAAATAAATTTAAATGCTATCCCAATGGTACGAGAAAGATTTTTGCCCAATGAAGAAAGATTTGTAAAAGTATTATCTGTATATTGGAAAAAGATTTGAAAAGAGCGTATATATTTTACGATTTCAAAAAGATGCCACAAAAATTTGATTTTCAATTTTCAATTGTTTGCTGTGTGAAAGAGAACGTGCCATTTAACTAAGAATCCCACTTGGCCTGAAAATGGGGGGAACACTTAAATTGATTGCAGCGCTTCGAGAGCAAATTGAATTCGTTAGGGAGGAGGCAGCATCCCACCCACTCGAACAAACTGGAGGACCCATGACATCAAGGACGCTCAACAAGTTTCAACTTGTTGCTGCCTGCGCATGACGCAACAGGCATGAGTAGGATAAATAATCCTGCTCTACCCCCACCACTTTCGCAGCCATTTGTCATGATGACAGACCCCACCCACTCACTTGTAGGGATCCTGCAGCTCCTCCGTCACAAAGTTCAAGTAGTTCCAACCGCCAAAGGCAAACAGGCCGGAGTAGAAGGCGTAGCCAATGTTGCGGGCACTGTAGGTGCCCTCCCACGGATTGCTGAAGTTCTCCAACTTGCCGGTGGCCATGTAGTAAAGTCCGGCCAGGATAATCATGATGAGGGCCAGCAACTTGCCTACCGTAAACACATCCTGCACCTTCATGGACACCTTCACCGACAGGCAATTGATGGCGGTGAGCAGAGCTGGCAAAAGCGGAATAATTAGAGTTAATTATTGACAGGAGATTGGTTGGTTCACTCACTTAGACAAACGGCGGCCAATAGTTTCACCGACATTTGTGGCGGATCGCAGTCCGGGAAAAAAGGTTTTGCGGCATAATGGGCGAAGGTTAGGGCCACGATGGTCTGAAAACAAAAAATGTATTTTCTTTTATTCAGTTTTCTTTAATTGCTTTCACTGGAGAAAGTTGTTTTGCGTGTTATTGAATTCAATTCCGGTCGAAGGCAGTCGCCACTCAATAAAATTCTATTTATTTGCATCAACAACCCATCAATCAAACAAATAAACATTCCGTAATTCAATTGACGGGTCTTTGGCACTGACCTGCGTTGTTGGCCGGATGATGAGCAGCGCCAGCCAGAGCCGCAGGAATCCCACCAGCGGTCCAAAGGACACCAGCAGATAGGCGTAATCCCCGCCAGATCTAGTGATGCTCGTTCCCAGTTCGGCGTAGCAAAGAGCTCCGATTGTCGACAGAATTCCACACACTGACCAAATCAAAAGGGAGCTTCCCACGGATCTGGAAGAAAATATGGTGTAAGGTACGAGTAAACAAGGAAATTAAACAAAGTAACCTTATATCAGTACAGTAGTACCAACAGTATCTAAATAACTACTATGTATTGAAAAGTAATTAGAATTTAAGAATAGAATAGAAACAAGAAGATTTATATGTACATACATATATTACAATACTGATTTTATGAATGTACAGATTTGTGAAAGTACTTAAATTTTAAAAACCATAAAAAACTCTTCTTTGTGCTAATGGTTTCAATTTCCATGCCTTATTTTTATGACGCACACCTTTTCTTATCAATAACTTAAATGTTTGGCACGCCTTATTGACGTTATTCTTGTAACTGGAAACCAACCCGATCAAAAAACACTTTAAAGCTGACGCAATATTTGCGCGATGTTTCGTGGGCAAATCTTCAAGGGAAATTCGACAACTAATAATTCATCTTAATTGGTGCGAAAGGAATGTTTGTGAGAATCTTTCCGTTAATTAACAGTTAAATTGACCTTTTTGTGCATAAATTGAATTAAGGATGATACTATATGCAGTGTCCACTTACTCGGTGTATATGAAGACTCCAGTCGGCGCGATAAAGATGCCCGATCCAATGATGGTTCCCACTATAATGGCCACTCCATTGATAAGGGTCAGCTTCCGTTTCAGGACAATTTTCTCCTCGCCGGCATTTTCAGTGGGAGTGGTTCCATTTGTGGGCTCAACCAGACTGGTGGTGACTCCATTGGCATATCTGTCCGCCATGATTGAGTGCTGAAACCTGGTTCTCCTTTATTGCTGATTAGCTGTCATTGCCACTGAAAAGTAAAAATAAAAGTATCAAACTTTTGCGTTTTTTGAAACAAAAACAAAAGCGTCTGGCAGGCAATTTTGCTATCAGTAATTGGGAATTCAGCACGTGTTGCGCAAAATGTAAACAAATGGCTGTTTTTTTACATTTGGTTTCTAACTGCGAGTAGGCACTAATTGAAGACTCATTTCTTTGCTTCGTTGGCACCAAACTAATCTCTCATTGTCAGACATAAACTTTAATTACAACTGTTTGCTGACACCACTATCTTCGATACACAAAATTAAGCTTTAAAGTACGCCGTTTTTGGGGTTGGCGTTCTGTTTCCCCATTTATGTTAGTGTGTTTTTATTCTGACGCCTCTGCCGCGTGCCAATTTTCACGATTTCGTCATCATCGCCACTTAAATGCAACGCGTGGCAATGGAATAGTGCAGTTCCAGATTTTTAGTCTTCTGGCATTTGCCCCTTGACTTTTTTTGTAACGTTTGGAATGCAGTTTTGCTGATTATTTTGGTTTTTCTTGTTCGAGTTGTTCGGTTGTAAAACACGATTTAGATTACCTCGAGCGCGACACAACAAAACGGCTTCGACTGCGGACAGCAACTGTGCGTTGGCATCGAGACCGGCATTTTCATACTAAAATTAACGCAATTTCCACCCCAAGAGCCGAGAGGTAGAGAGCGATTTGCGAGTGTGCGCCATAAGCCCCAAAAGAGAGCTGTTTCGAGGGAGAAATCAATGCTCAAAACCGGAAATCGGAGTCGAATTGTTTGTTTACAAATCGGTTTCGGCAGGTGTCCGCTTGAAGTTGCCATTGAAAACTGGTTGTAAATATTTTTGAAAATACAACAAGTGTTTGGTTACGTTTTCAGCAAACGTAAAAGAAATTAAGAAAAACAAGTTCAAACTCCCGCTGAAATTTCAAACACCCTTGCCAGTCACCCTGGAAAGCAGACAGCTGATCCAAATAACATTTATCGATAACAAAGCATCTGTGGCACTGAGTCCATCCCTATAATTTTTTTGTTTTGGTAGTTGCACGTGTTTTCTTTTGATTGCGTTTTAAAGGACCAAAACTAGCAATGTCGGACAAGTAATTACACTAGTAACTTGATAACTATGTTTATTTAAAGCACGATTTCATAATTCACTTCATAGATATGCAGTACCCAACAAATTGCCCGGCAAAACAGTCTCGGTGCTGAAGCATCGCAAGAGGAGGATTCTCCAAGATGAGGCTGTCGTCACGCAGAAGAGAAATGACCGCATCAAGAAGAGGACCGCCACCAAAAACCACCACAAGTTCCGCCGTGCCGAATCCTTCGTAATGGGCTACTTAAAAGCAGAGCGCACGGCGAAGCGAATCAAGCAAACCATTCTTCGCACCAATATCACAGATCAAAGTACCAAGGCAGCCGAGGATTGCAACCCTAAGCTGCTCTTCGTGATGCGCCATGCGGGAAAAAAGATCTTCGACAAGACCACCTCGGATATATTCAGAACCCTTCGCATGCCCTCTCGCCACAATGCCGTCTTCCTAGAAAACACCAAGGAAAACCAACTGTTGCTGCGCGTGATCGAACCTTATGTGGTCTACGGCAATCCATCGCTGAGCTCCGTTCGCGAGCTGGTCTTCAAGAAGGGTTTTGCTCGCATTAACGGCAAGAAGACGGCCATCCAGTCGAACACCATGGTAGAGGAGCAGCTGGGCGAAAAGGGTGTAATTTGCTTGGAGGACATCATTCACGAAATTTGCACAGTGGGCCCGAACTTTGCCGCTGTCAACCAGTTCCTTTGCTCTTTTGCGGTGAGTTTAGTCTTGAATTTCAGCATTTTAAAAATCTTAATGTTTAATTTTCCATTTCGTAGTTGTCGAGTCCGAGCAATGGCTGGCAGAAGAAGGTCTCCGTTTCCTACAAACGCGGCGGTGAATACGGCGATCGCGGCGCTGCTATCAATGAACTGATTGCCCGCTGCTTGTAGAGAAATTAAGATAGTAGACTTTTAAGTGATTGTTCAACCTCAATAACCCATTCTGTACCTAAGCCCAATACAAAATTTATATACAAACTGAGCCTCGAGGTCTTAAATATGAATTATCCTTAAAGGAAATAAGTAGCAGGAGCCACCTTACCAGCAGTTTACTGTATGCCCATAAAAACAATCCTCAGACTATTAAGGAACCACATGAAACTGTCTCTAACGACGTTCCTCATTATCCTGCATGTTTATAAATATGATAAACTCCACCCACGAAACAACTTCCTTGCTCCTTGGCCTTGCGTGTTTCAGCCGAGTTCCCAAATTGAACAAACCAGAAAATCAACTTTTTGCTACGAATAATAAATAACTCATAACCGAGCAGGGGAAGGAAGTAGAAAAGGAATGCCAAATTGAGCTACTTGTTGCCATGAAGGAGGGAAAGTTTTTTTCCGATTAGTCGGAATCAGTGCTACTAACCTAGTGCAACTCGGGACGTCGTACGCTTTCGTTCGGAATTGTCCTAGGCACTGGGCCATAAACTTCAAAACGTTCACGTTCGATTTACTCTCAATGAATTCAAGATTTAAATCCGACGAGTGGGAGGTGGAACGCAATGGACTGAGCAGACTCCTAGCCACATCCCTCAAGGAACCGATTCTGGGCAAGCACTTCGCATTGCCCGGACGCACTGCAGAGGGTCAACACATTGAACTCGACACCAGCCAGAGCTACATTGCCGTATACACTCACCTTAAAGTGCACGCCACCAAAATGCTAGAGAGATTGCCTACGCCGGAAGCGATTGTGCGGCTCCAGGCGGAGATCCAAGCGAACTCAGAGGGAAAGCCCAAGACCCGAGCTGCTAAGCCACGCTGTGACCTTTCACAACTATGATTGTTCTTTTTTAATATAAAGATATTAAGCGGCAGGCCCATAAATTTACACGACCCAAGGATATTTAAACTCGTGTTATAAAATAAAATATTAATCATAATATAAACCTATCTGTAAACCTTTCAAAAAAACCATTACAAATAAAAACACTATCATAAAAACTTATTTAACCCCATATTTTCAATCCTTTTAGCCACCCACATATTGAATAAACCAACAATGAAATTAATATGTTTAATAAAATATATGACGTTATTTTTTTTGAAGGTTCTCTCCAAGGATGCACCATTATCATGTCCTTCCTTTAGGTTCTTGCTAAGTAACTTAAAAATATCCTTGAAATCATTGTAAATCCATTGTGTTTACCAACTTCTTGCTAATAAACGATTAAATAATTATGGTCAAATATTACGATGCGGCCATTTAGCATCGAACATCATCTGATGAACATTGCGTTTTAAATCTTGTACCCTTATCTTCTTGCTAATAAAGGATTAAATAACAGTGCTGCAGTAAGACATTTGGAGTGGGGTTTTCCAAAAGATTCCAATGTGGCAATCGCTGTTAATTGCTTTCATTTAACTTCTGTAACGAAAGTGTTTCCTTGTCATCCTCGCTCTTAGTTCTGCAGGACTCGCACGGCGTTGTACATCTGGGCGATGATGGGCAGCTGCTTCGATTCCCGTCGACACAGACATTTGTAGGCGTGGGACAGCAGTTTGTCCAGGGCAGCCACATCGATCTCGTCGGGCTTGGTGGCCGCGATTTGGATGTTGTGCTCCGTCATTGGCTCCTTCTGCGTGAGCGGGGCGAAAAGTGGACGTGGATCAGTACTGCGGATGGTAAACACTGGCAGCACTTACCAGGTTGTCAAGGTAGGCCAGTAACTGGTGGCCTACGGAGGCAATCTTCAGAAACGCCGACTGCGAGCTCTCCGCGTAGAGATTGAGCCTTCGACCGGCTATCTCCAGCAGCAGGCGGCCCAGCTCCTCGTCGTCACTGATGTCTTGGAGCAGCATCTGGGCCTCCGCATCATACCCGAAGGCGTACAACTCCACCACCTGGAGGAGGGGAAATATATTTAATATATTTTTGAACTCGATGTGTTTCCTCTGTTGTGCTCTCTAACGAATAAACTAACAAACTGAACTTGTAAAGCGAAAGCAGCTTAGGATGCCGCTAAGATAAATTTCAAGGATTCCTAGATCCCAGAATACATGTTTACGAATTTGATTTGCTGAATAACTTGGTGGAAAAAATTCAAACGTTCTATGTTTTGAAAAGCATACATTTTCATATATAGCGAAGAAAAAGTATAATAAATTGTTTGCAATTTGCCAAAACTTAAAAAATTGTCTTATCCAGCAATGAGAAAAATATATATAAATTATCTTACCTGTCGTCTTAGGATGGGAAGTTTATCGACTTCCCAGCTGTCGGCTAGCGCACAAATCTTGGACATGTAGAAGACGTGGTCTAGGATGTACAGTTGTTGCAGGTCCTCCCTAATCAGATCCATAGTGGCGGCCACAAGGCGACACAGAAAATCAGTGCGCTGCTGTTGCAGGACGAGATCAGGTGCGGGCAGAACGTAGGGCAGCTCCTTGTTGATGTCTGCCAACAGAGCCTTGTTGCTCATCGAGTCGAAGAGCGTGGTCAGCGGCTTGGAAATGCGCAGTTGGAAGAAGGACACGAAGTGGAGTACACTACACAGCTCCGTTTGCAGACGGAGCAACTGCGGCATGGCATGGTGCTGCTGGAGTGCCAGAAACTGCAGGGGAAGGGCTCCCTCACTCAGAGACTGCTCGAAGTGCAGCTCCCGCTTATCGTGCTCCATGGAAGTGGAGAAGTGCTGAAGGAACTCTAGGCTGAGTTCCAGAAACTCTGGCACTTTCCCCGCCGACATCTCTAGATCCTGCTGGCACATCTTGTCCACGGGAAGGCGGCCCACCTTCTGAATGAGCTTCGCCGCCGCTTGGAGGGGAAACTTGAGGGTGGCGTTCCACAACATGCAACAGATTCCATGCTTCAGTGCCCAATCGGGTTTTCGGAACTGGTTCAAGCAGAGCAGAGCTGCCTTCAGGTGATCCAGGGACGAGAGCTGCTTGCTCCACTGAACCATGTACTGCCAGGACATTAGGCTTAATAGCACGCCCGATTCCAAGCTGAAGGGAAAGTGGGCCCGGAGCAAAGCCAATCGCTCCAAAATCGGTTCGTGGACATTTTTGCTTGGCGCATGCACTTCCTTTGCCATTTCCAACTGCTCCTCTGACTCGGAGTCCTCGCTGACCTGCTCCTCTTTTTTCTCCTCCTTCGGCCTCGGTTTACTCTCTTCATCCACCTCATTTTCCGGCGGCGTGATCTCCAAAACTTTGCTGGGATGCAGTTGGGCACTGATTAGCCACTTGGCCGTCAGTTCGGTGACAATGCCCTTTCCGCTACTCACAATGCTCTTAAGGCTGCAGTCTGGTGGTTCGTAGGCCATCTCCGGGCCAACAGGTTCTCGGCAGGTGAGTGGCTTTCTAAAAATGATGTATTATTAGTAAAATTATAATCAGAAAGGCAGATTCTGTGCATTACCCTAAAATGGCTCCCAGAACAGCCACATCCTCCAGCTTGCCAGTGAGCAATCCCCACTGCGCTTCGTCATGGGAAATGCGTTCCCAGCGCTCCTCCACCTCGTTTTGCGAGGACTCGTCACAAGATCCCTTAACAAAATGTAAAATTAAGAAATGGGAATCCGTGATTTTACAAGTTTTATACCAACCTCCTTTCTGCTGCGCCACAGGTTACTGGCAACTGTTTTACAGACAATGGCCACCAGCAAACCAGAAAACTGTTTGCTCTCAAGGAGAAGTTCGCGGACCTCCTGCCACCACGGAGAAATGGCATTGTAGGCGTAGTCGTGGATGTGCTCACCAGCCAGATCGCAAATGGTCTGCACCATAGCAGCAATCCTGGACATGTCATCCACTACCTCATCACTAAAATAAGGAAAGAATTAAGGATCGAGATACAAAGGTTAAAAATTAAGAATATCTGACCAGTTATTATACTTAAAGGGCTTTTCCAGCCAAAACCAGATAACTAGTTTAAGCAAATCCTTGCTGGGCAGACATGCCTGACTGATCCACTGCTTGAACTGTCCAAAGCACAGACCTTGGGCAAAAAACTGACTGAAGAGATCAATGCTAACGGCTCCAAACTTGTCGGATTTCTCCATCAGCAGGCTGATGCCATCCGGACTGTCGATATTGAATATGCTCAGGTAATCGACAAACTCCTCGGTTTTGTGCTCCTCCTGCAGCTTGAAGCTTACCTCGCGGGTGGAGGCGGGCTTGTCCTTTTCGCTTCCATCGTCCAGGAGTACAACCAACTTGTTAATCGCCACCAGATCCGCGTCAGAGAGCTCGAGAAGTTCCACGGGCGGTTCATTGTCTTCCCGCTGGTTAGCTTGACTTAAAGTCAAATAAAGATCAGTTAAGCGCTTATAGTTTTCGATTTGAATGACGAACTCCTCGGAAACTATCGTGTCGGGAAGGGGTTTCTCAATGAAGGCATCAATGATGCACTTAAACACCCGTGGCTGTAGCTTCTTGCTCTTGAGAAGCATTTCCAGGCACTGCTGTCGAACTTCTAATGTCTGTAGTTCACTTGCCAGTTCCGCAATTTCGCCCAGCATCACATCTTTGGTATCGCCATGATTGAGAGTTCTCAACTGGTTTCTAAGACGCCTCAGCATGTGTATATCCCGCGATGTCTGCGAACTGGTCTCGCTGAGAGCGTAGTGAAAGGGAATGTGCACCTCCTTCAGGCTGCCGTCACTGGGATCCAGAAACAGGCAGTGATTGATGGCTAAAGTCTTGCGTGACTGGCCAGAGCTACTTGATGATCCTGCACTTCCACCAAGAGCACTGTGATTGTTGTAAACCAACTGTCCGCTTTTCGAGACATTGAAAGCGGCAACCTTGGGACCATTTTGTAGGGCCCAGATGTCCAGACAGCCTAATCGAGGAGCGTAGATCACCAGAAACAAAGCCTTTCGCTTGTGCGTCTTGATCCCGCGCACAGATCGCTCTTTAACTGGAACGAAGGCGCACTGGGCATCGCGATAGCCCTTCCACACACGCAGGATAATGGCCTGCTGCGTGTCCACCAGCATCACACGGTCCAGATTGTCCGTGACAACGGCCAGACGTCCACCTGGTGCCACGGCTAAGGTCAGCCCATCCCTCTTTCCGTCGTACAGGCGACAGCGAATCCTCATCGGCGCTTCTTTTGTGGGAACGGGCAAAGGGGATTCCTCTGGTGATGGTAGTGGCTCTGGGGCGCGGCGAAAGATTCCTCCGAGCAAGTTCTTGTACGCTATTCCAATCACATCCTTCGCAACCTCGGTCATCGACATCGTTTTGTAGCCCTCCTCCGCCTGGAAGAAACCCAAATAGGGCTCTGCCCCGGCGGCCAGAACCTGTGAGCTTCTCGGTGGCGTGGCATGCACCTTGGCAAAGTACCCAAGCCCTATGCTCTGTTGCACAATGTAGTCGTATGTGGGGGGTCGCTGTGTGCTAGATACGGCTGCATCGTTGATCACGCCCTGCCGCTCCTGTTTAAACTTGTACTTTTGGAATGGCACCACATCCACCGTGGGATATGAACTTCGCTCTAGGGCATTTCTTTGCACATTATGTCGGCAGTTGGTCAGTATGGGAAGGATGTCGTGGCCCTGAATGAAGCACAGGCAGCGTGGATAAACGATATAGAGCAGAGAATCGGCCTCGGAATGTCGGGGTGCAGACTGCAACTTGACTCCAATGACTGGATCTTCCTGGCAGCTGGAAAATATACCTTATTTAGCGACGAATTAGTTTGATTTGCCAACTAACCATTGAGAGAATAGCTTCAGGCCTGAATCTGTGTAAAATATGACCATGCCTGAGACCAAGCCCACTGCCACGCAGGTCCATTCGATGGCTCCATCTGTGCTTCGGCTGTGTGTCATTGGCAGGCAGGTGAGACTGGTCACGATTTGGTTGCGATCCTCCAGCTCGCCGCACCAGCTCATTATGTAGGTGTTGGCGTTTCCGTGGCTGCTCCAGCAGGTCGAGAGGAACGCCAACTTTTCACCCTGGGCCAGAGCAATCAGTTCGCCAGTGGGCGAAATGGAGTGGTTTACCGCATTCAACCAGTTGTCATCTGCTTGGTGCGGAAAGGTGATGATACCCTACTGCAGAGGCTAATGCTGAATTAATCTCACCGTGTCCCAGTCCAAAGTACTCCTGAACTTTCCTAAAATCACGGATTTCTCCGCAGTGTTTTACTTCGCAGGCCATTGTCTATTGTTTTCATCACACAGCTGATTTGCTGTAGTGTTGACAATTTCCGATAAAAATAGCTTTTTATAGCGGGTTTGATAACTAAATAATAGCTAATTTAAAATATGATATCGCTGTTTTTATTATCGATTCCCGCGCAACAGGTATCGCCACTCACAACGAACTAAGCGCGCCATAGTTTGACTTAGCTGATAAATAAATTCTTGAAAGTTTTGAGTTAAATAATTCCGAAAATAAATTATTAAAAATCTAAATCCTTAGATAGTTTTTGATTCCTAAGTATAAATGTTTTTATACTCTATCTTTCAATAAACATGTTTAAATTTTAGCTGAAACGTTTTATTTTAATACAAACTCCGAAAGTAGGTTTATTGTACTGCAAATATTGTAACGCGATCTATGATCTACTTATAAAGAAAAACTATTTTAAGTCCGACTCCACGCCACTGTCAATGAAGTCCTTAAGCATGAGGCCACAATGATCCGGCAAGAGTCTCGTCCAGTTGTTGATGTGCAACAGGCTACTGGGGATGGTTACCTCCATAAGGTCGGATCGATGGGCCTCCACAATCCGCCTGGCAACCTGTTTGGGATCAAGTAGGCCCAGAATCGATGGGAACTTCACCTTGGGATGTTTGCATAAGCCAGTGTTGGTCATATACGGGAATATAGTGGTTGTCTTTATCTGTAAAAAGCACCTATTAGTTCTGATCTTATTAAGCAACTATATACTTTTCCTACCAGATCCCTGTAAGGTCCCTCTCGCAACTCAGCATGCAGTGACTCCATTAAACCACGAACTGCGAATTTTGTGGCACAGTAGGGAACCAAGTTGGAAATTCCCACCAAGCCCGCAATCGAAGAAAGGGAGATAATGTGGCCTCGATTCTTCTCCTGCATGTGAGGCAGGAAGGCCTGAATGGTCCAGAATTGCGAGAATACATTGACATCGAAAACCCTCTTGATTTCTTCTTCCGACTGCTGCAGGATCGGATGGGTGGGCATTATCCCAACATTGTTCACAAGCACCGATATATGTCCAACTTCCGCTTTAACCCGATCCGCCAGAGCCATTACCTCTTCGCGCTTGGAAACATCGCAGCTGGAAAATAAAAACCTTGAGTATTTTGTATAATTTGATTGTATCATAAATACCTGTAGCTGTACACTTCGCCCAGATTTAGACGTTTTGCTTTCTGAACCGTTTGCAGGTTGTTTTTCTCATCGATGTCCACACAAACCAACGTGCTGCCCAAGGAAGCGTAGTGAAGGGCCAGCTCCCGACCTATTCCGTGTCCAGTTCCGGTAATCTTGAAATTTATTTGAAAATTAGATACTTCACTTTTAAGAATCTAATCCATATTAAAAGACTTAAAGTTAATCAATTTTTATACTATAACTATAACCCCCAAAAAAAAAAATTTATAAATGTTTTACAATCAGAAAAAAACAAAGAATTAAAAGGAACTTTAACAAAATTTTGAAGTGAAAAAAAGTGTTTAATTACAAAACATATCATCAAATCGACAGGTGTAATAAAACATTGATTAACTTTCTACCCCAACTTTTACCAACTCCTTTGCTGAGATTGGTTCTTCTGCAAAATGAAACATAAATAAATGCATTTACCAGAACTATCTCCCCGCTGACATCCTTCTGCTGTTTGGGCAAAAAAGTCTGCACCAGGTTAACAAACAATTCAAGAAGGATGCGCACAAAAAGCAACAGGAACTGCAGAAGATCCTGAAGGACGTCGAAGAGGCGCTTTGAGGCGGGAGTTGTGCTGAAATAAAGAACAAATATAGTGAAGGAACAGAGGAGCTAAATGCCCAACAAATCACCGCGTTTGCTGTCCACTTCGAGTTGGCAAATATTTTTTCAAAGTTGAGGCTCGGCGAACCCCGAAATGATTTAATTTATCTATTTGTATGCGCCCACTGCATGTGCAATGTTCAAACGGTCGGACAGAAGGCGATCGGTGGACTTTGCCAAGTCCCCATAATATAGTACAACATAAGATAATGGAAATGCTCAGACTACTGACTCGAGTATTGACACTGGGTCTTGGCCCCCTTTTCGGACACTCGAACGGCCCAGCGAACTACAGTGGAAGCTCACTTGGCTGGAAACTTATGTTTCAAGGAGGGTTTCGCTTAAGCTTGGAGTGCATGATTTTTCAATAACAAAATCGCATTTGTAATATTAGGAAAGGTATAAAGAAATTATTACTGGTTTTATAAACGCAAGCTCTTATAGTTATTTTTGCCTTTACATTGATTAGATCAATTTGGTTGCTCCTGCCCAAAACAACTAAAGCTACTTATTAAATGTACATAAATTTATCCAACACTGAAAGGTAATTAAGATTATCTTAGTTTTTATAACATTAAAAACATAAGGAAGTGAAAACAATACTGGAGGCGACTGGCAGCTTATTAAAGAGTACTTTTACCGAATAAACTGATGGAGCAGCAGTTCATTTCCGTTTTACTTGGGACACAAGGCGATAAGCATTAACACTTACTGGATAATTTCTCGTTCTATCATGTTGTTTTTTTATCTGGTATATGGTATATGGATTCTCAGGATCCCAAATTCCGTCGCCCTTTGACAGTCGAAGTCAAGCAGAACCAACTGCGATTCAATGTCTGTAATGAAAAATAATGATTTTGAGTCACGGATAGTTTGACACTCTTCCGTATTTGCGGATTTCCTTTTCACAACTTTTGGCTTTTGAGCTTGGAGAGGAGTCGGTTTTCTTTGTTTTGATTTGTTGTTTTTACTTTTTTCCCCCGATTTTACAACCGGCTGGCCAAAAGCAAGCGGCGTGGGCGAGCGAGGAGGAGTTGGAGCGGAAAAGGCCGACGCCAGTCCCGCATTTCCACTTTCGTTTTCGATTCGGTTGCCACTAAATGGAAAATTACGTGCACTCCAATGTGGCACAAAGAAAAGACACACACGCACACGAAGAAACCAGGATAAAGGGGTGTAGAAAGGGGGTTTGTTATAGTAAACGTCTCTCGAAATTTCAATTGCATTTTTAATAGCTCTTAATTAATGTTTACAAATTGATAATTGCATAATTTAGTGTTGAATGAACATGCAATACAAAAATGATTTGCGATAGTAGAAATGTAGAGTAACCTGTTAAATGTAATATTTATTATTAAAACAAATAAATAAAAAAGGCAATAACAATTAGTTATTTTTAGATTGAAATGAAATAGGTAACAAATATAAATTAATGAATACGCCACTGCCCTGATGAACGGGACTCGATTACGCGGTGCCAAAAAGTGCAAAGTCTCTTGTGCTCTTGGGCCAGTTCTCTTTTCTTTGGCCATTTGCAGCTCTTTCGATTTCCTGGCAAGAGGCAACTACATCGACGGCAATGGGGAAGCCAAGTGTTTGTTGCAACAACCAGAAGCCATAACCATAAAATGCTACGAGGGTGTCTATAACACTTTCTTGCATTTGCGGTTGCGTCGTTAAATTGGTATTTAATTAAAGCCTACTTTTCCTTGTTATTTGCATACTATGTTATTTGAGATTGTTAAACAGCAAGTTTTGGAAAAAGTTATACTTTTTATATTGTATTAATACAGAAAGCCTTGGTAAGTTAAACCTTAATTATTATGGTATCTTTTATGTCACTGAAACTAGAACTTTGATGTTACATTGAAGGCACAGAGGTTAAGAGTAACCTTCCTTTTTGAAATTAAAGATTATATAGTGGTTTGTTAGCTAAATATTTTCACCTAATAAATTCATATAACTAATATTTTATATATTTAAAAGGCGTTAATCTTAATGGACTTGTCTGTCTTATCACGTATTTATGAATCCGGTTTTTATGGGTGTTCAGGTGTTTCCATTTATTTAATGGACAAGCAATTGATTTGTTCGGCATGTAATATCCTGTAATTAAACAGCTATCTATATAATAAATTGTTTGGGGAGTTATATCACTTTCACGATTTAAACACTTAAGAGTGTCTTAAAATGTTTATTGCACTATCTGGATAAAACAACATTAAACTTCAGCGATATTTACACAATATTTCCAAAAATGGATCGTTAAGTGTGGATACGATTCCAACTTAAGTCGAGACTGGAACGACCGATAAGTCTCGCTGTTCGCCGCCAAATGATTTCAGTTACTTGCCTTCCCAAGCGACGAAGCTTACGATCAAATCGGGTAATATTGAATCCCCAAGAGAAAACTTAAGAGAGTAATGAATCGGAAGAGAGCCGATTTGCGATCCTTGGGAGCCATAAAAACTGAAACATAATCATTACTTGGTTTTACTTTTACAGACAAACAAACCACACGTGACCTTCAGGGTCCAAACAAAAAAAAACAAAAGACCAGGAAACAAAAACGTGGTTTCAGCCAACTTGGCTAAGCATGATTTACCGTTTTCACGCTTCGCCTTTGCTGTTTTTTGTGATGAGTAAGCTGAAGTCCGCCAACAAGTTCAAGTTCAGTAATCATAAGTATGAAAAGAGAGCGAGGGAGTGTCATCTGGATAAGGCGGTTATCCAGTTTTGTCCTTGGTTGATAATCAAAATATGCATATGTATGTGTGCATATATGTTTTTTAAACTGGGAAGTCTACTTTTACTCAAATGACTTTCTTGCTTTATTTTTCCCTTTGTTTTTGTAAAGGTATATATTGGGTATATTGTTATCGTGCTGAGTAAGAAACAAATAAATGATTTTATAGTTTTTTTTATGTGCGTGAGTATAACCTATGTTTGCATAAACAGCAGTAAAGTTTTCTATAATCCGGCAAAAGTTATTGTCGAGCTATGCCAATACTTTTCTGTATTTTTGTTGAACACCAAAGTATATAGAATGTGTATAATTAATGGTGGGAAAATGTTTCTAATCTTAATTTTTATATTTAAATGTGGCTTAAAGTAAGGGGTATATTCTTTTCGAGAGACTAGAATATGTTGATTATACTTGTTTTTTTTATCTGCTTGGGGCAAGGTCATCGAAGGGCTCTCCCCACATTCGCCGTTCAATTTTATGCGATCGACGACCCGTTCACATAATTGGTGTCAATTTCGAGTGCAACAACCACTAAAGCAACACAACAAAAAAAAACAATAACAACAAATCGGTAACAAAAACATATATACATAGTACATATACGGGGCAGTGAGACAAAATCACTTACTTTGCAGACATAAAATCTTTAAATGAATCAAATTAAAAAGTAGTTTTAAAAACATTGTGTGTAAATCGTGTGCAGCAATGACTACTAATTACAATTCAATTTATTTTGAAATCTCCAAATGTAAACAACCCAATTTGCTTAGAAACACTCATAATAAATATAAGCTGCTAAGAACAGAAAATAAATGCGACTTGAACGCCCAGCTTGTCACTCAAACAATCATCGAACCGAACAAAAATCAAAGTAAACAAAGAAGTTCAGCCTATTATGTACTTCCCTTTTCCCTCGGATGGTGATTAATGGGTGGGGTTATTAGTCGGCAGCCAGCTTGTTGCTTAATGCTCAGTCTTTATGGTTATATTCCACCCCTCATCCATTCTACTACTTTAACTTATCGATGTGGCGTGCATTAACAATCAATATGACATGTCAGGCACCCGAATAAGTTAAGAAACAAGTCTGGAATAGACCAAAAGGGGGGCCAAAAGGGGTGGAAAACTTTTGGCCCGGTAAAAATATATCTCATCGGATCATGTCGAAAATAGTCACTAATGCGCCATGTGTACGATTATTACTCGGGGAAATTGAGAAATAATTATGTAGATGGTAAATCAGAATATTAACTTAAATCTGAATATCAATCCTGAATTAAATAGCCCAAACAAACCAGAAATAACCTTGACATTGGATAGCACTTATTGTTTTGTAGACATGTTCCATTAACGTAACAAGTTCTATATTGGAATATTTAAAAACGTTGCACTTGGTATGTTTTGCTAATTGTCAACCATCAATCCGACTGTTCGTCCTTCCATTAACATGCAAAACAAAAAGTGAGAGTTAATAATTCGAAAGAAAAGCGAAACAAAAATACTCTTTCCAAACGTGGCTTACTGTGTTTTTTAGTAAAGCCAATATAATTCCATAAATAATTAATAATCGAATCAATAAAAGATTAACTTACAAAGCAAGGAGTATAGGTAGTTTTTATTACAAATACAAATTCTTAATATATTATTTGTTGGTAGTACATTTTATTGGCATTAGAGTAGAGATCATTAAACCATGTTTGTATAGTATTGTTCTTAAGAAACAAACTTTAATCTTTTTTTTATAAAAAGGACTATTTTTGACCACCCATAACGTGCACGACACTAAAGCTAAATTGAGTTTTTGCATTTGATATTATTTTATTACTTCAACAATGGCATTTTTTATGGTTATTCAGTAATATAACTTTTATTATTTAACTGCTCCAACCATGTAAGTTGCCTGAAGATTCAACGGTGCTTCCCCTCTTTCGAAGGGTATTTAATTGGCCACGCATGTGGCTGTGCTGCATTTGGTGGCGGCCTGAAAGGCGGCTTCAGTTGCCGTTGTTTAGCCAAGCGGCAAACAACGCTCAATCGCAAGCGGAAAGCGGAAACCGGAAGCAAGAAGAAGACCGCGAAAAGGGATAGCTTCGAAATGTGAGTGTCTCCTTGCCTGCATTTTGTTGTTTTCCCCCAGTGTGTGTGTGTGTGATGGTGTGTGTGTTGGTGAGCTCGTGATTTGTTTACCTGTCAAAATAATAAATATAACTTTTGTTTTCGTGGGGCATAAAATACGGCCAGTTGTTGCTGTTGGCATTGGTAGCAAGCAGAGAAACAAGACAGCGAAGGCCTCTCGACGCCTGTCTGCCTCTTCCGCCTCGTCTCCGATTCTTGCCTCCGGTTCTTGGCCAAGTGCAGTGTCAAAAGTCAAGCGAAGGATAATGTGCCTGTCCGACAAGAGAAATGCCAGCCAAATTCGTGTAACCTATATCAGAGCTATAAACTAAAGTTGGCCTTATTGCAACACAAGAATTAAAAAAAAAACGAAAGTGATATTTGATAACAAAAGTGACATATTTCGGAAAAGCTATTTGGAGCCTTTCAGTTTTTAGTAATAAAAAAAATAACAAGATTATTTAAGGCTTATTTTGATTTCAATTTAAAGTCTTTATGAATCTCTTCAAAAATTATTGCTATTTAATTTTTGTTCCATCTTTAAAATCTAAGTGACCGGTAAAGCTAGCACGAATGCACATTTGTGATAATATATTCGGAATACAATGTTTGAGCAAATACAAATAAAAAATGTTAACTAGATGATTTCACATTAAAGGAAACATTACAAAAAGGACGAAATATAATTTCATTGCATGCATTTTATTAGAAGCCTGAAAGTATGCCAGTGTTTTTACAATCTATCTCCCCTTTAATTTTATGCCAATTCTTTGACATTTGATTTGAATTAATCTCAACCGTAAACAGGTCTACTTGCTTAAAACTCCACCAGGATGTTCCTGCACCATCGCCTCCATGGATTGGTATTTTCTAGGATTTTATCGTTCCGTCGAAGCCTGATGAGCCGGCCCCAAAATATAGGTTCACCCTTGGTTTGGAGGCAATCAAATCCCGGACAGACCACCGGAAAATGCCTAAAGCCGAGCCTTTTGGAGCGGGAACAGCCGAATCCTTTCGGCCAGGATTATCGCATCTACCAGCAAAACGTCGACTTGGATGCCTTTTTCGGGGAGGAACCCAAGTATGAGAAGGTGTCGGATGTCTGCCTCCTAAATGACCACTTCATCCTGGTGAAGATGCCACCACCTGATCCCTCCCCGCCTCCAACTAAATCCAGGATTCCGCGTTGCTTCAAATGCAATCGTGGCAGTCGGGTTTCCCCCATTCTCGAGGAAGCGGATGAGGAGTCAACTCCGGAGAAGTCCAACTGCCTGCAGCCCTGGTCAACAAGAGATCAGGACGAGATTGAGGTCTTTGATTCCAGCACCAGGTTAACGACTAAACCAAGTCAGGCTGCCCAACCAACTCCCGTGATAGTGGAGCAACCTCGTCCCACTCTCCAGTTGGAGGCCATTAAATCCGTGGCTCCTGAACAACTGCAGGTTAATCCCATAAGTCGGGGACCACTTCACTGGTTTCTCTGGCCCTTTCGTCGACGACTGGAACCCGGGAGCAAATCCAAAGCCCAATTGGCCGCTGTCCATAAAACTTACTTTGTAAGGTGGGCTAAGCCGCCGGAAACTCTGTGGCACGGATTTGGAGTGGACACGGTGGTGGAGAAGAAGTCGGAACTTCGGCGTTGCCGGTCAGCGGTTTTTTAAACATTCGGCTTAAGATTTTGTATATATTTTCTACGCTTACTTATTTAAGGGTCCATTGTTTAAAATAACTCCAGGGTTTCAGCTTAGAGTTGATAATTAACTTTTGGTTCAACAATACAAATAGTTTGGTTTACTTTTCGCTTACATCTTCATAGGGTTTTTGTAATACCGAAATATATTTTAAATATGTATATGAAAACAAAAGTTACTATTATCATTAAAATAACAATTTAATTACTGATATTTTATTTATTTATTTACTTTAGGTAAAAATAATAATTTATTAAATTTACACCTTTGACTATAGAGTATTTATAAATTTTATGAAGTGGACGGATCTATAAAAGGTTAATCTATTATAATATTTTAGTTTGAGTGTCGTAAACCTTTTGAGTCCACCTTAAGAATTTTAAATCGCTTTGAATTTCAAGAATTCAATTTGTAACCCTAAAAGCACTTTATTTGATAACCTAAAAATCAACGAACATTAATTTAAATTGAATAGATTAGTGGCACCTTCGCGGTAATTCACTTACCACACTCCGAACAGTAAGTACCACAGTCCCTGCAGTAAGTTACACACTCCTAAAAGTATCTGAACCCAAGCCCTCATGGGCACATGTCAAACTCCAATTTCCGCATGCAAAATTAGTGGCTGCCGCGGCAACTTCGACTTGCCACAATGTGTGGCTCGGAGCCTCGAGTCTGGGGAGCTCGGCGGAACTGCAAAATAATACAAAGAAGCCAAGGAACAAAGTACCACGTAAATTGTTGGGCCAATGCAGATAAAGCCAGGCGGCCGAGGAATAAAAAGCGGAGTTTAACTCCTTTTTCAATGGAATTTGCACGCGTCCGTGAAGCCTGAAAGTCTGAGGAATACGAGGAGTCCGAAGAGGGGTATAAAGGGTTACCTGGGCTGTTGCTTCATTAGCTCTTTGGGGTATGAAAATGTCGGGCAATGTCGTTCGTTACTCCCGCCACGGCCGGTAGGTGGCGCTGCCGCAGGAGCTCCACAACTAATTACGAGGGAGACCCGGTCATAAAAACAAGTTCATGATAAAACGCTGAAAAGGAGGTAGGGGGAGCAGGAGGGGAAGGGGTAGGGGGTTGGCGGGGTGCCATAGACTGCATGCGCCACCATATACATAATAATAAAATAAAATTAAAACCGTCACGCCAGGCGTCAGTGCAACTCGCATTGTTGGCCGGGCCAACAATCGCGGCCCAAAGCGAAAGCCGTCGAAACCCCAAGCGAACCGCGTCCACAAGGAGCTGCCTTTGAGGCTGGGCCCTGCACCTCCATGTCCGACTCCATGTCGAAGTCCAGGTCCACCCAGGTCGAGAGCGGATCGGGCCAGCGGGTCACCGTAATGAACCATTAATATGCGAGTTCCCCCCTTCCCCGAAAACCCGGCGATAAGAACGCCGCGCTTTTCCTACACCCGAAATCGAAATCGAACTGTGGACACTTGGAGAAATGGTTACAATTAGTTTACACCTTCGTATTGATCAGGAATTCCTTTTAATCATTTGATTATATATATGAGCCTGTATTACTTAAATGGTTTAGAACGTATATTAGGTAAAACAGTTCAGTCATGACTCATGACATTTAAAAAAGTTTTTAATTTCAAGAAACTTAAATTAAATTTAATTGCAAAATGTTGCTGAGTGCAAATTCTTAATAATGTTAAAGAGGGAAAATATAATTTAAATAATGTTTACTATTTTAATTAACATTTTTAAGATTAAATAAAATGTAAAAAACTTTCCCTAATTATTTTACAAGTACATATTTCAAAACTTTCTCATTATCATAACATTAAAATACTGATGACATGAAAAATACTTTCCTTATCAAATATTATGATTTAAATGAAAATACTAAAAACTACTTTCCTTATAAAATATTATGAATTCAATAAATTAAAATGCAACTTATTTTGCACAGTGTATAAAACAGAGTTCTCCATTGTTTTCCCCTCCGCCGCCAAAGGGCGACTTGTGCTTATCATTAATAATAATGTCGGCATTGAGGCGAGCGCATTACCATTTGGCCAAATGCTCAATTGGATGGCCAAGACTGCTTGTATTGTATTGTACGTGAAATTGGCTTTGAGCTATTGTGTGTGGGCATTTTGGGCGGGGGTAATGAAGGCACCTGTCGAGGAAAGAAGGCAAATGCAACAAGCCAAGTTCGAGCTTAGTGATAGTATCTATTTCAAATGGGGAGCAATTAAAAGCCCATGCAGTACACAAATACAATGGAAGTGAGAGTACTTAAAATTAAGTGAACACTTAGGTGATTGTGAACTAGATGAATTAAATAGAAAACTGACAATGGGGTAGGTAGTTTTTACTATGATACAAATTGTAATATATTAGCATTTATTATAAGTTTATGTCTGTCAAAGTTTGAGTTTTTAAACCTTCTATTTTAAATTGGCTACAACAAAACTGGTTAAGATTAGAAAAATAAAATCGTTTTTATCATTAATTTTGTTCTTTTGAAAATATGAATTTCAAATGTGCAATAATAAAGCTATTTATCACTTTTCTTAGCAGATTTGATTTTTCCGTCTTAATTTGCATTAACTTTTGTCTTTATTTAAGGTTTGGTAACCATCAAAATATTCAAGGTTACCCAATGCAAACACAAATGGTTGTTTTCGTCACCTTTCGCCCTAAAGCCACACCTTATTAACCCGCTAACCGAAACTCTCATCCGATTCCCAATACAACTTAAATTGGCCAACGAATCGGAGTCTGCAGATCCGCTTAATTGGTAGAAAGTAGCGTAACCGTTCCGGCCACGTTAACTTTGGCACTCCGAGGGCGATGGAACCGCTCAGCAGCCGTTTTGGCCGTTTCGGACAGAGGGCACTTGCTGTTCGCAGATGCCAACAGGAAGCTGACAAGTTGCCAAACCGTCCAGGCACTTTGGCCAGAAGGAGCAGAAGGTCCCGCCGAGCATTCAAAATCGATTACGACTCTTTTCGAAAGATCAAAGAGCGAGTGGGACATACAGCCCGTCCCGCTTCCGCTCGAGCAAGGTGTTTATTAATAAAACTCCAACTATTTCGCTCCGAAAGAGATGGCTAGATCGAAAGAGAAAGATAATAGCCATCTCTCTCTCTCTCTCTCTCTGCAAACAGAAACAGTTGGTGGTACGCAAAGTGTTGACAATGCGCAAAGTCCAAGTCGTTGGCACCGACTGCGCAATGACCTTCGGCAGGATCTTCGGATCCTCGGTTCCCTAGGGTCCTGCAGCAATCATCGTTAATGATGGCAATGTCCTTGTGCGCCCCGATTTGACAAATCAATTTGTGCGCTAACAGCATGCGCTCGACTCCCAGCCCGTTTGCAAGTCAGTGGGATAACTCGAGGACGAGGACGAGGACGAAGATGACGTAGAGTACGAGGACACACAAAATGAGCTCTTCGATCCCTTTCTACATCGGCGATGACAGGACGCACAGTACGAGTAGTTCGAACGACCAACATACTAAACCGAAATGTTTGCCAATATGGACGGTATCTGTTTGGACGGATCGTGGTGAGCAAGTGTTTCTGCTGATAAATGAGCCGCAGAGGGTTGCTCGTATAACAACCATAATAACTCAATCGTTACTTTATGTTAAATGAAAGAGCCTTGAAACCAAGTCCATTTGTTTATGAATTTAAATGTAATGAAATTGTAAAATTATTTATAACTATTACTATTCTTATATCCAATACAAAGAATTGCCTTCGCCTTTTATCTCTTTTTCTAAAACATATATACCAATTCATTACATATGGTTAAGTTTAAAAATAACTTTAACAGATCTACATTTTCAAATCCATTTTAACATCCATTTATTAAATGATGATTTATATCGCGGACTTTAAAATAAAACCTAACCTTTATTACTTATGTGTCTGAAAAGGTATTTTTTCAAATAAATAGAGCTTATCAAAAAGCGTTAATTTCATACCTATATTCACATATATAATGGACGTTTAAAATAATTTAAAAACTAAACAAATTTTAAATCGCTCCATTTTAAGCACTAACAAATAGTTTACCTAATCTAAGACTCATAAAAACCTTTTGATGTTGCTATAAAGAAAATCTTTCTTAATCAAAGTCCCTGTTCTGATTCAGCATAATTGCTTCATTCATTTGGATTGTTTCCTTGCAATCTCCGTAATCCCCTTTATTCTCCGATTATCCTTGACTTACGGACTTTCATCCACCTCGCCCATCTAGATTTCAACAGCTCTGCTTTGCACAGGACACCTCATTAGCGAGGATTATCGCTGCAGCTCGAGACTCGAAGACAGGACTCTACCTAACCCGAAAAAGGAACCCTGCTCCTACCTGACTTTGACTCCTTTCGGCCGACTGACTGACTCACTGACTGAAAGCTAAGCCTTTCCCGCTCGCCTTTCCCTTAACTCTTGCCTGCGAAAGGACCTTTTATTCGGCGAGGAAAGGGGTTCGTGTCCCGGCTGAGCGATGGGCACCGCGCACGAGGACGAAGAATGACAGCAAATAAAAGTTTATGGCACCGTCGTAAACCGGGCCAAAACGAGTTGACCTGGCCGAAGGGCTGTGCGCCGTTTACTGCATTCTTCCTGGCAGCAAAGGATTATTTCCGAAACGGCCTAATCCTGGCAAGAAAGAGAGAGCGCTGACGCTACAAATCCTTTCGCAACCTTTCGCCGCCTCCTGGAATTGAGAAACGTTGATTCGCAAACTCTTCGCAAATCCCACTTTTGGGTTAGTCCACCTTGCTGTCGAGTAAATATTTTGAGGTTTTGCGCTGCTTATGTGCTAGGAAACGCCTGGGTTTATTGGTTCATCATCGGATCAGCAGGTAGATCTCTCGATTTCGATCTCTATCGCGATCTCAATCTCAATCCCAATCTCGATCGGGACCTGCCTGCCCCAAATCCAGCGACGGACGTCCAGCAACAATTAATAAAAAAATAAATTAAATTTCATCTTGGAGTCGCGTCGTTGTAAATTACTGTTTTCCCTGCCTTTGATGTTCAACACTTTGTCAGCTCATTAATCACGGTTTATGTTTACGGGGAGGGCATAATGCCTTACTCGGGAGATCGGGCTGCCTGTCCATGATCTTTGGTTAGCCCCCGACTTCCATTATCGCCACAGAAGCCTCCTTACCTTTACCATTTGGAGGTTACATCGCCTTCTCAGAGCTTTTCCTCTCGCAGCTTTGCTGGGTAATTTTTTATCGCTACCGAAAATTAATGCGTAGTATTTCGGATTTAATCATTTCCCGATCGAAGCTTTCTTTGCTACTGTGCCTGAGAATTTTCTCCCCAAATCAGCGGGTAGCGAATTAAAATCGTAATTGGTTTATTAGCCCAGTTGGCCGCATTGGGTGCTATTAAATTGGCATTAGATTTTGTTCAGAAGCGGATAGAGAAGTAGGATAACAAGATGGTGACCTGCTAGTAAACTTAGAGAACGAAATCAGCGAGAACTTACATTTTTTTAATTTTCGTTATAATGGTTATCCTCAACTCAGTTAAGAACAAATTAAAATCGTGATTTTAGCTTTGCTTTTATTGATACGGTCAGTAATGTTAGATGATATATTATTAAATTGGTATTGGTATTTACGTCTTGTAATAAAAACAACAACAAAAATACGACAATAAGGTAATATTAAACTCAGTAAATTAGGTCTTAGAGTAACAAAATAATCCAGGAGCCTTGTTTTTTTTTATCAAATCCTCCTTAATTTAAAGCCAATATTTACTTGTATGACAGATCATTGATCAACAAACAATAACTCGATTTTTTTTATAAAGATAAAAGTAAATTTATTAGTTTCCCATTAAAAGCTTTCTTTGCTACGGTGATTGAGTATTTCATTCACATTTTTACATTTCAGTGGGCAAAAAATGTCAGTCGTAATGACTTTATTACCCACTTGTTTGCTTTTGAGTTGCCATTAGTCTTAGCCTATAAGCAGACAAAGATGTCAGATAACGTATTGGTATCCTAAAAATCAGGGGATTATGGTTTTAAGCCATGGAAATCAACTAGATCTTAATTTTGTGCAATTTTCCTTGCAAATCTTTGTGTTTACCTGGAAAATCCCTTGCCGAATGCTAAGTCGATTGAAAAGTCAATATTTACTTTTCTCTCTCTGGTCAGAGGAAAACAAACAGCGATTAGGAGTTTTTTCTAGATTAAAATAATAGAGCCAGTGCCTTAGGCTGTCTGAGCTGTCTGGTAGTGAGGATTGGACGACTCAAGGATTCAAGGATAATGACTTCATTAATTGCCATCGCTCAGACACGTAGGATCGAAGGATTGAAGGATGATCCCGGAGGATGAGGTGTGAATTTGAGGTAAGTCCGAACGAGAGCAATTACTCTGTTCGATGGAACCGAGGGGGCAATTAACACCTTGGTTGGAGTTGTCTTCGCTTTTCTGGGTGAGTTTGTTTCCCTAACATTTTTTTTTATTTCAGGAGTTTCTCTTTTTCCGGAAACTACTTTTGCGAGCCGTCACAGCTTGAGCAGGAGTTCCGAGAGGAGTTGCGAGGGGAATGTGCCCCGTGGCGACTGTTGAGATCTCCAGCCAGGTCCGTGGAAAGCGCAGCTACTTAAAGGCTCTAATGGCCCGAAGGATTTCCCATTTCCCGCTGCGAACAGAAGCGTGTCAAGGCTGCTGAATGGCTTCGAGTTTCGAGTGAAAGATCACGGAGTACGGGATAAATTAGCATAGTTGTATTTATTTTCAAGGCACTTGCTACTTAGTCTATTCAGCTTAACTTGTACTTAACTTGTACTTAACTTCTACTTAATATAAACACATAATAGTAACTATACTTATTTCTAACGAATTGGAACTATTTTGGGGGCGAGTCTGTCAGAGGTTTTCCCAGATGGAAAATGTCTGTACTGCCCCCCTACGATACGGAAATATTTCTTCTTTTCCCCCCAGCTATTTACATCTTTGGCGATCTGGTGACACCTGCTCCTGATCCTGGAGGAGGAGGTGGAGGATCTGACTCCTGATCCCGATGGGGATCCCTGTTCAGTACCAGGAGTGGTAGAATGGCTGCGGCGGCATCGTTGGGTAGTTGACCTTCGAGGGCGAGGGAAAGGCGGCGGCATTGAAGTTCTGCGGCATGAAGTGCGACGACGAAGTGGGCGGCGGATAGTGCGGATGTGAGCCGGCGTACTGCGGATGCGCGTGCGGATGTGCGTGCAGATGCGGGGCATGTGCATGCGGATGTCCGTGATGCGGATGCGAGTGGGCGTGTCCCGGCGCCGAGGGATACGCGGCATACTGCGGCGTATGCTGGTACGGATGGAACATCTGGTGGGTGGCGGCCACCTCCAGCGCCTGGCTCGTGGAACTGGTCGAGTTGAGGGAGTCCTCCGGCGACAGGGGGGCATTGGGACGCAGTGCCTGCATGGAGCTCCACCCGCCGTACAACTGCGACTGGCTGGCCGCCACCAGGTCGACGGTCTCCACCTTCAGACCCGCCGACAGCTCCTCACTTCCAGCGCTGGCGTTGCCCAGCGACTGTGAGGGATCGGCGCCCGAGCTGGAGGTCACTCCACCGCCCCCGGAAGGTCCACTGACCACCGCGGACAAGCTGTTGGGGGTGGGCGGCAGCTGGCCAAAGGCGGAGGACACCGACTCGTTGGGACTCTCGTTGCGTGGCATCGCCGAGTGGGTTTCCGTTTCGGTTCCGTAAACCGAACTTAGTTGTGTCTCATAATTAGATACGATGATGTTTCCGGTGGGAGTGGTGTTGCCAGTCTCGCCCGGCATCAGGTAGGAAGCTCCACTGCCGTTGGGATTGTAGAAATGGTGGTGATGGGGCGGCGTGGTGGTGATTTCCGGCGAGAGATTGCTACTCGGCGCCGTAGGAGCGCCGGCGGATACGGAAATGTTGGCGGCACTGCCGTAGAAGTCGTACTGCTGCTGGTAAACACTGGCTGCGTCCAGGGATCCCGGCATCATGGAGAGGGGAGCCATGCTCGGAACACTCGACACCACACTGGGCAGCGAGGAGGCGGTGGCCACATGGACGCCGGAGGAGACTCCACCCGGAGCTCCACCCGAGACGGAGGTGTGCTGCTTGCGGAGGCGGGCACGCCGATTGCTGAACCACACCTGGATGCGCGCCTCCGTGAGATTGGTGCGCTGGGCGAGCTCCTCGCGGGTGTAGATGTCCGGGTACTGGGTCCGCTCGAAGGCCCGCTCCAGTTCGTCCAGCTGGGAGGCGGAGAAGGTGGTGCGGCAGCGGCGTTGCTTCCGCTTCAGAGCGATTCCCGGCTCACTTTCGCAATCGGAGATGTCCTCATCGGAGGGCTTGTTGGTGTTGCTGCTGTGGTGGTGGCCACCCGATATGTCCGATCCGCAGGAGCTGGAGGCCTTGGTCACAGCTCCAGTGGGAGATCCCGAGGCGGAGGACAGGTCGTTGTCCAGCGGAGCATCGCGACCGCGCACCAGGCGCGAAATGGCCGAAACCGAGGGAGCCGTGCTCCTATCGCAGACTCCCTCGCGGATCAGCTTCTCCCTGATCTCCCAGGAGAACATTCCCGGGTTGCTGCGCTTGTAGTCCTCGATTCTATTCTCGATCTCTGGCGTGGCGATCCTCGGCTTGGAGCCACCAATGACTCCCGGGCGAATGGAGCCCGTCTCCTGGTAGCGATTCAGGATCTTCGATACGCATCCGTGCGAGACGCGCAGTTGTCTGGAGATCACACAGGGTCGAATGCCATCGGCGGCCATCTCGACGATCTTCAAGCGGATGTTGTTGGGCAAAGGACGACCGTTGATGAAAACTCCTCCTAGTTGATTTACGCGCCCTTGGCCGCTGTTCATGTCTGAAATTGGTAGGAGAGAGGGAAATGGAAATTTTAGAGGCTTTTCCAACTTGGTGGCTAGGTAGCGAGGAGCGCGTGTCACTTGATTTACGACACCTCCGCCCGGAATTGACTTCCCGGGAAGAGGGAAACTCGAAACTCGACGATTGACGATCGAAGGTCGAAGGTCAGAGGCGCGCGACTCTCCCGCCGGGCAACTAATGGCCATTAGAGAGTCGCCGACGGCCTTGGTTCGCACCGAGATCTGAGATCATTGCAATGGAAGTGAGCAGTGGGTTTAGAGAGGGATCAGTGGGAACAAGACATCTTAGTACTTGAAGATCTCGGAAAAATCAGTGATATTTAAGGCAAAGCTTAAAGGGACTTTAGGAACTTGGTAAACTTTAAAGTATGAAACTTAAAAAAATGTTCAGAACATCTTAATATGTTAAAAGTTATCAATTTACTTAAAGTTTAAATTTTTCGTTCAAAAAATTAAAATTTAGTTTTGGATAAGCCAGGAAATGTTAAGTTTTCACTATTTGGTAAATTTCTGAATTTGAATTGAGTATTTAAGAGCAGTAAAAAAGTTTAACAGAGATCTGGGATGAACTTGTAGACAAAGCTTGAGAACTTCAAGTGATTATGGGATCATTAGATCCTAAAAGCTACAAATAATATCCAAGAGGCAAATGGTTTTTTTAAATTATTAAAACTTACCTTGCATGGCAGAATATCCATTGAAGAAGGGTCTGTGCATGGCGGCAGCAAAAGCGGTTACGGTCATAATTTCTGGGGCTCCAAGATCCGTGAAGTTGTCCCGGCGCAAAACCGGCGGAAACTCAGTCTTGGAGTTCGTGTGTCACTTTGGTTATCACTTTGGGTCTAGACGGTTTTCGGACACTTTGTCAAGAGTCATAAGTGAGCGTTGCGAGGTGCTAATTAACCGATTAGTTTCAGAACGAATTTATATATTATATCTCAAGGCGCAATCTCGAAGGCGAAGGCAAAATCGAGGAGACGAAGACGAAGACGAGATGCGGTGTTGCTCGTTGCGCAGTCTGTGCCTGACTGACTTCTCCATCCGAACATCGGCCAAGATCGTTGCCTTTCTGTGAAGCCCCTTCCCAGACGTCGGCCATATCCCACTGCCACTTGGCAGGTAACCACCACGCGGACCAATCGCAGAGCTCTATTCTAGGGCCTCTCGCTTCCACTCACTTTCAGATATATAGCTATACAGTGCACCCATCTCACTCGGCGACGGGGGGCGTCTCAGCTCGAACGAGAGAGAACTTTGGATGGGGTGTACGAGAAGAAGGGAACCCTAATGTTTCAGAGGGCACCTTGGATCAAGAAATCCAATCCTGGGCAAGGTGTTTATTGAAGGTTATCCTGACTTCCGGAAATCAAATCAAATAAGCTACTAAAAGATTCCTTTCTTTTCGAGTGTTAATTATCCTTTATTATTACTAACACTTCCTATGATTTCAAGTCATTTTTATATGATATCCTTAAATGCTTTAAACAGTTAATACCTCGTAGATACCAGAACCCCTCAAGTTCCACTTGACCCCGGAAATCAAATTAGATATTCACTGGAACCCATAATGCAATCGAGTACGCATTTAACACTCTTTACAAGCGTAATATATCCTTTATTGATACCTCATTAGGGCTTTTAAATTATATAGGCGCGAGAGCAGTCACTTTTCTGGCAGTTTCTATGTATAACTCGAAACCGGTTAACAAAAGTGTAAGCAAAAATTGTGACTTTAAATTTTAAAGAAACTAAATTTGACAAGATTTAAGAATAGTGATCTTTTGTGTATAAAAGCGAATGAATAATTTCACTTACAATGTTGAATAAGGAAACAATCGAATCGTATCAGTAAAATGAAGTGTAATATTTTTATTATTATATAACAATTACAATTTCCCAAAAGCTTAAGCATTTAAGAATCCCATATTACAACTTTTCTTTTAGTTATTTTACCAATTAAACATAAAACATTGGGGTTATAAAGAGCCTATCCATAACCACATCCTTGTCACGCTTTTGCAACCATTATGCTCCGGTGCTCGAGGTGATGGCATCGCTGCGACCCTATTCTCCGGTCTGCCAGTGAGTTTGATTAATTATGGAATTTCACGCAACAGAGGCCCTCAAAAAGAAGTTAAATAAAACCGCTGGAAAAGAAAGCGCTGAGCGGGATGAAAAGAAAAACCCTAGTTCGGTTAACAATGGAGAGCGCCAAGTGTTGGGAGAATTAATGGATGATGGAATGGAACCCGGTCGAAACGCCAGCGAGGAAATTGGCCCAGAGAGACGTGACGAATGCGCATCCTCCTGGCCAGGATGCGTATCCATAGCCAGAACCAGACGAAGATCCAGATACCGATCAAGGACAACGGAGGCCGCAAGTCAACAAAGGTTGGGTTTCTACTGCTCGGTGCGAGTTTGGTTAAGCAAACCCAACGGGAGGAGTTCGGAGTACCAGGCACCCACTGAGGATACTCGACATTTTCGCCTGGCAGGATAGCAAAATCCCCGACGACCTTGAGTCGCTGACCTTGATTGCGAAATTGGTTACTAGGATGTGTTAATTTAGGAGGGAATTGAGATGTAAGCTTAAGAGGCGCCTCAATCCTCGATCGATACCCCATCCAATTGAATCCTTCTTGATTTCACAATTTAGCGAAACAATGAGCGCTGAAAGGCAACTCATATAACGCTAATTTCGCGCTATCAACGCCTGAAAACTGAAATGTCCTGCAACAGGATCGGGGATTCGTGGGCAAAAGGTCCTGGCTGAAATGCAGGAAGCCGCAGGAGGCATTGGTGCCATAAACGCTGCGAGTCAGCTTCGCTCGCATTTCCACGAATCGGCCAGCGGGAAAATGAAGACACATCCGTGCAATGAATAAGGATGCTAAGAGACTTTTTATGATGCCACCCAGGGCGCTATGAATGAAAATCCTCCTCGCGATCCTCAACTTTCGCCAGCGGATCTCCCGTACCTGCGAAACTGAATCTCCAAAACTAGGATCGCTCGTGATGCTCGTTGGAGGACCTGCCTCAAAAGGCTCGTGCGCTCAATCGAGGCAAACAAATAGCGCTATAATCGACGGACACATTGAACATATTGTGCGATTTATTTACCCCCAATATTATGACAATTGCAATTTGAAAGTGCTTAAATCCAAATAGTAAAATCCGCTGAAACATACATTAAGCGTATTTTTGTTTGTTCCTTTTTTAAAGGTGGGCTATGATTTTAGCCATTTTTTACACTTAAGCCCCTTAAAATACATAATTGAACAATAATTCTACTATTTCAAAATGTTTTATGTTGTTTTATGTAGAGTACGAACATTTGTATAACCAAACTAGAAACTATTATGCAGCATGCAAGATAATACATTTGATATTTACTAATAACAATTTTAAGAATAGTCATAACTTTTACTAAAATAAGAACAGTTTGTTTTTTCTACATAATCGTTTGACCTTTAACTTTAACTTACATTTTTTTTACACAAAGTTAAGATGCCAGTCTGAAGTTGTGTAATACTTTGGGTGCATTTTTTTGCAAGTCTGTAAAGCTAATGAATACCTCTTATTTGTAGTTGAGTAAAGTCTTAAAAACCACCATTGAAAGTTACATAAAATAAATATAATATGTTTTTATTTATTTATTTAGTCATTATACGGTAAGTCAAGGATCACTTTCCTAAAAACGGTGTTAATTATATTCTATCCGTACAAAATAGGTATGTTTAAGTCGTCTAAATCCCAATGTATTTTTCCCAACTTTTTCCCTCTCGGTTTTCGCTGCTGTTTGTGTTTGGCAATCGATTCGCTCTGGCCGGACGTAATGTGGTCTGTTGTCACACATTGGAACGGCCTTGATTGTTTCACGTTGCTGGCTCTAATGTCTTTATCAGTCCCTTTGCATTTGTTGCTTTTCCTTTTTTTCTGTGTGGATGCTGTGGTGTGCATCGAATTTCCATGCCCACAACCCCCAGAAGGCTCTTCTCGCAGAACGCTCAACGGGATGCTTAGATAATGAACTATTTAGAGCCATGATTTCTAGAAATTAGGGAATTCTGGAAGGAATATCTTAACGTACCATAGCATGCCATGTCTAAATTCATCGCATATTAGCCTCAGTTACTGACTCTTTGGATTTAAAACGCCACCACAAAAACATGTTGTTTGAAAAAATAAAACATATACTCAACCGAAATTATTTCAACAATTTGTTCACAAATATCAATAAACAGATCCTTAAGTTCTATTTTTCGAAAAGTAATATTTCAATTATAAATATTAGATTATGATTATGATTTATATCATTTTCAAAATATTTAAGTTATCATAAAAGCAGTATGTTTAAGTACCTTAAAAGTTTCAATCATGAATTGATTGGGAACCACTATTATTTATTCGAAAACAATTAAGCTCATTAACGTTTAGTTTCTTTTTAAAGAGTTAAACCAAATTTTAAGTATTTTACTGATAATGATAAAACTGATAATGTAACAGTTGAAATTGATCCACTTATTTTAAGTTTAATTAAATTAATTATTTTTTATTTCTTTGCTTTAATAAATTATTTGCTTAATTATCATAAAAAGTGCAATCAGCGCTTAAAGTATATAGTCCTGTAATTTCCCTCCATTAAACTATACTTCTGGCTTAGATCCTTAGTCCCCTGTTGATCCTCCGCTTCTGCGTTGATCCTCAAATATTTCCACTCGATCGCAGACTGGCAGGCGGCGATTGACTTCTCGCTTAATCCGGCGTAAGTTTTAGTAAATACGAGTACCAGTTGAGGCCCCCTGGTACCAAAACCAGGCCTCTGATCTCCCGAAAGGAGTTTTCTCCGGAGTCCGGAGCGATTGTAAAGCGAAATCCCCGCTAAAGCATGCAAACAAATAGCGGCAAAGTGCGAGATTAGAGGGAAAGTCGCACCAGCTTAGGATCCTGGATCCTGGCCATCCTGTGCATATCGTCCAGGATCCCGCAGATCGCCAGTTGACTTTTTCAAATATTTTGGAAAAGTTCTCGAGTGCTGATCGCACGATTATAGCGGATAATCGCATTACAGTCCGACGTTTTATTGATCAACATTTGTAAACGATTTGCCATGGCATTTGGCTGCGACACGCTAAACCGGGCCAAGAATGCCAGGTAAACAAAAAAATACTGCGGCTTAACGCAGCCCACGCCCACCGTAAAAAGGGGGCGGAAAGCTAGGGGCTGAGGGCCTTTCCCGATCTCCTGGCGATTAACCCTTGCTCTTGGTAGCAGTTTAGCCGGGCTAATTGAAGGCATTAGTTGTTTGTGGGTCGCGAGTTCTCTTCCGCGGAACTCCATTGTCCTCAAATTAGCATCTTTCACGTGGCTCGATCGGAGGGAACTTCGCGCCCCTGCCCACAATCGTTTGGTTTTGGCATTCAGACCGCACGGAATTTGTCATGCACTCAGGGAAAACACTCCACGGGAAAAGCAGCACACAATTCCTAGCCCTTTCTTTCTGCATACTCATCTTAAGAGAATATTAAGATATCGTTGAGGTTTAAGGTGCAAAACACAATTTATCTTTTATGTTACTCTATTTTCCGAAATGCATTTTAACATATTTTGTAGAAGTCTTAAGCTGATATTGAAACGTTTTTCCTATGTTGAAGTAATTTTGAATATTTTAATTAAATTATGCTTATAGGTTAAGCTATAATTTCTGTTTTATTTAAACAGATATTTCTGTAAACTTTGAATGAGGTCCTAAACTATATTTGTACGCAAGTTTGTAATGAAATGTTGGCTGATAATGTTTGTTGATTTGTTTTAATTACTGAATATATTTTCAAGACTTGTTGTAAAATTCAGATGACTTTTAACGATTTTTAAACAACAGGCCTTTTGTTTTATTTTTCGATAGCAAAACATTTTAGCATAATTTTATTGTGAACAATTTTGTGATACTTACTACTTCTAATTATTTTAGCATATTATGTTGGACGGGTATTTTCATTGTTTCTTTTTGTGACAGCATGAACTATAACTATTAGAAAAATGTAAAGAAAAGCAATTGCAAGCTCAATAAAATCAGTTAAACGTTATTGAATTTATTTAACTATTTAAAAATAGTTACTTCATAAATATAAATACCAATGGTTCTTTCTTCGTGCCTTTCGACGTCGCCCAGTCTGGTGGAAATTTCGCAGGTGATGTATGGTATAGTAGGACAGTGCCGCAGGGATAAGGAAGCAGTGCCGAGGGCGAACGGGGAGCCCCTGCCACATACACCCACTTTCGAGAAACTCATTAGCCTGGGCCACAACAAACGGGGCCCAAACAAAACAATCCCGGCCAATCGACTGCTAAACGCTGTCGGCAGACATCTGAGACGGAGGCCAGCAAATTGATCATTAAACAGAAGGCGCAAAGGAGGGCGCAACCCATCGTTGTCCAACGGAAGATCAGAAGACCAGAAGATCAGCATCAGGTCGAGATCAAACACCTGGGCCCTCGACCTGCCGAAGAAAGTGACGAGGCCGCGACGTCAACAAGATTAATTTGTTTTCCGGCCGAGTGGTCCATCGTCGAGTGGTTCCATCTCCATCTTCATACCCTTAGCCACATCCACATCCACATCCATATCTACATCGATGTTTCCCATCTCCACCTCCACCTCCATCCATCAGCCATCAGCATTCGGCCGACAACCTGTTGTCCAGTTCTCCGATTTGTAATTGCTCTGCTTTGTAGTCGATCAACATCGATCGTGGATCGAGCACACAAAACATATATAATGTATGAATACATATAGCAAAACATCATTAGTTTTCTGAGAGTTTGGACCACAAATAAGGTGGCGTTTTTCTCACATCTCGCTGGCTCTCGACTCTTTTTTGTTTTTTTTTTTTGATTCTGTGTTTGGGGATCTTCTCTTCGGCGGCGTTTGTCTATTAGTTACGGCTCGCATCGGATGTATGCGAATTTAAATAAAATTATTCAATTGTTTCATTAATCACTGGCCCTGGGCTGCGTTTTCTATTAAAAAATGCATTGCAAATGGAAAATCGTTTCCAAAGCCTGTGATTATTTATGCATTAGTCTAAAGGGTCTCGAGATTTGTATTACTGAGGATGTGAACCAAAACTGCAGAGCGTTAAGTCAGCAATAAAAATGAAATATTTTTTAAATGGTTTTTGTTGTTAATTATATTTATATTTTCTAGTTTAATGAAGACTATTTCAGATTTGGTCTATTGACCGATGAAGAACAGTCCGCCGTGCAAAAACAAAATTAACTTATATCTCTTGTCAAATGTATATATCTCTTGTAAAAATGTACATACAATAGTATTTACCGTTTGCAGTTTAATCAGAAATAAACAACAAAATAAAATTTAAATCAAACAAAATAATTTAAAATCTAATATATGTATATTAATACAATCTCCAGAAGTTTCTGAATTTTTCTGCAATAAAAAGCTTTCGTCAGAAAGGAAAATTTGACCTCCATACTTTTCAAACTTCTTTTAAATTCTTTGCAAACATTGTGATACATTAATGTTAATTAAGGGTAATTCTTTCACCACTTTAATAAGAAGTCTCTGCAGTGCAGTTCCAAAAGAAACTCTTAAAAAATCGTGACATACCAAATCGATCGGAGAACATAAAAAATATGTGCAGCGAGCGGCTCACGATAAAAAGGCAGGGCATGGCGAATTGGGAGGCTGCAACCGAAACGCACACTTAATTTCCGCTTAATCAAACAGAACAGCGACCAGGGGCAGCCACACCGACCCTCCAGCCCTTCGGCCCATCAGCCCACATCATCTGGAGCAGACGACCCTCCGCCCCAATTTCCCGGGGAAAATATACGACAGACGCGAGGGCTCATTTGCATGGGCACTTTGATGGAGGGCGATGGGTGTCAGAGCATGAAGAACTCGCTCCATTGCGCAATGGTGGATGGCATCTCCTACCGATCTGCGAACAGTTGTCTTCGCCAGTTTTTTGAGAGGAGTTTTTCAAAGGAAAACACGGAGGTTTCCTGGAAAACCTGCCCCCTTGTAATCGCAATTTGCATGGCACAAATATCAAAAGATAACGCGATCCCCGCCAGACAGTTAAAATATTTCAATTTTACTAGCAGGGAAAAGAGCAATTCATAATACAACGTTTATCATTCTTTATTTCAAAGGTGTTGAGCTTTACTTGATTCAAATTTAATTTTGTGGTAAGTGAAAAATATAATAAATATTTTCAAAAAATCCAAACAATTTAATCTTTTATTTATATTATATTATGGAAGATTTTAATTTGAACAAACAAAAAACCTTACTCTCACATTACACACAATTGAGTATTATTTCTTCTAAACTGTTATTTTAACCCAATCCCTAATTAAATATTTCTATTAGTTTAACTTAAATTGAAAATCCAAGATTGAACTACAGAATTCAATCTTGGAATGGAGGAAGAATTTAAGAATTTTAGAATTATTTATTTCAATATCATTAAAATTGTAAAGGATCTAAGATCGTTTATATGTATATTGTATGTAGCTGCATTATTGTTATTATTTTATTTCCATAAATTCGCTAGCCTGCCACACGCCACATAATAAAGCCTTAATGATGCGCATATAAAACCGCAATCATCGCCATTACCGAACAATCGCGAAATCTATTATGGTCCGATCAGTGGATCATAAAATCGCGCCTCTTTCGCTGGAAGGATACGGAAAAGTCGAAAAAAATAACGCTGCGATGAGCGACCGTGAAATCGCTGCCGATATATGGAAAGGTTATACACAAAATCCTCGTAAAGTTCCCAAAAAATATTTGTGCGTTGAGGGGAAGGAAGTGAAATGCTTGTGAGGATGCTGATGTGCATTTTATGACGGTTCGATCTCAGGTTCCGTTCTAACTCTCTTCTAGGGAAGTATAATGTGCGTGGGCTGGAGGTTCAGGTAAGTCCAAACTCTGGCCATCGATTATATTCGAATAAACAACTTTATGACGAACTGTATGTGCATTAAAAATGATGTCAAAAAAGAGCGAGTTTTGGTTTATTGGGATCGGGTGTGAGTGTGGACCAAATGCCATTGTTTAAACCAACGAAAGGGTTTTTACGTTTTCGACTTTTGTTTTGACTTTTTGACGGTTGTCTTGACTTTTCGAACTGCTTAGGTTCTTGGAAAATGACTAAATAGGCTAAGTAGGAACAAAACTGAACAAAATATGTGCAAATCTGTAGCAAGAATCGATATCTGTAGTTGTATTTTGTAAGCCAGAAATGTACCCTTTTTAAGGAAATATAGAAAATATTCATTAGCACTGTAGGCAAAAGAAAACGGTTCACACCCCATAAAAAGTAAACATTTGTATATTTCCAAATGTAAGAGTTTCGGGCGGTTTGTCCCACCCTAAGCCGCAAATAAAACACCAAATTATGCATTATTTCAGGCGAAGCTCCGCCCATGCTGGGCACTTTCAGGGAACGAAACCGGGAACGGAAACCCGTAGAAAACTCCGCCCCAAGTGTAAGAAGAAACACACAAATTTTACCACAATACTTCGCTGCGTGGGCGTACCGAATCGAAGATTCGTCTTGCTCTTCTGGTAAACCGTGCGGTTAAAGTCGAAAAACAGCCCAGCCCATCCAATTGACCATATGAGCGGAATCGGAAAACCAGGCGGGGTTCCTCCGGAGCGGTGACCTTCGGGCGGGAGTGGACTCCCTACTGCAAAATCCATGTGGCCCGGCAAATGGGTGTTGCGTTCTGGTTTCGGAATTGGTCGCGCATCATTGGTCGCGCCGTGACCTTGGCGGATTTGCGACCCCTCACCACTCAGTATGTGCGGTTTGGGCTCTGGTCGCAGTTTTGGTCGCCGATCTCCGTCCGCGCACAGCAAGGTGCACTTCCCGGGGAGATCGGCTGAGGGTTTCGCAGAAGAAGCGTAAATATTTTGGGTGATTATTTTAGATAATCTTCGACTAATGTCCTTGGTTTGTCTCATTTTGTTCAGCAAGAGGGATATTTAAATTGTTGCCTAATGAAGTTCTTGTAAATCTTCATCTATAACCTTTTCATGTTTGTTTTGCCTCAATAAATACAGATTGAAGTTGAACACCTTGGATTAGATTTTAGCTTCTGCAAAGCATTTTTTTTAGAAATAATAATTAAATTTCCTCGCTCAAATCCCAGAATGATTTTAAAAAGTTTTGGTTGGTGGTAAGACATCATATTTTGAAATTTGGGATCTCTAAAATTAGGTAGAAAACACATGTTAAAAAAGGTTAATAAATGAAATTAATTTGATATCATTCAAATTGAACATTCATGCTTTAAGTGCATAATTAAACACATAGGTACATATTACGATATTTAACAAATTTAAACATGTTTTCGTCGGATGAAATAAAAAAAGTTAAACCCTTAAATAATAAATAGTTTAATGTCTAAACTAACATTTACAAACTTTTCGTTAGGCTGAAAAAAAATGTTTTGTACCTCAACTTGAATAAAGTCCTTCAAAACTATTCTAAATTACCTGAACTTTTCAAAAAAAACTAAAAATGTTCAATAAATAAAAGTCAAAAATATATTCTGTAACTATTGTGGAACAATTTGATTTTCCGTTACGAGTTGTACGGTCGCACTAAAAAGAAAGTGTAACCTGTTTCACTGACTTTGAGATTTGACAGCTAAAGCTCAGCGGTCTCACTGTTCTGTCGGTCTTTATTTTCTACCTTTTCCCACCCATCTCGAAATCAGGTAAAAGCTGCCCGAAATTACACAATGTCTGAGGAAAAGAAGAACGGCGATGAGTTAAATGACCTGCTGGACAGTGAGTACAAGCCGTACATGCGTTCGGAGTTTCCATTCCGACCCCTTACATAATGTGCAATTTGACGCTTAATTTTTACACAGGTGCTCTGCAGGACTTTGACAAGAGTGGTGCAGGAGACAAGCAGGACAAACCCTCTTCCTCGGATGCAGTGGCCACCGAAGGAGCTGAGGGCTCTGAGGATCCCGATGCGTTTTTCATGTAAGTCACATGGGGATTGCAACGCAGCACTTGAACTTTGTATTCTGACATGCAATCTGATTCCAGTGAGCAGGCCAAGGTGTTGGCCGATCGCATGAACACGCTTTTCGGCGGTCCGAACACGCCCAGCGGCGACATCCCGCCACTACCGCAGGATCCCGACCAGATCATGGCCGGATTCAAGAAAATGGCCGAGGCCGCTGCTCTCACCTTGAGCGGCGAGAACTCCGCCACCGACGAGGATGTCTCCAAGTATTCAGACAGCATTTCGCAGGCACTGAAGGGCCTGCAGGAGGGTTCCGAGAACCTGACCGCACCCGCTTCGGAGAACGACATCGCCAGCATGTTTGGCTCCTTGAATCTGGAGGGGGTAAGCTTTTCAAGGCATCTTGGATAACACAGACTAACCCCTCCTCACAACAGGCTGGAGAAGGCGATGGTAACATGTTCCTGCCCTTCATGGAGGGCATGATGCAGAGCCTGCTCTCGGCGGAGATTCTGCTGCCGAGCATACGTGAGCTGCTGGAGAAGTACCCCAAGTACCTCGAGGAGAACGACAGCAAACTGTCGGCCGAGGACAAGGAGAGGTGGGTGATAACCGTTCGACATGCATATGGGTGATTCCATATCAGATTTACAGTCGATATTGGGAAATTCGATGAGATATTTTTTCATGCTCTTTATCGAAAATAAATCGACACGTATTTTTTATATGGCTCAGAAAATTTTTTTGACAAAGTTATGATTTTTTGAATTTTTGATGAACTGCCCTTTTTTTGATGACAGTCGCGTTTTCCAGCCCCAATAACTCGAAAACCGTACGTCGCAGAAAAAAATCTATAGGAAGTAAAAATTTCATCCTTCCTTCTTCTTTGCAAAACTTTCGTGAAAAAATTTTTTTAAACAATTTTTTACCACAAAAAAGTTCAAATGTTTATAACAAATTCATTTTTCTCCAACTTGGACATTTTTGATTTTTTTATTTTTCACAATAAATCCTTCAATTTCTTCTGATGAACATACTAAAATTTCAGAATGGTATCAAAATTAGTTTTTGAGTTATAGAATTAAATAGCATTAAAAATTCATTTTATTGACCCTTACTATGCGCGCGCAAGCGAATTGACGCTCGTTAGAGTCGTTGGTCGGCGCACGCCCTGAGACCGAGCGCGCGGACCGTGCATGATAATCTTTAAAATTCTATAACTCAAAAACTAATTTTGATACCATTCTGAAATTTTAGTATGTTCATCAGAAGAAATTGAAGGATTTATTGTGAAAAAATAAAAAAAATCAAAAATGTCCAAGTTGGAGAAAAATGAATTTGTTATAAACATTTGAACTTTTTGTGGTAAAAAATTGTTTAAAAAAATTTTTTCACGAAAGTTTTGCAAAGAAGAAGGAAGGATGAAATTTTTACTTCCTATAGATTTTTTTCTGCGACGTACGGTTTTCGAGTTATTGGGGCTTGAAAACGCGACTGTCATCAAAAAAGGGCAGTTCATCAAAAATTCAAAAATCATAACTTTGTCAAAAAAATTTTCTGAGCCATATAAAAAATACGTGTCGATTTATTTTCGATAAAGAGCATGAAAAAATATCTCATCGAATTTCCCAATATCGACTGTAAATCTGATATGGAATCACCCATATACATTTATTTAAACGCCCTTCCCGCAGATACCAGAAGCAAATGGAGCTGTACAAAGTGATCGAGGAGCATTTACAGAGCGAAAAGGCCGACGATTCCGCTGCCGTAAAACGCGAGAAGTTCCGCGTTGTTCTGGACGACATGCGCAAGCTGCAAGACTACGGACAGCCACCGCCAGAGATTCTGGCTGAGACGGGTGGTGACCTGCCCTTCGGCGATCCCCAGGCCGCCGTTGCCGCCGGAGCACCTGGTCCCCAGTGCCCCACCATGTAGTGGCTTGAGGAGCTCGGTCCTCCTCGTGGTGTGCCAATTGGTTAACTGTTGAGTGTTGCACATTTATTAGGCTAAGCAATTTGTATTTTATTTTATCCCCGACAAAACAATTCGGCGGTCGCTAATGGTTATCATCTCTCTTCAAACGATCTATTATTATTTTGTATTATCAGTTGGTTTATTAAGTTGTCTATACCTAAATACAATGCCTCGAAATACAAGCTAGAGGAAGAAGCGGCGTCGGGACTCCATGGCATGCCGCTTGTTGCTGATTATCCAGGCGTAGTCTCCGGTCTTGCTGTCAAAGGTACCCTCCTGCAGGGAACGCAGCTTCAGGGTGAATCGCGGACCAAGCTCGCGCAGCTTTACACGCTTGCCTTCCTTCGAGAACTCGTAGCGATGGTGGCGGAAGAAGATGTAGTCTCGCTGGTTGTGGAACGTCACCGCACGGCGGCCCCGGAACTCTGGATCGTGGTGGAACAGGGCACCCAGCATGCGGCCAACTGTCAATCCCAAACGAGTGGTGAAATTGGTCAGGATCACCTCCGGCCTGTGCTTAGTTATCTCCTTGTGGTCTCGCTTTATGTCCGAAGTGAGCTTCACGTTGGACAGCTTAAAATGTGCAGTCGGCCCGTTGGGCAGATGGATAACCAGCAGACCATTGGGCTTCCTGCGATCCTCGTTGATAATAACCACGTCTGTGAACTCCTCGCGCTCGGCGCTCTTGCAGATTTTTCTTCACCGATGACTTGTTCCTGATTTTTACCAGGGCATTGGGAAATATACGGGACAGTTCCAGTCCGAACTTGCGCGTCTTCGTCACGGGATTGTCTGCGAACGTAATCAGCACCTTGGGCTCGTATGATCGCTCAAAGTACGAGCTGAAATCGTCCAACTCCAACTCCTTTTGAAGTTCCTCGTTGTCGGAGTCATTAAGATTGGCCACCTCTGTCTGATCCTTCTCTCGCAAGCTTTCTATGGTATGGCCTGGGTTGGCAGGGACTCCTGCCTTCCTGCGGGCACGTCGCTCCTGCATCTTCTTCTTGTGCTTCTCTTTTTTCATCTTTTTGTAGAGCGCCAAGCGCTGCTCTTTGTTGCGCATCAGACTGAGGGGATTCAGGACTGGAATGCGAGGGGTCTTATCATCCTCCTCATCTTCTTCGTCGTCTTCGTCATCATCTTCTTCGTCCTCATCATCCAAATGCTCTCCAGAAGGAGGAGCCTCCTTTTTGCTCTGCTTTTTGTTGCTAGTGGCGGCTTCTTCATCACTGCTGTCGGTGACTGGACCATCCTGGATGTCCAAGTCTTGCGGCTCCTCTTCGTTAAAGCTGGAGTCGCTGTCTGAGTCCTGTTCCACCGGCGGAGGTGCTGGTTTTCGCTTAATTTTAATCATTTTACGAACAATAAAAAAAAATTCAACAAATGTAAGCGGCACGTGTTGATATTCTGCTTCTTCTGCTGGAAAGCATTCACCGGTGAACGCAGACAACCTGCTGTTAACCACAGTGTTGGAAGGCGTCCAAACTAAAACGTGCAGCTTGTAAACAAATAAAAAATTCGAAATGGGTTTTCGGGTTCTAGAACTATTCAGTGGCATTGGAGGCATGCATTACGCGTTTAAATGTGAGTTAGCCACCTATGATCACCAAAAGTATATTATATTTCCCACAGATGCACAGTTGGAAGGAGAAATTGTTGCCGCCTTGGATGTTAACACAGTGGCCAATGCGGTATATGCGCATAATTATGGCAATAATGTCGTAAAGACCAGAAATATTCAGAGCCTAAGTGTAAAGGAGGTCGGAAAGTTGAGGGCCAACATGCTTCTTATGTCCCCGCCTTGTCAACCCCACACCCGTCAAGGATTGCAAAAGGACACGGAGGACAAACGATCGGATGCACTTACTCATATATGTGGACTCATTCCGGAGTGCCAGGACCTTCAGTATATTCTGATGGAGAACGTCAAGGGATTCGAGAGCTCTCAAGCTAGAAATCAGTTTGTTAAAGCTCTGGAGAACGCACGATTTTATTGGAGGGAGTTTATACTGACGCCCACACAATTTAACGTCCCAAACACTCGACATCGCTACTATTGCCTAGCGCGCAAGCAACATGATTTTTCGTTCCCTGCCGGAAAGATCTATGAGGAAATGCCAGGGAGTAAAACCCATGATCAGACACTCTCCCAAATCTCAGAGATCCTGGAGGAAAATGTGGGCTCCGAGTTCCTAGTTCCGGATGATGTTTTAACCAAAAGAGTTCTTGTGATGGATATAATTCATCCTGCGCAAAGTAGATCCATGTGCTTCACAAAAGGGTATACTCATTACACTGAGGGCACCGGATCTGCATTTACTCCACTCTCGGAACAGGAATCACATAGGATCTTCGAACTAGTAAAGGAAATCGATGAAAACTCCCAGGAAACTGTGAAGTCAGAAGATGTTATTCAAAAACGATTGGATTTTCTGCATCAAGTAAAACTGCGTTATTTTACACCACGCGAAGTAGCTCGACTAATGAGTTTTCCCGAAGAATTCGACTTTCCCCGAGAGACAACAAATAGACAAAAGTATCGTCTGCTCGGAAATAGTATTAATGTTAAAGTTGTAGGCGAACTTATAAAATTGTTGACCACTGAGCAAATCATAGAATAAAGATTATAAATCTTAAATTAAAATAAAATTTAATTTTAATTTTGTATTGTAAAAACATGTACTGGAAGGAATTAAAAAATAAGGAACTAAACCTTTGCCTGAAAAAAATTTTAAATCCCCCAGTTTTTAAAAACTTGATGATATAAAAAAAATCGACATTCGCAGGGAAATCATCGATTGTAAATGACTGCAAACATCGATAGTGTCGAGTAAACATCGGTTTTCGCTCCAGCTCTAGCAGGGTATTAGGCAGAAAAACAATAATAAATTAATAATTGCCGTTCTCGTAAATTAAAAAGTACCAGTATGATTCCGAAAAAGACGACGGTAAAGGATTCACATATTGTGAAAATAGCCGTGGAGCGGGAAAACCATATGGCGCAGTTGATAAATCTGGACCAAAGGCATCCCCTAGCAAGTGAGTAAATACAAGACAATAATTTAGATTTAATGAAAGCTAGGCAGGAAATCAAGTTAAACCCTCTTTTAATCAAGCAATACGAGGGCGGTTAGGTGGATCAAACATAAAGTGGGCAGTTATTGTGGGGGGAAACCATTAAAAAAGAAAGAAAGTTTTAAACCAACGCCCTTTGCTTTATGTTCGAGTGTTATCGTGATGTCAGCGCCCCCCTCTTCGCATTTCTCATTTAAATGCAATGCATTGAGTTAGGCAGGAAGTTGGTTTTATGGCTTACTTATCTCTTATTTGCTTTCAGGCAAAATCCAGGACATATGCAATGGTTGGGGCATCAGTGATCACCAAAACTACGCTCTTCAGTTCTGCGAGTCAAACAACCAAAAGTACGTAACTGAAAAGAACAGGAATGAGATCAAAAATGGCTCCGTACTGCGATTGCAGTACTCGCCATCCAAGACGGCCAGCGACGCCATGGAGACCCTGCTTAATGGCAATGCCCAGGAGAAGGCCATGCGCCTAAAAGATCTCACCAAGCTGAGCACCGATCATACCTTCGCCCTGGAGTTTATCAAGGAGAAGGGCCTCGACACGCTCATCAAGATGATCGAAGATAACGGCCAGACCAACGAGGACATTCTCAAATACAGCCTGGCCAGCTTCGTGGAGCTGATGGAGCACGGCACGGTGTCCTGGGAAGTGCCGGAGAACTCCTTTGTGGCTCGCAACATTGAGATTGTGAGAAACTTTCAGAAATATCCAACCAACTGCGGCGAGAGCGCGCTCTCCAACCTGGAGAACATTGTCATGTGCAGCAGCAAACACGTTCTGGTCGCCGAAGACATCAAACTGCAGGACATTCTACGACTGTTGCAGGAGGTCAACTCGCCGGTGATGCGACAGAACGCCATCGCCCTGCTAAACGCTCTGTTTGTAAAGGCAGACGAAACCCGCCGAAGGACCATCGCCCACACAATTAGCGCCAAACAGTTCCGACTGGCCCTCATTGGCAACGGACTGGGCACTGAGATGACTCACCAGCTGTACGTGCTGCAAACACTTACTCTTGGTCTGCTGGAAAAACGGATGCGCATGAAAATGAACGCCCAGGATCAGGATGCGCACGAAAAGATTAAAGAGCTGCGGCGCATTGCCTTCGACGATCACACCAACGCTTTGAACCAGAACGACGATCACATTCGGCGCGGTGGTGGCTCTGGAGCTGGCAACGTGAACTTCTCGCAGTACTACAAAAAGCTGGGCTTTAAGTGCGACATTAATCCCGCCCAAGATTTCATTGAAACGCCTCCTGGTAAGGAGCATGTACCTTAACAGAGCTCCTGCGTGTGCTAATCCAAATCTTTTCTTTAAGGCATTCTAGCTTTGGACTGCATGGTGTACTTTGCACGCAACTACACCCAACAGTATGCTAAAATTGTGCGGGAGAACTCCTGCCGTGCGGATGAGCACGAGTGTCCGTTCGGACGCACCTCCATCGAACTGGTCAAGGTGCTGTGTGATATTCTCCGCATTGGAGAGCCGCCAGCAGAGCAGTCCGGCGACTTTCAACCAATGTTCTTCACTCACGACTTTCCGTTCGAGGAGTTCTTCTGCATCTGTGTCATAACGTTAAATCGCACATGGAAGGACATGCGTGCTACTGCCGAGGACTTTACTACAACCTTCAGCGTGGTGCGAGAGCAGATCCAAAGAACTCTCAAGTGCAGGCCCGAGAACCTGGAGGATTTCCGTAACAAGATTGCTCTGTTGACCTATCAGCAGATCACAACGCTGCGCCAGCAGGAGCGCACTTCGAAGGAGGAGTGTGACTCCACTGCCTCGGCGATTGTGAAGCTAAAGGAGAAGATATCGCCGCACATCCTGGAGCTTATCAAGCAGCAGCGGCTTTCGTTTTTGGTGGAAGGTACAGATCTTGTTATGAACCCTATAATTTTAAAACTAAAACCTTCCTTTTATATTAGGCACCCGTTTCGCTAAATATTTGCGAGGAACTCGAACCAAGGACAAATTCTGGTACGCCCGCCTTTCGCCCAACCACAAGGTGATTCATTATGGCGATTGCGACGAGAAGAACATACCCACCATGGAGGAACTGCCCAAAAAGCTGCCCATCAGTGAGATTAAGCAGTTGCTGGAGGGCAAGGAATGTCCGCATATGAAGGAAACTCGAATTAGGAAATCCGCCGTAAATCTGGCGTTTTCGATAACGTTTGAGAATATGGAGCACTCCACGTTGGACTTTGTGGCGCCCGACGAGAGTATCTTTAACTACTGGACGGACGGAATAAACGCACTGCTGGGACAGCCGATGGTCAGCAAGCAAAAAAACGAGGACTTCGACACCTTGTTGTCAATGGAGATCAAGCTCCGCTTGTTGGACACCGAGGGAGTGGACATCAGCAAGGACCCACCGCCCATACCCGAGGACCCTGAGAACTACGACTTTTGCTTCGAGAGCTAAGCATAACGCACACTCACCATTGAAAGTATCAATTCATTCTAGACTCCCATCACCCAAGATACATGCCAAAGTGTACCCACTACATATATTCTCCGATCTGATCTTCTGCTAGTATTACTTGTGCAATTCCCCAAACACAAAATGAACAAACGGTGCGGGCGCTCGCGATTGGCTTCCCCTGCCCAGCCATTTAGTGAACTTTTACACCATTTATTATTATAGTAGGTATATAATATAGAGATCATTAAATAACACATTTTATACATAACAATTTTGTACAAAAACTAACAAGAGAAGCGTATTCTTATCCAAAGGCTAGAAGGTAACGAGTTGGAAAAGCGAAAGGATCGGCAGGCCGATACTTGTAAACCAGTGCGATGGGCAAAATGTTGGTTCCTTAGATTATAAAGTCTTAGCTTTGAAATTAATTACTGCTTTTGATTGTGCAATTCAGAGTACGCAAATTGGCCTTAAGTTGGGCCAGTTTTATGTTCACCTTACAGCAGACAACGAATCTTAATCAATTTTCCCTCCACACTGATATATTGCAACTTGAGATGATAAAACACGCACTTGCTGACTTTCGGTCCGAACTTTAAAGCATTCGAGTAAGCACAAAGCCTGCGGAGCAAAACCAAACTGGCAGCCTACCCGAGTGGGTCTCCGGCTGCCTCCTCACATCATTATCCACGCACGGGCAACTTGCGCCGGCGGGCGGGGGCGCGATCCTAGATCCTTAATCAAATGTTATCCTCCAGCAGAAGATCGTTGTCATCGCCCCGATCCGGCAGGCAGACGAAGAACTCGAGCAAGTTCAGGATGGGGCCGCGCGAGAAGGGATTCTGGTAGCGACCTCGCTTGTCCCGCAGATAGGGATATCTCTTGTAGTTGAACATCTCGTTCGTGGTGAGGTTCATGCAGGCGTGAAGGATCTGCAAGGGAACAATGAGTTTATAAAATTAAATTTTCTGGAGAGGCAACTCCTACCGAAGTACAGGTGAGAATCCAACCCAGTCCGCAAAACACAACCGCCTCGATGAGTCCCAGCACATAAAGCATCGTGAATCCCTCGATCATCACGCAGTAGCAAGCAAAGTAGATCGTAAATGAGCAATTGACGGCCACCGACAAGACGAACAGGAAGAACCACATCCTGTTGCGCAGTCCCACGCAGTTGTAGATGAAGGGACAGTGGTGGTCAAAGTAAGAGACGCACCGATTGCATACGCGGCAGTGCTTGGCCCTCAGCGGCCGGAGGCACCTGCAACTGTGGCACAACCTGGTGAGCATCACGTTCCGCTTCTTGAGCTTGTCGAAGTAAGGGATCTGCTTGATGGCTCGGTAGTAGGCATCCGAGCTGAGCGGTATGTAGCCGGGATCCCTTCGGTTGGCGATGGCCCAGCTGATCCACATCACAGCGTTCCAGTAGATAAAGCAGTAGTGCGAGCGTCTCAATATGTTCCAGGTGATGGGAATCGCACGAATCATGTACATGGGGTAACCCCACAGCAGCACCGAAAAGAGGAACAGGAACAGCGGTCCCTTGGAGTCCCCGGCTCCGCCGAACAGCCAGCCCCAGCTCTCCGAAACCGAGGGAATCCAGCGAGACTTCTTTTTCACTTCGCCGTAGAGCAGACGCACCACATCCTGGTGCTGATGAGCCTGGGCCAGCATGATTGGGGTCTTTCCGTTCTTGTCCCTCGGTTCCAGATCCAGCTGGGATTTCTCGCACAGCAGGCGTACACAGGTCATGTTGCCCGAGAGGCAGGCCAGATGCAATGGTGTGGACCCAAAATTGTCCGTCTTTTGCAGCTCCACGCCAGAGTACATCAGCAGTCGCATCAGATCCGCATGGCCCTTGTACGCCGCCCAGTGCAGAGCGGTATCGCCGTTGATATCCGTAAGATTATTCAGAGCTCCCATTCCCAGGAGATAGGCTGCCGTGGCTGTCCGACCGTACATACATGCCAAGTGAAGCGGAGTCAAGCCCTTGAAATCCGCCGCATTAACTGCCACTCCTGCCTGGAGGAGCACCTGGACCACGGAGGCGTGTCCTTTCCTGCAGGCCCAATGAATGGGTCTTGGACCCTGCGTTCCCAAACATGGCAGATCAATGGGAGCAGTTCGTTCTATGAGGTACCTCATCAACTGGACATTCCCGTTGAGAGCTATCCAGTGGGCTGGTGTGTAGCCATGGCGATCCCTAGCCGACAGGCACTCCATGCCGAACTTGTCCACCAGGTTCTCCACCTCGCTGACCTCGCCGTTCTTGATAATGTCGAATATGTCGTCCAGATTTACGGTGGTCGCACCATCCAATCCTTCGAAAAGGAGCACGTTCTCGTGGTCCTCCACACCCCCTCCCCCATGTTCACCTCCCGCCCCGCGACCTGTTAACGGAGGCGAGTGCGGACGGTGATCCAGGTGAATATCGTCGGCATGGGCATGGCCATCCTCCTCCGCCACGACCATGTTGCAGGAGGAGGAGGCGGTCAGCGGCAGCGCCCACACACTGCGCGCCGCCCCCGGACTCGGATGTACCTTCGAGGCCATGTAGAACTCGAAGTCTACGCCCAAACGGTCCGCCGTTCCACCGTTGCCTTGATGCAGGGGGTTTTCCAGTAGGTGTGCAATTTTGTCGTCTTTTCCCGTAACTCCACAACCGAAATTTTAATTCCGTTTGTCCAATTTTAAGCGGAACACGATAGGTAAACACACGACTGCCCTCGATGGCAAGGAAATTATGTCAGCACTGTGAGAAAATCAATAAGAAGTTCGAATGGCAGGACCCGAATTGGGGCCACTTTCGAACTCGAGTTGGCGCCAAACCGAAAACAGCTGACCGTTATTTTCGGTGTTTAGCGTGAAGTGGGGCCAGCTTCGCTTTGGTTATGGTAATACCTAAAGTCAAGTTTTGTTTTGAACGAGAGGCACTTAAAGACTTTAGTCGTAGCGAAATAATCCGATGGAGGCTAAGCACTGAACGAAAGTGAAAACAAATTAAACAAACGAAAGGCGTTTCAAAACATTATCAAACAATTACGATACAAGTTTATCCAATTTAGTATCCGAAATCATTTAAAAATCAAAGACAATTACTTAATTCTGATACTTTAATAAATCGTTTGATTTGATAAATAAAAATTTTTCTTTTAATTGTGTCATTTATGTTTTAAAGTTGTTAGATTAGACGTCAATTAAAAGTATTCGTTAAAAATTTTGTTTTAAAGATCTGGTGGAAAGGGCGCATTTTGTTTAGTTAGTATTGCACTTCCCCTCCATCTTTTGGTGAAAGAACTGTTTAGTCACCTGGCCCCACTTCACAGACCTCCTCTGATAAATTTGTTTCGTAAAAAATGGGTGACAACGTGGTGACGGAACTAAATAACTTGGATTTAAACAAGCAAAAGGCATGTTAAACTCTTTACAAACTGAATTCGAGTGTATAAAAAGTGCTAGATAGCCGAGTTATGTTGAAACTGGCGCCCCAAAGCGGCAGATATTATAGTCAATTAAGCCGCATTTGCCAGCGAATTTTGCCGAAAATTCAGACGCAGGCGAATCCACCAAAACAACAACTGCAACAACAACAATTGAAAGAACAGCAACACAGCTACGCAACTTTGGTTGGTGTTTTAAGCTAAAAAGAAATTGAATTTAACTTCGATAAAAAAACCCATTTTCTGGCACGTGTGAATGTTATGTTTATTTGTGCAAGTGTGCGTCTGTGTTTGTGTGTCTGCAATGAATCAGTGCCGGTTTCTGTGACGTCACTAACAACCATTAAACTTTCCTGCTTAAAACTCTTCGATATTGCATCAGCTTTAAATGTGACGAAGAGTTGCTCAAAACCTCGATACAAAAAGAGATAGGTCGCTGACAAAAAGCGCCGAAAGCGTCTTGTTATTCTCATCGCTTTTTGCCCCCAATTGTTCAAACACCAAGAAAAAGAACATCAGTCGAAAGTAGATACCGAAAAAATCGTTTACCTAATTGCATACGTAGCAGAAATTCAGCAACTTTACATTTCAGTGTTATTGATTTTTTCAATGGATTTGTATTTGCAGGCGGCCAAAATGAAGAAGGAGAAAAAGGAAAAACCGGCCGGCGGTGGCGATTCTCGCAAGGGTAAGGATAAACATAACTATAAGAATGAATCAACATTAAGATTGCTGGTATATATTTTTTCGTGATTAATAGTTTATGTACTCATGACCCATCTTTAGGAGTCTTACATATAAAATCAATCCTATATTCCTATCCTTCCTCCGATTATTTCAGAGCTCAATCCCTTGCCGCAATATATTGCCGAGCGCAATGTCTTCTGGGAGAAATGTAAGGCGGAGTACGAGGCTGAACTGGCGGCCAAGAAACGGGAGCCTATCAAGGTCACTCTGCCAGACGGCAAGCAAGTTGACGCCACCTCCTGGGAGAGCACCCCATACGAGGTGGCTCGAGGAATAAGCCAAGGATTGGCCGACAACACTGTCATTTCCAAGGTGAACGGAGAGGTCTGGGACTTGGACCGCGTCCTCGAGGGCGATTGCACACTGCAGCTACTCAAGTTCGACGATCCGGAGGCGCAGGCCGTCTTCTGGCACAGCTCCGCCCATATAATGGGTGAGGCAATGGAGCGCATCTACGGCGGACACTTGTGCTACGGTCCGCCAATTGAAAATGGCTTCTACTACGACATGCATCTGGAGGGCGAGGGTGTAAGCAATTACCTTCTTTTATGGATAATAGAGAAGCTAATAATCTTGTATATCAGATCTCCACCAACGACTACGGCGCGATGGAGTCCCTGGTCAAGCAAATCGTTAAGGAAAAGCAGAACTTTGAACGCCTGGAGATGAAGAAGTCCGACCTGCTGGAGATGTTCAAGTACAACGAGTTCAAGGTGCGCATTCTCAACGAGAAGGTGACCAGCGATCGTACCACTGTCTACAAGTGCGGCTCCCTGATCGATCTCTGCCGTGGGCCCCACGTTCGTCACACCGGAAAGGTGAAGGCGCTGAAGATCACCAAGAACTCCTCCACCTACTGGGAGGGCAAAGCCGACGCTGAGACTTTGCAGCGCGTCTACGGCATTTCGTTCCCCGATCCCAAGCAGCTGAAAGAGTGGGAGAAACTGCAGGAGGAGGCAGCCAAACGGGATCACCGCAAAATCGGTCGCGAACAGGAGCTTTTCTTTTTCCATGAGCTGTCGCCCGGCTCATGCTTTTTCCAGCCGCGAGGAGCACACATTTACAACACCTTGATAAGCTTCATCAAGGCAGAGTACAGGAAGCGCGGTTTCCAGGAAGTCATTTCGCCCAACATCTACAACGCCAAGTTGTGGATGACCTCTGGTCACTGGCAGCACTACGCCGAGAACATGTTCTCCTTTGAGGCCGAGAAGGAGAAGTTCGCCCTCAAGCCCATGAACTGTCCAGGACATTGCCTCATCTTCGATAACCGCAACCGATCCTGGCGAGAGCTGCCGCTTCGCATGGCCGACTTTGGTGTACTGCATCGTAACGAACTTTCTGGAGCTTTGACTGGACTCACCCGCGTGCGTCGTTTCCAGCAGGACGATGCGCACATCTTCTGCGCCCCCGAGCAGATCAAGAGCGAGATGAAGGGCTGCCTGGAGTTCCTGAAGCACGTGTACACCATCTTCGGCTTCTCCTTCCAGCTGGTTCTGTCCACGCGCCCGGAAAATTACCTGGGCGAGCTGGAGCAGTGGAACGATGCGGAGAAGGCGCTCGCCGAGTCGCTCAACGAGTTCGGAATGCCCTGGAAGGAGAACCCCGGCGATGGCGCCTTCTACGGACCCAAGATTGATATTACCATTATGGATGCGCTCAAGCGGGCCCATCAGTGCGCCACCATCCAGCTGGACTTCCAACTGCCCATTCGTTTTAATCTCAACTACATCGCCGACGATGGCGAGAAGAAGCGGCCGGTGATCATCCACCGTGCCATTCTCGGCTCGGTGGAGCGCATGATTGCCATCCTCACTGAGAACTTTGCCGGCAAGTGGCCCTTCTGGCTGTCGCCGCGCCAGGTGATGGTGGTACCCGTGGGTCCTGCCTATGACCAGTACGCCCAGTCCGTTCGGGATCAGCTGCACGATGCCGGATTCATGAGCGAAGCTGACTGCGATGCCGGCGACACTATGAACAAGAAGATACGAAATGCTCAATTGGCCCAGTTCAACTTCATCCTGGTGGTGGGCGACAAGGAGCGCTCCTCCAACACCGTGAACGTGCGCACCCGCGACAACAAGGTGCACGGCGAGGTGTCCGTGGCGGAGCTGATCACCAAGCTGCAGAAGATTCGCGATGAGTTCATCGCCAACGAGGACAGCTTCTAAGACTCAATTTCGATCTATTTATCAAAAGTATACTTAACATTTGCATGGCAAAGCAAGTAAGCATTTTTGTTCTTTCTATGTATTTACGCTTATGAAACCGGAATTCACAAATAAAAACCAAATCCAAAACTGAATTATAACGATTTGTTTAGTACTTGCTATGAATAAAGGGAGGCACCCATTCATAATTAGCGCATAAAAATAAAAGGAGACTATCCAGTGATTGTATATGCAGAGGCATTGCGGTGTTTGACATTACAACGAAAACAAATTGTGTGAAATTAGTGAAGCTGACAAGAAAACTGATATGTGGAATGCGGTTAACTACAAGAGTATTACGATTTCCAAAATGGATCAATAACTGAAAGCCTCTTACACTGTAATTTCTTACGAATCACAGTAATTCGTCAGCAATTTCAGAACAGTCACGCCGACACATTCCATTCAGGAAGTATTTTCCCCGGTAACGCAACTTGAAAATGATAAGATACGACGCCCCAAATCTAGTTGAACCCTATTTTGAGGAGGGAAATGGGGAGAGGTGAGAGCACCCACATTGTATGACTCATTTTTGGGCTTGTTTTTTTTTTTTTGGTTTTAATTTATTGCTAATATATTGTATACTTTTCATTTTCATAATTTGATTTATTAAAAATTGCATCCATAGGTTTATGTTTTTATTCAATTATCAATTTTGTAAGCTTTTGCTTTTCGCGTAAAAAATGCACAAAGTTCTCTCGCTAATCGAAGCAAAAATCGTTAATAATATTGTTAAGTGTTTGCTCTGCTCGTGCTGCCTGCTTGTCTGTCTCAGTTTTAGTCATAAAAATACATATTATATATCTGTGTATATTTATTCATAAGATGCACGTGTCCAAGTCCTATGCCATCCAAAGTTCCAGTTAGCAGTCGCTGTGCTAAATAAACCGAAAACCGAAATGGGCGAAACGAAAGCCGCAAACAGAACAGAACGGGGCTATAATTGGAAACAAGGTGCCTGGCTGGCTGGCTGGTACTGGTGGAATCATTGAACACAGGCTGGCTGCGTGGTATCTACGAGAGCTGGAATGTCGGAGGATCCTGGACCGCCTGGCCTGGCATAAGTACATGGTTGGATTAGGGGTTTCTTATTTTCTTTTTTTTGTTTTCTTATGGGGACAATCGGAAATGCACAACACTATATTCTTGTCTGGTAGCTAACTCGCAAATATTACTCTGATCTTGATCCCTGATCTCGTGTCAATGAGTTAGCATTCATTCGCCTACGCTCGGGATTTGCTCGTCTGCACTGCTCAATTAACATTAATTAGTTAGCCGATTTTCGTTAATTGTTGTTTTAGTCTATTTGCCTTTGCTATCATTTGTTACTTTATAAATAAACTTAAACGTAAAGTGTGTATGTGTGTGTTTAGATGTTGAGGAATCGTCGCAGATCCAGCCACATACACCTGACACTTGTGTACACGAGTGCTGTTGACCGACTGCCTGCTCCTGCTCCTGTTCCTGATCCTGCTGTTCGAAGGGGAGGCCGTTGGATCGGTTTGGCTGGGCTCAACCGGTTCTAGCAGGCGCAGCCGCCCTCTGGGTCCTTAGTCTCGTTGGGCGAGTCCTTCAGCACCACTTCCTGCATGTCCTCCGACGGCTTATTCTCCGTGGAATCCATGCCGGGCAGTGCGGCGGCCACTCGCCGGAATAGCTGCTTCACATTGTAGCCCGCCTTGGCGCTCGTCTCGATGAACATCACGTTCAGTTCCTTCGCCTTGCGCTCACCCTCCTCGGTGGACACCTGGCGCTTGTCCGAGAGATCCGTCTTGTTACCCACGAGCATGATAATCACGTCGCTACCCCGTTCCGTGCGCACGTCATCGATCCACTTTGAGGTCTGGTGGAACGAGTTGGTGTTGGTTATGTCGTACACAACGACGGCCACCGTGGAGTCTCGGATGTAGGAGGGGATCAGCGAGCGGAAGCGCTCCTGGCCCGCCGTGTCCCACAGCTGCAGGCGCACCGTCCGGTCCTCCAGGTACATGGTCTTTGAGAGGAAGTCGATTCCGATCGTCGCCTGGTACGTGTTGTCGAAGCTGTCGTACATGAAGCGCGTGATCAGGGAGGTCTTCCCCACACTCTGTTCGCCCAGGAAGACAAGCTTGAACTTCCTCAGCGGGTTGCCAAAATCTCCGGATGACATCTTCCACGTACGTGTCTACTTTTTCTTAATTACGGGTTTGGGTTTGCTGACCTCTCTTCTCGCTCCGCTCTCTTCTCTCCACTCTCCACACTCCTCGGCTGCGCACTCTCCACTCTCCACCCCTCCTCTCTGTTTATAATGGGCTGGGCCAGCGGTTTTCGGGGCCTTTTCGCACGGCGATTTCGCTGCAATCACGGCAATTGGTTGCCGCACTCGCGCTCTATATGCTTCCGGATAGCTGCAAATCGAATTCCGGTTCGATTGGCTAGGTAAATCGCGAAGTTAAGTCGTGGAAAAATTGTGGCCAGCAAATCGTCTCTGCTTCTTCTTCAACTTCTGAGTCAGTTGCTGTGTGACCGTGGTGGAGAGGAAATACCGCAACATACTAAACAGTTAATACGCACCTTAAATATACTGAAATAGTGAACAGTGATTTGCAATTTCTATAAGTGGTAATGGGAAAACCAATTTGCAAATAATTTTCTTTCTATTTGGGTCGAATAATAACGGAAAAGATATTTGGAGCGTTACAAGTAAACGTTTAGATTAAAATTGAGTTAGATTTTTACCAATTTATTAAGAAAGCAACGTTAAGCAATATTAAAATCACAAAATGTGATTTTAAAATAAAAAAATTTTTTTTAAATGTGTAAGTTACCGAACTTGAAAAACTGACCACTTAGAATTGTGTTTTTAAGTTTTACTTACTGGTTTCTTTAATTTGAGAAAAGAAAAATGTTACCTTAAATACCATTCTTACAGACCCAACATACCAAAAAGGTGAATTGCGATTTTCAAATATAAATATTTGACTTTCCAAATTTAAAAGCTCGGAAAGGTTACTTAGCACACTTGAGATATTAACGTAGTTATTTTTCCATGCTATCGCCGCAAGTTGACGTACTTCTGCCAAAGAGTCAGTGCTCTGGCGCCTTATAATCTCAAATAATAATATATGTTATCTGGAAACGTTTCTTAATTGAAGGTCTTATCATCCGCATTTGCTGGCAAATTTAGAATCGCGAATTAATTTAAACTGCCCGCGATAAAGGCCGATGTAAACAGTTCCGCGAAAACTATGATAGCGAACGGACGGAGAGAACAGTTGGCCAGCGGGGTCCTGCTCATCCTTGGTCTTTGCCAGGTGTCCGGCGTGGCCATCGCCCTTCCGGAGGGGCGTGTCGTGGGCGGTACAGCGGCGGCAGCCAACAGCGCTCCCTACGCGGTGTCCATGCAGTACGGAGGTACCCACTATTGTGCAGCGAGCATCCTGAATGCCAACTGGCTGGTGACCGCCGCCCATTGTCTGACCAACAGCAACCAGGTTCTGGGGAGCACTCTGGTGGCGGGAAGCATTGCGGTGGCCGGAACAGCCAGCACCACGCAGACACGCAGCATAACCTACTTTGTGATCAACGACTTGTACACCGGCGGAACCGTTCCCTACGACATCGGTTTGGTCTACACGCCCACCGCCTTCGTTTGGTCCGCCGCAGTGGCTCCTGTCACGCTGCCCACTTCGGGAGTGGTGCCCACCGGTACCGCCAATCTCTACGGATGGGGCAGCACCAGCACCACCAACACCGCCTCCTATCCCTCCACCCTCCAGGTGGCAACCAATGTGCCCATCATCTCGCTGGACTCCTGCGAGGCCGCCCTGGGAACCAAAGGCAGCGATGTTCACTCGACCAATTTGTGCACGGGTCCTCTGACCGGCGGCGTCAGCATCTGCACCTCGGATTCGGGAGGTCCTCTGGTCCAGGGCAATGTCCTCATCGGCATCGTGTCCTGGGGAAAGCTTCCTTGCGGTCAGGCCAACTCGCCGTCGGTCTATGTGCAAGTGTCCTCGTTCATTTCCTGGATATCGTCCAACCAACAGGTGCCCTGAAGTTCCGAAGGGTTAATATTTTTTTCAAAATAAAAGCAATCGAAGTTGTGCCTTTATAGGCAAGTGACTTAAATATGGGAATTTCACTCGCATTGCGATCGCAGTATCACAAAGTTGATTGTCAAGTTTATCTTATCATTTTCCTAAAAAGCTGAAAACAATGTGGAAAAGGGTCAAACTGATCAGAATGTTTACAGCATTATGTATAATGTATGTTGGGAATCAAAGAACATGTTCTCTTTTTGAGTTATGGGCCCTTAATAAAACTTTGAGTTTATGACAATTTAATAATCAGCAGTGTAGTTTATTAAATGAGTTTATTTAATGAGCTAATGGAGTTTAAACGTTTGCTATTTTGGTATTTCATGCTATAATAAACAACAATTTTAACTAAATGGCACAGAAACCCAAAAAAGATTTTTTTTTAAATAATTCACAATTAACACTTTTTGATGGCGCGAACACAAATAATAAAAGAAAAATCCGTCCAAAATAAGGTAATAAAATAATTACGCATCAAGCTCGTGGAATCGCCGGGGAAGCCCATCAACATCTACAATATAGAGGAAAACTTGAGATACTGAAATACTTTTTCCACCTTGTTGACACAGTCTATCTTTAAATATAGGAATATAATGTATATAAAAATCATCTAATCTTATTAGGTGCTTATCTGTGAGACAAGGGCCCTAATTGAAAACCCTTATCTATTTCTTTGGTGGTTCTCGTGAAATAACCTATCGCGATTTAATTTAAAAGGCCGTCGATGCAGTTGATGTAAACAGTTGCGCGAAAAATATGATTGCGAGCGGACAGCAAACAAGGTGGCGCCATCGATCCGTGGCCGGTTTCCTCTTCCTGGTTCTGGGATTATGCCGGGGATTGGGAATAGCTTCTGCCCAACCCGAAGGAAGAGTGGTTGGTGGCACTGCGGCGGCGGCAAATAGTGCTCCCTATATAGTGTCCATGCAGTACGGAGGAACCCACTACTGTGCGGCCAATATCCTGAATACCAACTGGCTGGTCACAGCTGCTCATTGTCTGGCCAACAGAAACCAAGTTCTGGGAAGCACTTTGGTGGCAGGAAGCATCGCGGTGGCAGGAACAGCGAGCACCACCCAGAAGCGCACGATCACCCACTTCGTGGTCAACGACTTGTACACCGGAGGAACCGTTCCCTACGACATCGGACTGATCTACACGCCCACCGCCTTCGTTTGGACCGCTGCAGTGGCTCCTGTGAAGCTTCCATCATCCGGAGTGAGACCAACTGGCACGGCCAACCTCTTTGGTTGGGGCAGCACCAGCAAGACGAACAGTCCCTCCTATCCGAAGACTCTCCAGGAGGCTAAGAACATCCCCATCATCAGCCTGGATTCCTGTGCTGCTGCATTGGGCACCAAGGGTCAGGATGTCCACACCACAAACCTCTGCACGGGTCCCCTCACCGGAGGAACCAGCTTCTGCACCTCGGATTCTGGAGGTCCTTTGGTCCAAGGGAACGTCCTTATCGGCATCGTGTCCTGGGGAAAGCTGCCTTGCGGTCAGCCCAATTCTCCCTCTGTTTATGTCCAGGTCTCCTCGTTTACTTCCTGGATTGCAGCCAACCAAAAGATATGATTTGTTGGATAAATAAAGAACTTGTTATGAAATTGTTAGCTTTTCACGTGTTTCATATTGAAATTGCAACTAAAAGCTAGAAAGCTTATCAAATTTCCTAAGAAATAAATAGTTATCTTTTCATTAATTAAATTAATTAAACGAAAGACACTTCAATAAATAACCTTTATAAAGCAAGTCATGACAACAAAAAAATGTGTGTTTCATTATCTTATCTAGTCTAATATTTAATCTTATATATTCCAATTGCCCATTAAATTTTACAAAGCACAAACAATGCACATTAATGCGCACAGCTTTAATTCGATTACCATCAATCAAGTTCCTAATAATAATATTTATTACTGTTGTGATAAACGGAGATATTGATATGAAATTGGGGACTTCTCATTACATTACGGGCTCTATTCTTGACAACCCACAAAGACTCTTCGATATTATTAATGTTTTCCTTTAAAAACTAAAGCCAAGAGTATAAACATAGTTAAAGAAAGAGCTAATTAATCACATGCTGCAACTGAAAGCTGTCAGTTAAAAGAGTTTTCATATTCGCTTAAGTTTACTATTTTAATATATCTCCTGTGAACAAAAATTTAAATATCCAATATTATTAAGTTAAAGAGATTGTCGAGGAACTCAGTTATAACGATCTATCATTTTAAATTTTAATATTGCTTTAAGCAATTGCTTTAAGCAATATTAAAATTTGCTTATCAGAATTTCAAAAATGTATATTTTTATTAAAAGTCTTTCTTCTGAACTTGCAAGATAAACAATAAATAAAAACAAGATTGTTATTCTTACAAATTAGTTCGTGATTAACTTTCCATTTCCTAATTGCACATTGCTTCCTAGAACAATTTTCTCCGCGGTGCTTGGCAAATGGGATGACTTTTGCTTTTAACCACTGATCATTTTTGTGTGGGCTTCGCCAAGTCTAGATTTCATGTCATCCCAGCCACTCCTCCTAAGCCGGCCGCCGTTTTATCAATCAAATTGATCGGGCAGGTCTCGTTGGGAAACTAATTGGTCGGCAAGTTGCTGGACACGATCGCAATCAGTTTATTGACACGACCGGAGTACATAATTGAATGAACATATCAATTTCCCATCACAATCATACCAGCAAAGCTTATTAAGTGCCCCCAAAAAGCCATTCGCGCTGTAGAACGTCGAAGCATCCGAGTTGTGGAATAAGAATTGGGATCGGGGATTGGAGAGTGGGGAATGGGGACAAGAACGAGGAACGAGGCCCGGAGAACGATGACCAGAGCACGCCCGCAGCTAATCAGGCTCTAATGGCGATAAATATTTCATTCCATATTATTTTGTTTTTATTCGTCCGGCCAGACACGCCTCCTCCTCGAGTCCAGCGAAGTCGACTGCCAGGAGTCAAGACAAAGCGACGACTCAACGGGAATGAACAGGGAGATCGAGAGATCGGCAGATCGGGAGGAACAAGCCACAGAACAAGAGCTACAAAAGACCATCAGACAGACGAAATCTCCGACGCGATCGATGAAGACAAGGCTGATAAAGGAACCAGACTCGCGGCTCCAGAGATGCTACAGTGACTTTACAGCCAGTCAAGCAGCATAAAAGTAAATTAAACTATTAAACTATTTTATGTGCCCACTTTCATAGAGAGAGTTACATTTCTTATCGGTCATCTTAATAACTCGAATAGTGGTCAAATAATAATGGTTGGAGATCGGTAGTTATTACCTTAAAATAAAATAATAAAAAAGAGGTCACATTAAAAAACATTAGTTATGTTGGTATTACCTTAAAAAAGGAATTTTTATTATTTATATTTATGAAATACCAAGCAACACAACATAAGGAAGTGGTTTATGAGTCATTAAAAAGTTTTTTTTGTCGATAATAGTAATCCTTATAAAATCTTGAAGAAAAACTTTTATGTGGGTCTTAAAAAATGTTTATAAGTAATAAATGAACTGACTAGTTTTATTTGTCAAAGTTAATAGCCTGGTTAAAATTACATCTTATTAAATGTATGTATATATTTTAAACTAATTTTAAAAAAACACTAACTAAATTATTTACACTCCAATTTCACGATAACATCACCGACCAGAACAAATGAAAAAAAAGTCGGACAAAAGTCGAGGCAAGGCCAATTCTCTTGGCTTCCTTCGCAATCTTCGTGTTATGAATCGAACAGATTTATGCAACCTGGGGAACAACATGGGCGGGTGCTCCTCCGTCTCCGTCTCCAGATTCCCTGCCCTGCTCCTCTCCTCCCTTTTCGCTGCTCCCCCAATCGGAGTCTCCTTTTCTCCGCTGGAGAGGATGGGGACGAGGACGAGGATGAGGATCCGACCGCGACATTTGGCTGCGCCATTATGAGTAATGGAGTAATGCCTGGAATTGTTTACTCGGGGGCTTTATTGGCGTCGGCATTTGGCATCGGAATGAATCTCTGTGCTTTATGGGCATTTTTATATACACACATATGTACGTGTTCATTATTATATTTCTCTTGACTGCTTTCTGTGGTTCGGAAACTGAGAAAGGTTGGAAAATTGGTAATAAGATGACTGAAATATCAACAAAAGGTAAATCCCAATAAGTCATAAGTCATAAATATGAGAATAAATTTGTATCTACAAATGTGCGAAATGTTTCACTAACAAAAAAGTTTAACAAAAACTGTAATTGTATTTTAATTTCAAATAGTATTTAAAAATATGTTATGCAAAAGGTAAAAATGTATGAAAAAAAAACATTCAACGAAATAAAATTTATTAAAAATATAAAATAAATATTTATAATATTATATCATATTTCGTGTGATTTTAAAAATGTATAGTTCTTACAAATTTTTAAAACTCAACAATTTAAACTTGAAATAAGACTCACCGAATATTAAAATTTTTGTATTATTCTTTTCTATTTATTCAATTTTTTTAAGTACATTTTTGACTTTTTTTGTAGATATCCTATCTATCTTGCCATCGTTCCGCGAACCTTACCCAATCTCGTGGGCAAATCTAAAGCGAAATCTAATTTTTAATTGGGCAACAAACCGCGTACAAGCGACATTTCATGCTTATCAGCAGTGCGACCGGTAATTAATCTCCCTTCGGCCGAGGAGAATTCTCTTAGCGGATTCTCTCTCTTCGGAGAATCTCTTTCGCTGCAGCTTTCGAACGAGAATCTTTGGCGCGCTCGAACCAAGAATTCAGTATGCAGACAACTTTCTTTCGAATGCTTTTTCTTAAAAGCAACTCGAACTTGTTGCTGAGTTTCAGTTGGGAAGCAGCACGCGACGCGTTCAGAACGAGAAAACCGCTCGGAGTCCGGAGACTGTAATAAATTAGTAACCAACAAAAGAAAAAAAAGAGACTCTTCTTCGGAGAAGGGAAGACTCAAAGACTCGAAGACTCGTAGACTCGAAGACTCTTCTTGTGGTCAAGGATGATCGAACCCTCGAGTGGCGGTGAAGTGCAAGCATAAGCAAACAAACAAAACGCAATAACAGCAATCGGTGGAGTCATATAATATTTTTGTTTCGGTGCGTCGCATAATAGTGGATATAAGAAAACCTCACCTTAGACAGGTATGTGAACTTGCGGGAAACTCCAGGAATGCCTCGCTTCCCAGTTGCAGTTGCAGTGTTGTGGTCGTCGTTGCGGTTCTTTAGCACCTCCCTGCCGCTTCTATCCACACATTGGGCATGCTAAAATTTAATAAGTGTTTTCCTCAAACCGTTTTTCCTGTCGCCTTTTTTTCACGCTTTTTTTTTACGTAGCTGTTCTTGTTGTTCGATTCTTTGATGCATTGCTAAAAGGGGGGAAGTTTGGGAGAGGAGGGATGGGGAGGGGGGTTAAAATATGCAGTTGGCAAGTCGGCTTCTCCTTAACTTGGCAAATTCTTGCGGCACATTTCATGTGTGCGAGTGTATCTGCTTCCCTCTGCCAAAAGCCTTTTCCCAAACGCGTCGTGTCGTGTTAACGGTATTGTTTACATTGTTAATAGAACCCACCGAGTTGGTGGCCAGATAAATAAATACATAATAGACACACACACAGACATACAAACCTGCAGTCGGAGCCGAAAGTCCATGCTTCAGTGCACTCGTTCTTCGGCGCAAACGGAGACAAAGGCGAAATCACATAGAAACGAAAGACTCAGGCAACGAACTGGCCAAAAGACAGTGATTCCTGTGTGTTAATCTCGGTGTAATGACTGCGGCGCAAGAACATCTACAATTTAATTCGTTTCTCGGAAGAGACTCGTAATGAGCCCGGGGTTTATTTAATAAATATTTCTCTCCCCTGCGGAGAACTATAACAATAGTTTGATAACGTGCTCGCGAATTTATCAAAGCGTAAAGGGAAACATGAAAACTCATTTTAGTCAAACGCATGCGAAAGACGAACTTTCTGGAGTGTGTAATGACTGCGGAAAATAATTCAAATATTTATGAGTAGTGAGCTTAGACAAGTCAGTGATAATCATTTTGGCATAACTATTGTTTTAAAAAACAGTTAACATTATAATCAAATACTTAGTTCTGATTGTTATTTAAAAAGATATTCTATGTAACTAATTAGCAATTTAATGAGTTCTTAATTCTGTTTGCTATTTAAAACCATGTTCCATGTTACTGCTATGAACAAGATCAAACATTAAATAAGATGAGATTACAAAATTAATAAATATATACTTGTTCTGTTATTTTTTTTATGCACCAATTTTCTTTTTTAGTTGTTAGAAAGATGTGATTAATACCTACTTCTAAGAGTGCTGTAAAATCTCCAATTGAGTTATTCACTTTCTTCTTAATCAACTATTTGGCTTTTCTCCAACCTCAAATGAAATTCCAACTGTATAAAGTAATCAAAAGATTCTAATTCCCTGCAAATCTATGCAAATTAAATAATGCTTACCATCTTGCGCAGACCAATTAACTCAACAGACGGCGACAGTAGAAGACGCAGCCACTAAATTGCTTATTTATTAGTCAAAAGAGAAGAAAATATCTGGAAACGGCATGCTAATGATGTAAACTAAGCGTTTAACTGTTAAAACACCAGCAGCAGCAAACAAACCGAAGAAAAAGTAGCATCAGTGGGACACACTGGCGGAAAAGAGGAGGGGGTTTGGGGCAAGATGAGCTCAACGCGGCAAAGACAAAACTTGGGCGACTTCCTAAGACTAATCAAAGCCGTTACAATGGTCGCACAGCCGCAAAAAACGCACTCATGGCTTAAAAACCTGAGGAACCAGAAGGGAAAGAGTCGCAGAGTGCGGGGATTCAAGGGAGAGAATGTAGGTTGCATTGGCTTTAATTACACTGCGGGAAAAGATAGTTTACAACGCAACCTTGGAATTTAGGTTACATAAATCCCATACAAATCCTTGCTATATTACGTACTCATAAATAGATTAGTTCACGATTTGCAGTTATCTTATATTCAGGAAAAATACTACTTCAGAATTAGATTAGAACATATTTTTGTTGAATTTTTGATAATATCCTACTATTGTTATCATTTTCTTTACCAATTAGTTTTTGTTTTATAAAGATATTTCTATAGCACATCTTAAAATTTTTTTATACAATAAATTTATGTTATTTCCTTTTTATTTTTCAAGTACTGCATTTAACTGTCATTAGTTTTTATAAATATTTTCTTAATTTTCATAAATACGTAATATATTTATTTTATGTTGAGATAAAACTGTTTAGTTTAGGAAATTATCATTTCATGATAGGCACTTAACTAAGAATAAACATTTAATGTCTATACCGTTAGGTTGATTTTCTGTTTTGGTAAGAACATTATTTTCCGTGTACAAATGTTGAGAGTAATATGTTGCTCCTCAGCTGCTGCCGCTGATGTTGTTGTTATTTTTTGTTGAAGAAATTACCGTTTCATGTTGACAAAAAGCGTTTGGGTAAGAAGATGGAAGAGCTGGCTTAAGGTTTCGATGGGAGTTTGGCTTCTGTGTGATTACAGTACCGCTCCTAATGATCATCATTAGATAGCCATAGCCAAGGGTTTTTCCACCAGCTGCTGCGCCGATTCTCCGGCTTCTTCTTGCCACTTCTTGTATCTTGACGTGACGACATGCAATTGCAAACGGAGAGAAGACAAAAAGCAGGTTGTTCGTTGTACGAAGCGGTAGAACAACACCAATAATATTTGATAATGCAAAGCGGAAGCTATAAAACTCCAGTATAAGACGACATTTTACGCTAGACGGTCATTAAAGCGAACCCAAGGAGAATTTGCTAATTGCCTGCAATTGAAAATGTAATGTTCAAAGACCCCTAGACATGAAGAAGAAAATCTACAAGTTAAAAGGCGCAGACGGGAAGAAAGCTTCATTAGGCAATGTTAAGACTTTAACTGGATGTTGGAATACATTACACAGCTTAGAGCTGTAGGTTATAGTTTATGCCAAGTTTATTGCACTTTAAAAACGTTGTCTAAAAGAATTTGAATCTTATTTATTTATAATACATATTGTAGCTTTATTCAATTGTAGTTTAATTTGCTTAAAGATTTTATTAGAATTAATAGTTTTGCAGCCAGTTTTGCGACAATTAAAAGACAATCAAGTAAAAAAGAAAGTAGAGATCATTGGAAAAATTACTAAATCTAGAAAACTCTGAATTATCCTGCACTTATACTGTTTTGATGAAATAAATGTTTATTTTATGTAAGTTGATTTTAATAAATAATATAAAAGAGAAATCAATTAGTAATTTTACCATACATATATGTATGAACTTATAAAAGTTAAAGGCATTCTAGGTGCCATAAAAGAACCATCTGATATCGAATTAACTTCCTGGATGCCCTTTGGTCATTTATCCACGCCCCTTTGCACTTGGCGATAATCTTGGAGAGCGGGGTGTGCCACAAATCCGATTATCAGGGCCGGGAGCCGAGCTTCGACGGCCATCTCAAGGTCGGCAAAAGTATCTTGTATCTGGTATCTAAGCTCTCCTTTCAAGTGGAGCGCTTTGGCCAGGCCCACAGTTAGCTGAGCTGCATTAGCAACATCTGATATGCCGAAAAGCGCTGCAGCACTTAAGGAGAGCCCCCAGTCGCCGGCCAACAACAAAAGATGGCCCGCACGTAATCTGATATTGAAAACGGTGAGGCAACCAGCTGAAAAGAGTGCACATACACACACACAAATATTAGTGAGGCAGCGAAAAAACCAAACCAACTGAGCCTGGTCATATAAGGAGAGTCTCTTTTGTGTCGCCACTATCCGATCAACATCGGGAGAATCAGAGGAATGCACAGAAATAAATAAAATAGTTCCGCATTATTCTTTCAAGTTTTCATAACCTTTTAATGAGGGAAGAATCTCTTTCTTTGGTGTCTCCACTTAAATCAGAAGGTTGCACAGAAAATTAGTATAAGCATTTCATTTCAACTTTCAACAAAATCCGAATATTTATATTATTTATTAATAATATTATTATTATATTATTAAATATTCCGATTTTGATAAGTTATTAAATATTATTTGATTTTTGTAAAATATTTTAAGGATTTTAAAGGTATTTTCTCAGAAATATGTTTTCAATTAAAGGACAACATTTTCAAATACATAGTTCACACTAATTTTCTGTATTGGGATTTCCAGTTGAGTGCACAAACCAGTTTTAGGAGGATTTTTATAAGAAAACTAGAGGATTTTTTTTTATTTTTTAAACATTTTTCAATATACTTATCAACTACTTTTTATTTGGAAAAATTCGTTGTAATTAATATTCTGCAAGCAGATTATTTAACTTTTTTTTTACGAAGTTACTCCTTTTAATGGTTTTAGCAGTTAAATTATACTGATTGGATTGTAATGTTAAATACTAACATTTCGAGAGCCTTTAAACACAAAACAATGGCCAGCATTCCAAAGAGTGTTTTGTAATTTGCCTAAATAAAACGTGAAGCCATGAACTTTCCTCAGCTACTGTGGGTCCACATTTTCCCATTTTCCGAAACGCATTCCCGGGTTGCTGCCAGAAAGAGGAGGAATTTTAAAAGCCATTTATTCGCTGCTAATTAACTCGAGGCTCCTCACGACGAAGTGCTGCAAGAACAGCAGATAAAACTTTTTATGGCTCTCTTAGGTGCTTCCTCCCCACCTGCAACACGCCCTATTCCCCTATTCCCCTTATTCCGAACCAAAATCCAGTATCCCAAAGCCACTAAGACAAACTGGGACCTGGGGTTATTTATCAGAACTGTCAGCGGGCCATAAATTCCGACTTTTGTCACTACCATTTATGGCCTAAAGAGCCAACCAATAAAACATACAAATTCGGTTGGCGCGATGCGTTATATAAGCGTCTGATCTAACGGTGCTTCGTTCTGGGTTCTCTGTTCTTAGGTTTGGGTTTCTCGGGTTCCTTGTTTACAAGACACCTTGACAAATGTGCCCGGAAAGAGGAAAACATTCGAGATGGAAAAACAACAACGCAGTCTGAAATTTGCATGGCAACTGAAATGGAAATGGGTGGAGTGGGAACCAAGTGGGCAAAATGAAAAAAAAAGCAAGAAAGGAAGCTAGCTTCGGAAAACCGAAGCT